ACAATCAAGCTTGGCCAATTTCATGGTTTACATTGGGGAAACCAAATTTTTGCATTCCCAATCTTGTCTTGGAACAAAGGTAAAACAATATTCTGATGTGTTGAAACGCATGTTTAACCAAAGAATAGCCGTAATGTTAATATGTTTAATGGCATGTAGCCAGCAACGTGTAATCTAAAGGGCATTAGTGGACACCCTCCATCAGTTCCTCCCCTCACAGCCCCTGTCCACCTTCATCATCCTGTCTACTGCTGGAGTTAGACTGACACAGAGTGAAGGAGAGAGTGTATGTTTTTGTTTCTGGGGTAGAAAGGCGTTCTCCTGCCTCAGGATGTTGCCTTTAAAGCTGAAGAAGTGGGTTTCCTGTGGAGGAAACGATCACAGAAAAGACAAGGCTTAGTCGAGACACGGTGTTCCCGACATTTCTTTTAGTACAGGTCACCCAGCTGCAGAGCGGGCAGCTGTCATTCTCGTTGTCCTGAGAGGTGAGTGAAATGTCTAAGTTTGATTGTTATGGTTTGATTGCTCATGCAGCTGCTGACACTAAACCATCTGAAAATGCTTCTGCTCTTCATTGCAGGTGTTTGTTTCCCCTGATGGATCCTGGATAAACTTTATTGCTGCAGAAATCAGTATTACACAATGGACCAATGACTGATTGGATTTGTCAAACTGATTACTGAAATTTCTTGTATTTTTCTTTTGCTTTGTGTAAAAGAATGGGTATTCATGCATCTACTCATCATCCTGCAGATATCTCTCGAATCTCTGCGTAAAGTCAGCTCTACTTTTCCATGAAAGGTGTTTGGAAAAATAGAGACATGTCCAATGACAGCTGCAACCTCCCTTTGGACACAGACACTATTGGGCTGACCTGTATCTACAGCCTGATCTTCTCGTTGGGTCTCCCGAGCAATTTATTGTCACTCTGGGGACTGTACCACCTGGGCCGCTCAAGCGGGGGAGGCTGCCAGCTGGTCTACATCCTCAACCTGCTTCTGTCAGACCTCCTCCAGCTGCTCACACTGCCACTGTGGATCATTTATCTCCAAAGTGCTCACCGCTGGCCCTACGGTCGGCTGACCTGTGAGCTGGTGGGCTACGTGTTTTATGTGAACATCTATGCCAGCGTCATGTTCCTGTGCCTGATCGCACTGGACAGGTGCCTTGCTATCGTGTACCCGTTGAGCAGTCGCCGGGTGCGGACTATCAGGGTGGCAGCGGTGAGTGGGGTGGCAGTTTGGACCCTCACCTTCCTGTTCTCCCTGAGTGGGTTGCTGCCCACAGTGTTTGATCCAGATAGACTGCTGTGTCTAGAGCACTACCCTGTCAGCCCCTCATACGCCCGCTTCAAGATCACCACCGTGGCCCTTGGGTTTCTGCTGCCATGCACCATACTTGGGTGAGTGCCAGTCATCATAATGCTGCTGCAGCCTATAATTATTATATATGCCATTTAATGTGTCTTACCATATACTGTATAAAACATGGACATAGTCAATGCCGTCACCAATTGGTTTCTGAAGAGGCACTATGATGCCCAACAATAGTATCAGCTGTTTGGAAATGCTATCTCAACCTAACTGTCTATAAATCTACACACAGGCAAAGAGGTGAAGTTCATGTAGCCCTTAAGCCTCCTGGTAAACAGCTACTATTCACCCACCTGTCAGTCAACTCAGCCACGCCCCTAAATGTATGCAGTCATAAGAAAATTTCACCCTTGTACAGTTTTTACCGGTAAATTAATAACAGCACATTTGCAAGTCAGCAAAAAGGGAAACTGACTAATTAAGTACTTCAAGTTAAAATCAAACATGCATTGTGACCATTTCAAGGACCCCATTTGCACCTAGTGTGAGAATGCTTCATGAATTTTCCATTCACGTTCCAAGACACAATTGTAGTTGCCAATAAATACCTAATTTAAAATTTTCAACACATTTAGGTCCTTTAATCAAGATCCCATTTAGAGGTGGGAGCGTGTATGCAAATTGGCAACATCAAAGAACAAATGAGTGCAATATTAAAATAGCATTTGCCCACTCCAGTACCATACACAAGGGAGGCAAAATATGAGGAACACCTTTCAGTACAGTACATAGCCACAACCCACTACCACTTCAAGAATGCATAAATAATACAATTATCCCCTTGTCAGTTGGATTGCTTTATATTGCAAAGGTAGTCATAATGTTATGACAGTGGAAAAGCTAAATCTGATCATCACTGTAGACATACTTACTGGTGTGAAAAAATGACTGACAAATGTCTTTTTGTCAAATTGAAAAAAAACAAAACCGTGTAGAGGAAACGAGTCTAGTGGACTTTTTGTGATACTGAGTCACTGAGCTACTTGTATGTGATAAAGCTGATTAAAATAAATTTTCAGTCATGCTGAACTGACCACTTTGTTTGTTCTGATGGCTCATCATTTTTCTCTCCAAATCTGCTTCTCCTTAGGTACACCTCAGCCCACATCGGGGTGACACTACGACGATCTCCCTCCCTCTCTGACCACGAACGACATAAAATTGTTGGCATCCTAGTCTTGATAACTGTCAATTTCATGGTTGTGTTTGGACCGTATCACCTCGTGTGCGGATACAGATTTGTGTCCTTGCTGTTGACTGACGAGCCGTGTGGATTAGAGCGTTCCATTTTTCTCATCCATCGCATTTGTTACGGTCTGACCAGCCTCAACACCCTGCTGGATCCCCTCTTCTACATCTTTCTGTGCTCGGATGCTCGAACAGAGCTGCAAAAGTCCTTGCCCTGCTTGGGGAGGGGGCAAAACCCACCCAAAAAGATAACTCTTGAGAACGAGAGCTCACCCAGAAGACCAGATGGAGAGTCAAACCGGGCACAATGATCTCCAAGCAATGTAGCTTGGATTCCCCACCGACTGGAGAAATTGTGCCACCCAGTGGAAAAACACTTTTAGTCTCTGTATATTATGAGCTAATGCTCTTTTTTTGTTGCATTCATTTGCCTCATAGTGTTTTCAGCGCTAAATGGGTTCCACTATGTGAGCTTACACTTTCTCATGGTCTGAATACTCAGAGTAAAACAAAAAGGAAAAAAAATAGAAACATTCATGTGTGACATGCACCCAGATCTCAACAAGCAAACACTTGTCCTGTTACATAAATTAATGGAAATCTTTTATTTCCAAAGTGTCATAAATCCACTCTTCTATAATATGGAAATATAATCCAATGTTGCCTTAAAGGTCACATATTTTGCAAAATACACTTTACCATGTCCCTTGCCTGTTTACAACACAAAGTAAACTTAGAATTGTTTTTTGTAAAGAAATGAAACACAACTCTTCCGATTTATCTATAAAATCAGTTTTGCTGAAAACAACCATTGTGGCCATTTCACAATCAAACTCTTTTTTTGTTGCTGCGATAATTAAAATGATGTGTAAAAAGGTGTTTGCTGTCACTTATTTTGAGAAAAGAATTGGTGTGAAATGCAACGGAAACACAAACATGACTGTGGTATATTCATCATGCAACAAGTGTCACATTGCAAAACCCAGAGTACTTTCCTTTTTAGTTTTAATGATTGGAAATGTCACAGTGATGCATGGACAATAAAGCAAGTATACAATTCAATACAATATGTAAGACACATTTTCTCTACTGTAAGCAAAATTAGTGACTATAATAAAGACCACAATTTATACAAATTAGCTTCTTATACCACAGTAATAAACAGTTACATTAGTTTAAACTTTCTTAACCAAAGGAAAACTAAATAGTAGCATTAACTAGGGGTAATTCAGCATGATGTACATTTACTCAGCATCGAAGTCAAAATAAGAAAACATTTGCTGTTGTATTTTATTATTTTTTTCAGCAGGTTACTCATTTGGAGACAAAGAGCTCACTCCAAGCACAAACACAGTGAGTATTCAGTACATTTTCATATCCTGGAATTCCTGTAACTCTTGAAATGTACAGAATTTCATCAACATAATTTACATTTGCACACTAGTAATTAGTAGTAGTATTTCTAAAGGGTTTATATGGGAGGTAGTGATCACTAACAAGTACACTCAGCATAGTACATAGTACAACAGTCAGCATGGCACCTGTTTGGAGAAGCAGTTTGAGTTTCTACAAACAACTGAAGCTATGTAAAGTACCACTGCAGAAAGGGTGACAGGAACCACGTATTTTAGCCACACAGAAAGTACTACGTGTAGCACAACAACTTGACATAAACAGTGTTTTCCACTGGGAAACCACACCACGGATCAGCTGTTTGGGTCAGGGTTAATTACAAGAAATAACAGATAACAGATAGCAAGGACAGTGAATAGAGTCAGAAATTGGGAAGAGATGCAGGAAAGGAACCACAGCTTGGATTTGAACCCAGGCTATTGGCTTAGAGGACTACTAGCCTCCATAAATGGGGCTATGTGCACTAACCACTAGGCTACCGGCATCCGGCACTTCACATGCAATTGTCTCAGAATTGCATGTGAAGTGTTATCTGTTATCTGAGGCCAATATGAATGAACAGATCTCTGCAATGCAACTCTGCATTAAAATATGTATGGTGACCAGGAACAGTGGAAAAACACAAGCAATAAACTATTTTGATATGTGGCATAGAAAACAGGGCTGTTGTACATTTAGCTGCAGGAAGGGAGTTTTACCAAGTGCACATGACCCTTTCTGCAGTAGTGGTAGATAGGTTGGCTTAAGAGTAGGAACTCCAGCTGGCTGCTCCAAACAGGGACCGTGCTGACTGTTATCTATTGTGCGTAGTATACTTACTACTGATAAGTGCCTCATATAAAAAAAGGCCATTGGATCTAAGACCTACTAACAGTTGGCCCTTCGACCTTTAAAACACCCTGACACCCGTACCTAGTTTGCTGTTAAGATTTTAATTAATGGATGTTGAAAGTGACATTCAGAATATATATATATATATATATATATATATATATATATATATATATATATATATATATATTCAGAATATCTATGATATTTGGTCCGATTGAAATCTGACTGTTTCATCCATCACCAAGCCTTATTTGGACATATATACTGTATGCTCAGCGCTGTTGAGTTTGGCTAATTTGCAAAGCACAATAAAGTGGTGTAAAATTTTACAGCGACTGCAGATATTTCTATCCAAAACATCTGTGCAGGAAGCGTTGGGTCCAAACATTTTTTGAAGGATATAGGATCAAGGTTTGCATCAGCATCGATAACCAAGTTAAGCTAAAAAAACAAATGATGGTAAGAAGACAACGAAATCACAATTAAAGGTCTCTCTTGAACATATAAAGATCTTGGCCTTTTCAAAGAAAAGCTGCTTCTATGCAGGACAGAACAAACAAAAACTGCTCTTGAAGTTACCATGTGTTTATTTAATTCTGAGTTTCTTCTTGCTCTGTCTCCTTGTCTTTCACACCCAAGGCATTGACAGAATTTTTCTGCTTCAACATGAATTCATTGGTGCTAAGGGACCGAGCGGTGCTGCGGCGTCGGGCCAATTCTGCCAGATCCTCAGCCAGCACACTCTCCATCACGGCGCCCAGAGAATGACGGATTTTGTTACGCAGGTCTGGGCAGCTGAACACATACAGGATGGGGTTAAGGACACTGTTAAGGAAGCCAATGGTCGCTACGTATGGGAGCGCCTTGCCTGCAAATCTCTGTGCAGGATGCCTGCTTGGCGCCACCGCCTCCATGATGATGAATAAGTGGTACGGAGCCCAGCAGAGTATGAAGGTCACCACCACGGCCACCACGAGACGGACGAAACGGAAAGGGCGTCGGCAGCCTCGGCGTGCCAAGCCTTGGTTCACGGCAGCGTAGCTGAGGATTATGATCAGCAGAGGGATCAAGAAGGCTAGAAGAGTCTCATGAAGGCCAAGGCCACCTTTCGCTGCTGACACAGGTGTCCCAGGTCAAAGGGCTCGTTTGGGAGATGCCGAGCGTAATTGTAGTAACACTGATCTTGCCATCAGGTAGGGCAATGGTATCCCGGAATATGTAGAAGGGGATAGTGAAGACAACAGCCAAAGCCCAAATCACCCCACATATCTTCCCAACAAGCTGGATATTCCTGTAGTTCTGGGCCCAGACGGGTCTCAGAACCACCAAGCAGCGGTCCAAAGAAATGGCCGCCAGCAGGAAGCCGCTCACAAACATGTTGAGAAAGAAGATAGAGGAGTGGATCCTGCAGAAGGTCGTGCCCAACGTCCAGGTGTTGCCGCGGGCCATGTAGAGGGTGAAGAAGGGTAGAGAGGCGGTGGCCAGCAGGTCAGAGGCGGCAAGGTTCAGGATCCAGACGCTGATGACAGAGCGGCGGACGTGAAAGCCGACCACTCCGAGGATGAGGAGGTTTTCGATGATGCCGACGGAAGAGAACAAGCCATGGAGAGTGATGGTGAACACATTTATAGACGTGGCCTTGGTTGTTTGGTTGGATGGGATACCGCTGAAGTTTGCCTCCTTGTAGAAAGGACAATACACCATCTTGGAGGAAACACTAAAGGGTCGTCCAAGGTGATAAAACGTAACCTAAAACGTAGACTTAAGCTCAAAGATCTGCAACATAGATAACAACATGTAAGTTAGTCGCCTTAAGTGCACTTTCTAAAGTGACCACATTTGCTTCTACCACATTACTGTAAATGTCCCTTTAGAAATACATGTGTAATAAAATGCATAAATATCCATCTTTGCAAACGTAAAGGATAACTGGGTTTTATTGCATTTAACTTGTTTAATAACAGCATTTGTGTCTGTGTCAAAGCCATTATCTTGCATCAAATTAAACTTTTTTTGTGTGTGTGTGCAGTCTTTGTAGCACCAGAGATCTTATCTTTAACATTTCTCACTTCCTCTTTTAGTACAAGATTCAGTCTGTCAGATCTTATAATGTACCACATAATGCCATTTTGTACTTTAATATCTCTGATTGTTAGTATAATCAATCATGTAGGAATAAGCCTAAGGCTCAGGTAATAGATGAATTGACAAATGACATCATTTTTGACGACTTCATGCTCACAAGTACAAGAACTTACACAAGCTCTAAGAGTATGTGTATTATAGCTACTATAATAGAATTTATAGCTACTGATCTACAAAAGCAGAAGCAGAAAGAAATGGACAAAATACCAATCTGGAATAAAATCTGCAAATCATCCTTTTGCAGGATAAAGATGAATCTAAAGTAAATCCACAACAGATGTTCAAAGAGTTCACATGAAACTTATGTATTTATCTGTCTCCCTTCAAGAAAATGTGTGAAACTGAATCTTGCTTAAAATAACTTTTACTGAAGCCCTTATGCAAACATGCAGACCCCACTCGTTGTTAAGTTAAATCCCTTACCTTATTGTGTGTCTCTGTTTAGATCTTGTTCATGTCACTGAATCAGACCGAACCCAGTGTTATTCTCATGAGCATTTAACAACAATAATAGGAAGTCAAAAAACCTCAAGGGAACTTGAACACACTGCAACTATAGGTGTCAAAACAACCTCTTCTGACAAGACTTCTTATAGACCAGTCTTCTAGTCTAAATAAGGCCTGTTTGGTGTGTTGGCCTCTGAATAGAAAGTGTATGAGGAGACAAGTGCTGTCATTTATAGAGCTTTATGTGCAATGATTTGACTTTATTTTGCTCTAGTCTTGTGATTTCTTCAGAAGTACAAAATCCTCAAAACGACCTTTGGCACTGGACATTCCCATTCAAGCTGAGGCTGGATTTAAATGTAATGGACTCTGGCTGGTTAATAAAACTTGAAGTGAGCATGATGAGGAAATGGGGTATTTTATGTCCTACTTTATCTGCCTTTTCTGGTTTTAATTTTATTGTCTGTTTTGGTTTGTTTTTTGTAGTTTTCCATAAAATTCTTATTGGAAAAAAAAACAACGACCTTTTACATTTTACAAGTTTTTGCTGCTTGTCTTCAGAAAAGTGTTGATGACCATTTACCGTCAACAGCATACATACTCACTGAAGCGAGGATACTAAAACAACAGGTAAAGAACGGACAGCACATAATAATAACAGTAAAATATGTACTTTCTCTCTTAAAGGTACAATATGTAGAATTTTACAACAATGTTTACATTCAAATATTTTAATTAATAAAAAATGGACTAAACCTATGTTATATTTTTCTTTGTTAAAAATGTACATTCCCTCAAATATTTCCAACAGTTATCATAGCCGGGGAAATCCGTAATTTTATAGTGTCTTGTCACGGCAGCCGCCATGATAAGCCGCCATTACAGACACAAAATGTTTATTGCCGTGGAAACATGTAAATTATACTGTATAACGCACAGTATATTTTGACATTGAATGCACAGTTTGTACATTCCACCACCAGGGGGCTCTCAATCAAAATCATGGGAGTGATGGTGCGTTCCATTTACCTCGGAAATCGGATGTCGGAGCTGGTAATGACGTCACAGCGGAGTTGAGCGCGTTCTTGTTGTGAGTGTGCAACAAGTCAGACAAGCAACATGGACGCCTCTAGGAGTACCTTTGTTTTGTTAGCTGACACCAGGTGATAACAACACACTACATGATACTCTGTGCACAGAAATAACACAACAACATGTCCACAGATAGAACTTGCATGACAAAATCAGAGTGATTGATTTATTAAACAAAAAGAGAACTATGTTTTTAATAAACACTATAGTTACAGCTTAGACGTTACTGTTGATGCACATAGCAGCCATGTTGGATTTCAACTTGGGCTTCTGAAGGTTCCACAAGTTTTCAAGGCAGAATTCCGACTTCAGGGGGCAATTATAAAAGAGAATATAATGGGGCGAATTAACTACTACTTAACAGACATCTGTGTGTAGTGAGTAGTATGTAACTATTTATTTTTATCTATTAGATTTAAACCTGGAGTACATGTTTATGGTGTTATTAAAACATGGGTAGTACAGTGAAGGGGAAGAAAAATACTTGAAAAAATGAAATGAAGCAAAACAGAAGTTACCTCACGGAGTAACAAGTCAGGTCTTATATCATCTTCAATCACTCAAACTTTATTTGTATAGCACCAATTTATTATCATTAGAAATGTTATCTCAAGATACATAACGAAAAGAGCAGGTGTAGACTCTACTATTTATTATTAAGTTTACCAAGACCAGACATTGATCCACCAAGAGCAGCACCAAGCAACATTTAGCAGAACTGGACTCATGTTCAGTCAAAACTCTGTTGAGATTGTTGAAAAATTAAATGATATAATCCAAACAGTGTTTCACATCACATGCTGCTGTTTGTAGAAATGCTGAGAAGTCTAACTCTGTGTTTGACCCTTTTTTTTTTGTATCACTGCAGGGTATAAAGTTACAGTCTATGTTCCAATCCATCATGTCTGTGTGTAGTATAGGTTTATACTGACACCTGCTGGTCATTTGTGTGTCTAACACACCTGGTTTCTCAAATGTTGCCGAGCAGTCTCATCATTTGTGGACACAATGCAAATTTAGGAGCAAAACATTTCTGGTTATTGTATGTTTAGATTGGAGGTAAAGACCCATAAAAGATTAGATTAGCTTTATTGATTCCCTGTGGTGGGAAATTCACTGGTTACAGCTGTTCACAAGAAGAGAACAATTACATAAAGCAAACAAGTTGTGAAAAAAATAGAAGAATACTGGGGGCAAAAAGGGATTTAGAAAATGACATAAATAATAATAGTGAAGATAATAATGAAGACTACGAATGTGACCACCATGGAATCGCTACACAGGAGTAAATGCAGAGTAAGTAATGCACATATGATGAGCAAGCAAAGGTCATAAAGTGTCATACACTCACTTCTGCTTTACGTTCAACATACCCTGACTGCTGTTGCAGTAGCAGTTTGGGCGTGTGTGAACATGAGGGTGTAATATGTGTGGGCATGCTTCAACACAGTGACAGATACTAACATTTATCCTTCTGTTATATATAAAGGTAGAACTCACAGTTAGTCATCAGCCTTAATGCCAATATTGTCCCTTAAGACAATGAGTTTATGTGATAGTCTTTAGCAAATACAACACTTTAAATTTATCGTTCATTCATTCAAAGTTGATTTAAAATCAAGAAACCATTGAGGGCTCGATTCAGTGATGTTGAGAGTCCAATTCAAACAAATACATGACAAAAAACATAGAAAAAGTTGATATATTATAAATAAGGGGGAGACTTGGCTTTTAAATAAATTATCAATCTATTTTTTAGTAATGCCTACATACATACATCTATGTGTCTAACACTGGTGTGATAGTAAGTGCATACACATAGGGCTACATGCAATCACACCATCACTTTAAAGGGATACTTCACACATTCGCATTAAGCTTAGTATCACCAGAAACTTGGTAGTATTTTTGAATGGTTGTGCATCCCGCCCCATTATCCCCTGAGACAGGAAAGCTCCGTATTTCTTGTCTGAAAAGGAGCCTCCGATGACGCAAAAATCGTAATTTTGCGTCATCAGAGGCAATACACATTCTGTGACATGCATGGCTACAGTTACCAGTACGTTGGGGCCCTCCTGTGTTTCTGTTAATCCTCCATTTTTTTTTTACTAGGATCTGTGTTTCAGACACTTTTCAAAGACAACAGCCTTCTTTGTGATGATTGGTTAACACATCTGGGTGAGAAAAAACGACAACAGGAGTTCCCCAAGTCTCTGTTCTCGGAATCTTAAGCTTTTGACAGCAAGTCGTTGAAGATGTCTCACACATCCCTTTTCTTGCTCACTCACTCACAACTGCTGCTGCCATCATCTGGGGCTGTCATTGGGAAATCAGCTGTCTCATCAGCTGGTCTCATCCAACCAATAGCACAGTGTATCTCTCCCTCTTATGATTAAGCAACTGGAGCAGCTTGAATCAAAGGCCTGAACAACACAACTTGCATTGAGCAGTACTAATCGTCCAAACCTTTAACATGCTCGGCTAGCACACGCTGCTCAGGCAGGCAGCGTGAATCAGTGATTTGCATCCTTCTCTACGTCCACATTGTATCAGTGTTTTATCTCCAAAGACAAATTTCAATTAGCAATAATGGTTTAAAAAGTTTTCATTTCAACAAGTTGGGAGAATGTGTTTGCAAGTAAATTATTATAAGAAAATATCCACTAGCAATGTATAAGCAGTGGTGACAATGTACAGTATAGTGGAATGCTCAAGAACAATGTTTCCATCAACAAACTGCCCCAGATCATCTTGGGTCTACTTCCTGTACCTGTTTAGAGTCTAAGCAGGGGGAAAACAGTCTTTTTAAATGTATTTACACATATACAGTGGTGTAGTGTAGGGTATACATAGTATACCCACTTATTTTTCGGTCTCCATAGGGTACACCAACTTCTAAATCTCCTCTGATTTACACCATTGATTGATTGACAATAAGTAATAGTCTTCTACTTTTTTCCCCTGATGGTGAAGGGATGACTCTCCATACTCCGTCTCTAATTGTAGTAAACTAGTACACACAAACTAAGTATTTAGGAGTATTCTTACATGACACTGTTTGTAACAGTGGCTGTCTATCCTCTGCTGGATGTGCCATCATTTGGGGGAAAATTAAGAGTATACCCACTTCCTTAGGGCACCATTGCACATACATGAAACATAATTCCACCTGTGTTAGCTGTTGTACTTCACTGAGACTCTGTCATTTTATATCTTGATTAAACTGTTTCTAGTGAGTTGTTTTTCTTCTTAATTTTAATCAATTTGGACCCAAGTTTGGATAAAGTTTTAACTCACAATACTATTTACTAATATATATACTAAATGGTCTTTGCTTGTGCTTAGCTGAGCCAAACACATATCAGCCCTGAGCAGGCCGTGCATAAATAACCTTTCTACTGATATGGTCCTCCAAGGTACAAAGATGACTTAACCCATATGAACCCACGGTGACACAGGTGTCCCAGACTATTTAAATTTCTAAATAAACTAAATAAAGTTCCTTACACAGCTTTATCCTTTAGTTTATTGAATGAAGTCCCTGAGTGACACATGCTGAACATCCCATTTCAAGATGGCTGTGTGTTAGGTCAACACATGGGACAAAACTAGTATATTTTAAAAGCTTGTATTTGTTACTAAAGGTAAGATTCAAGCCATTTAACCATTTTAATGCTTAAATAACAGGTCCTATAATACATTGAACCTGTTCTGACCACATTTCTTGAATAAATTGACAAAAAACAAATCACAAAATTATCGTTGGGACATATGTCACATCGGGCCTTAAACCTGAAAATAGTCTTGTAAAACCTTGTGTAATACGTATGTCACAAGAAGACAAAAGTAAATGATGTGCTCAGTTAATGAAGCTGATCTCATGATATTCAATTCAGCTGCACCCCCTTGTGGTCGGACTATGAACTCTTGACTTCAAGCTCTTATTATACAGTATGTACTCCGCACTTCATTTAACTTGCTACTGAAATCCCTCATTTAATCCTGTGATGCTTTAAGGTGTTTTTATGTGCTGTCCTGTATATGTTTGTTTGTATTGTGTTTAATGTGCAAGGCAAATTCACCCTAGGGGCAATAAAGGTTTCATTTATTCAGTCATTTTTAAAGAGTTCATATTATCCCCTTACATTTTCAAACAGTCCCCCTGTGGTCTAAATGGAATATCTGTGCTGTGCTTTGGTCAAAATATAACATGAATCAAGCACCAGAGGAGGTTTGTGACCCTGTATAAACCAGCTCTCTCTGAACGCTCTGTTTTGGTGTGTGTGTCTCTTTAAATGCAATGACCCCCTCCTGAGTTTTTCCCGTAGACATCACTCCTCTGTAGTGAAAAAAAAAATGGCGGACCTGCACAAAAGTTTAGCTCTAGGCTGGGGGTGGAGTCCATGGGTGAAGATATCAGGGGAGGGGATTATTTTACCAGGATCCAACTTGTGACATCACAAGGAGAGCACATTTGAAACGGAGCATTTTTCTGTGTTGTAAGACTCATGCAGACCACAAAGGACTGGATGGGTTTATTTCACATTTTGTGGGCCAGTAGACACTCAGGTTACCCAAATATATGTTAAAAAAAAATTACAGTGGATTTTTTCATAATATGTCCCCTTTAATATCGTTCAATTGAAAGGATATTGAATCAAATGTAAACATTACACAAATGTCAACCTTAATAAAAACGGATAATAAAATATTTTTTTCCTATTAATAAATAAAACAATAATCGAAAACCCTTTTTCAGTGATATTTCATTATTTATTTTTTTCTGTACTTTGAACAACTAGAGCAGGGGTGTCAAAGTTCTATTGGGTCGGGGGCCGGATTTGTTCAAATGAGACCTCAAGTGGGCTGGACTAATTTTGCAGACATCACTATAACTCAACACATGGATACATAGGCTAATGTATGATTAGAAACAAAGACAAAAAAAGGTACTTGTATAGAAAACTGCATGTTAACGCATAAAATGTAAATGTACATTAAGCAGAGGGGTCAACTGTCATTGCAAACTGCATGTTGGCAAGTGGAAATATTTAAATGTACCACATAACAGAAGAAAACATCAATAATTATGTTTTGTTTGAGATTATTATATTATGTTTTAATATTGCTGTTCAAGGTTATACAAACTTTGACTCAGGTTATTCTACCTGCCCTGGGATCAGTGCATTACAGAGAGAGAGAGAGAGACAGAGAGAGAGACTTTAGATCTGTATGTCAGGCCACAGCACAGTTTGCACTCGTTAAGGTTCATTACAGATAAAACCTGCTCACATGAATAAGTTATCACAAACAAACAGAGTGTCTTTGATACAAGACCGAAGTCATCTTTGGGTATTTTAGTGTGAGGCATTATAAAATGATAACATGTTTCCAAACCAACAGACTTGAATTGATCCTTCAGCACTGCAGTCTGATCTGCTCCGTGTGGAGTGTACGTTTTTCAACTAAGTAGAGTCAGTTAAACGACATTTCATATGAGTCTGGTAGTCCGTTCTTCTCCGTGTCCGCACTATCGTGATCTAACTCTGTCACTGACTTTTTATGTGCCATGAATCTGTGCAATCTCCGTGCGCAATTCGAGAAAGTATTTTAGCTCTGCTCCGCGGTTAAACCAGCGGACCTCTGTATGATCGGGCAGCCTGTGCGTGATATCGTTTTTGGATAAGAATAAAATGTTCAGTAATAGTTATATTTTTACAGTCTGGTGAAAGCTGGTGATAAAGGCGTAACAGCAGTCTACTGCATTTAGAAGTGATGTCACGCTGAAACTTTTAGGTGATCAATACAACACGTTCACCTCTGGGTGACCTAAAAATGAACTATCTGTAATTAAAATCAGTTAATATTCATTTTAATTTACTGTTTTTACAATAAGAGGTAAAACTAGTCGGGAGATGCATCAGGCTCAACGCCGGTGTCCGCAACCTACACTTAGTGTGGATGTGTGGAGACGGTCTGGGCCATTACGCATGGCGGAGAGGATTGTTTTTTATTTGCACGAGCTGCTCTTTGTGGCTCACTCCATAGGAAGCTTTGTTATTATCAGCCAAACTTTAGTTTTATATCAGTCAAGACAGGAGAAACTGGTAAGAAGTGTGGACAGAACTGAAGACCGTCATGATGCGCGCGCAGTGCAGCGGTGTGCCTGTTACGTTAAGTCCCGTAGCTTTGATGAAATTCTGGCAACTTGTGAGTTCCTTCGATCTCTCTTGAAAACCTGCATTCTGTGTCACCTCTCTGAGGTGTTCAGTCTGTTTGCTGATTAGCGTAATGCAGGAGCAGCTCGTGGCGCGCGGCCACTCGTCTTTTTGATGATACTCCCTGCTGAGAAGATAGTTCAAAGTGCCCCGTTTCATTAATATTTGTGTCATGATATCAACCTTTACGTTGCTCATTATACATAGGTTTTAATACAATTTGGGGAAAATACGTATTACAAATATTTAATTTATAAAAAATCTCAAAATATTTTTCAATACATTTCCTCCTCCTCCATCCCTGAACTAGGGCAGTTCAGAGATGAACTGGCAGTTATTTCTGGAGATGACAGTAAAAGTCAAATGAGTCGGATTCAGAAACTAGTGAATTAAGTGATTAAGATCCAGTAGATTCCCAAAGTGGGGGTCGGGATGCCTTCCAAAAAAACAAATACAAATTAAAAATTGTATATTTTACCCATCATTGTTTTCTATCTTCTGACTACTCAAAGCACTTTTACTGTGCAGGTCACACCTACACATTCACACACTGATTGTGGAGGCTGCTTTGTAAAGTGTCCATCAGTAATAAACTGATCAATTCATAAACGCATAAAAACACCACCGACCAAGCAGCGGAAGCAACTTGGGGTTAAGTGTCTTACCCGATGACACATCACACATGTGGCTGGAGGAGCAGTGGCTCTGCTCTACACTCACTCAAACACTAAATGTGGCCTTACCGTGTTCCTCTGACCTCATTGCTGCATATTTGAGCAGGTACAAGCAGGTCGCAGGAGAGCAACCTCGAGTCATATCCTCCGTCTTCAGAAGTGCTCAGAACAGCTTCCATAACCGGTTTAAAATCAAACCCCCGACCTTCTTTTCTCATTGAAAGACGACCGGCTCTACCATCTGAGCCACTCAGAAAAATACTTTTACCGACACAAAAAAAGGTGACCTGTACTACAAACGAGAGCCCGACCGATTAATCAGCCAGCCGATAATATCTGCTGATATTAGCATATCCAGTGACTAACGGTTTCGACTAATTTTATCGCAGATATGCACCGATATTAGTCAAATAGCTTTCATTGTATTAGACTAGCAGTTCTCTTTCACCAGCAGAGGGTGCTATATGCATTACAACAAGCATCATCACTCAGAGTGTTAAGCGGTGATCCACGTACATGTGCAGTTAATTTCCAGTCGAGTGATGATCTTGTCTTCATTATAACTCTTTTCCACAAGTGTTTAATAACTTCCCTTGAGGAATGAACACTATAAATGTGTTTATTTAACTCTACAGATCGAACATAGATCTGAGAAAGATAACGGCGAACATATCGATCTGATTTTTTGTTTTTCCCTCCTCCATATCGATGTCGGTATCGGCCTCAAAAATCACATATCGGTCTGGCCCTACTACAAGCAAAAAATAGTTTCACCATGAGTCACCAACAAATCTATAAGAAAACAAATTAAATGATCCAAGAGTCTTGTTGTGTTGAATACACTATCTCAGCATAAAGTAGCAAATCAGGGCATCTCACTTCCTCTAGTGTGAGCATTGACACCCACCTATTTGCACCCACTGGGTCAGTTACTGACAGTTTTCCGCTGCAGATGTAACTTCAGTCTTTGACCTCATTTCTTCTGGAAGAGTGTGAACAACCAAGAGTGGAGGATGCTCAAGTTGTACATGCTGTTTGTTCTTCTTCACAGAGCAGGTACGTCTCAGGTTTGTTTCTTCATGCAGAAAAATGATTACATGTAGTGTACTTTATGAGTTTTCTGGAACTTTTAAATGTGTCAATTGGTATTTACATTTTTTTTGTTCCCTCTGTTTTTTCAGCTTGTACTCTGCTCTACGCTCACCCTGGACAGAATGTGACCTTAAGGTGCTCCTTTGACCCCAGCGCCTCATATTTGAGCTGGTACAAGCAGGTCGCAGGAGAGGAACCTCAAATAATATCCTCCTTCTTCAAAAGTTCCAAGAACAACTTCCACAACCAGTTCCGAAACGACAAGCGCCTTTCGGTTCAAACTGGGGCCGAGTTCTACAATCTGCTCATCTCTCACGTGCAGGACCCAGATTCAGCGATGTATTACTGCGGACGCACCGTCATAGCAACCACTGAATTCTATAAAGGAATATTTTTGGTACTAAAAGGTACTTTCACTCATGTTCTAAAAAGTTTTGAACATCTTTTCCATGAATTATTGTGTTTGATTTTTCATGTCATGACCCATTCTATGCTTTTTTTAAACATTTTTTTTTCATTTCAAGAGTCTGGTCACAAGTCTTACATTCTGCAGCCGGCGTCCGACTCAGTGCAGCCAGGAGGCTCTGTGAACCTGAGCTGTGCGGTGCGCACCGGGACCTGTGATGGAGAGCACAATGTGTACTGGTTCAAGAAGGACTCAAAAAACTCCCCGCTGGGAATCATGTACATCAACCCACACAGCAGCAGTCGGTGTGGTCGGGACCCCGGGGATGAGCCTCCTGAACACAGATGTGTGTACAGCTTATCCAAAAGGAACGTCGGCACATCCGAGGCCGGGACGTACTACTGTGCCGTGGCTCACTGTGGAGATATTTTGTTCGGGGATGGAACCAGACTGGACGTTGAAAGTGAGTGCCAGACTTTTATAAAATATCTATAAAACATTTTCCTCGCAGGGTTCATTATTTTGAAAATTTTCACAGGGAAAGACGATGACCTCTCCACCGCCTTGATGTATTGCGTGGCTGCAGCTCTACTTGTGTCTATAATCTTGAACATAATCCTCCTCTGTATCCTGTGCAAAATGTTCAGGAGGAAACTTCTTTACTCTGGAGGTAAAATGAACTTTTATTTATCAGTGGAAAAAAATATTTTCCAGTTCTGTATGAGAAGAAAGAGTAACTTACAATCTTACAAAAACAATTCTTAGTTATCACATTAGCTGCTTATTACATGTGAGATATGTCTTTGACAATTCTCTACCTCTTTATAATCAAGGTGAATAGTAAAGGTCATAGAAAATTATGATGAATGAATAAAACATTTACACCTCCTAGGGAAATTTGACTTGCACAAAAACATGCAAGAGAAATGACGTTGGCAACTGTACAGGACAGCACATCAATCAATCTATAGCCCGAATTTGTAACAAATGTAATCTCAAGACTTTACAAAAAGCAGGTAAAAGATCGTACTCGTTGATATATCATGCAACAACAGAGCAGGATAGGAGCTCAAGGGTCAAGTCTAAACCTTCACTGCCGTCTCTTTTTACCTCCAAACTGAGGCTTGTCCCCTCTTTTTGTCTGAGGAAATCTTTATCAATCAAACATGATATTTAAAAGAAAAATTAAAGCCAGTTTGTTTAAGACATCTGATGAACTGTGTTGATTAGGTTTGTTGTTCTGTTTTGTGTTGACGTTTGTGATCTGCTTTGAATGGTATGAAGTGATTTGTTACTGAGGACTTACTCGTGGGCCGTCATTGGCTGTATGCCCCCTGTCAATTTATTTTAATTTAAATTAAAAATTGGTTTTGAATGATGTGTTTTCTTAATGAATGACCAGAATTCTGGTCTCTTTTCATTCAAGATTCATTTCAGATGTTATATTTCTATGTAATTGTTTGGTCACTGAATGGAATAGATTTACTATTAAAATAGACCTATAGCAGCATAACTAGGAGCTGGTCCATACATGCACCAACTCTAATTATAAGCTTTATCACAATAGGTATGTAAACAAGAAACAAATTAATTAATGAACAAAATAAAAAAGCATCATTGAAGCACGACATGATTAAATGTAAGGGATGTCAACTAGTAGGCTCCTTTAAAACCACCTCAGCTGACCAAAGTGTTTTACAGACAAGACGTCAAAACGACAGGTGACGGGAATATTCATTATGTGAATAATTAGATTATGCTATACAAGCAAGAGTTCATTTGTAAAAACAAATAAATGCCATTCTGGAAAACAGTGCCCTTACAGTATAGATTAGCACTTTGAATAGAGCTTTTTTTTAAAATCCAAAATCTGTTCTGGTGCAAAAACTCAAACTGTCTTCTACTCGGTTAAAGACACACAATGTCAGTCTAAGTCATATTACCTGAAAGTGTTATGATGTTTTTTTAAACTGAGTTATCGGCTTTTGCAAATGAGCTTTTCTATTGTAAAATTAATAACAATTAAATTGACTTAGGGGATAGGATTAAATGAGTCATAACTTCTTCTTACTCCTTTTCGGGCATGTAAGAGCGAATGAAGGACGTTGACTTTTCTTTATTTGTTTTGATAACAGCTATTCTTTTTTTTATATTTGAGAAATAAAGAAATAATATATTTTTTATAATACATTTTATTTGTAATGCACTTTACATTTTAGCAAATCTCAAAGTGCTAGAGAGTAGAAAAAAAAACAAAAAAAACGTCATCAATAATAATAAACCATGGGAATAAAAATGTAATGAGTTAGCGCCTCTGATGAGGGGAGGAAATCAATTCCACCAGAGAAGGTACGTTCACCTCTGAGTTTCCGCTGAGCCCAGACCTGACAGATCATGTCGGGGTGTAAGGGGTTAAAAGTTCTGATAGAAGGTGGATAGACCTCACAGTGACTTAAGTAAAGTAGTAAGTTCAATAAAGTGCAAAGTTAATACAGTTTTATGAGAGATTATTGAGAGGCTGAATGCATTTTTCTTTCCAGATATACTTTAAGATCTCTGTGAAATATTTCTATCATTACTAATTTCTCAAGATAAACGGCTGCTAATTGTTTTATTTGAATAAAAACTACAATGATCTTTTTCTATAAATGTAGGGCTGCAGCACCAGTCCACTGTCCAAGACTTCACCGCTGACAATCAGGTAGGAAGACACAGCACATATTTAAATAAGTTTAACCTCTAATAATTCATCTTTCCTTCTTTTTTAATGTGCACTTTGTATCCTGCAGAATCCAGACTTGGATACTTTGCAGTACGTTGCTCTGGACCTCAAAAAGGGGCACAACAAGAGCCGGAGACTGAGGAGCCCAGAGGAGGAGACGGTCTACTCTGCAGTGAGAAAGTCTACGTAAAGTGAAGTTTTCTGTTTTATTAGAATCAAAGTGTGTCCAGTTATAACCCCTGCTGCTCTCCTTCTACGCCCTGCTACTTCAGTTTTTCTTATATCTTTATAATATGATCCAGATTTATGCTCCTTACACATTTGATAACATTAAATCCTGCGTTTACTCCACATCTATGTAAATAGTATATTCCTACAAGTATATAATAAATACCATTTCTATAAATAATATGTCTCTTTCATCTTAGAATAGCACCTCATGTCTCAGTCTTTTAAAGCTGCAATGCTTATTTCAGCTGCAGACCTTTATGAAATAATATGAGCAGAATATAGACTCCTTTATTTATCCTATTAATACTATCCTTATGTGATGTGTGTGAGTTCACTTCCAAAATGTGTAATATGTTTTATATTTGATTAGCTAAATAGACGGGGGAACTTGTATTCACAAAAAATACAGGTTGGAGTTGTGTCTCTGGAGGAGAGCGGAGGCTTCAGGATAGCGGAGATGTGGCCTAACAGCAGTTTGTTTTGGTTTCATGCAGGTGCTCAATGGCGACATCTACTGGATCAAAAAACATTAAAAAATTTTATGAACGTTTTAATTATTTTATTATCAATATTAAACATAAATGTTGCCATTTGATTCATTGTACCAGAGTAAGCTCACAAAAATGCCAAAAAAGTCACGGTACACACACACTTAAAACCACAGCAGCTGAAGAATTGTAATTTGTATTCTGGGCTGTAGGCGAAGCATTTCTGATTCCTACATTTCCCATAATGCAACCTTGATGACATCATCCGGATCATTTTTTTTTTGTTGAAAATATTTCAGAAGACGCCCAGCTGTTAAAGGCATTCTCTATGTGTAAATTTGGTGGACTGACCCTTTAAATTCACCATCAGGCCTTTCTCTTAACTCTGCTGTGTGCAGTTCACCTTGTGGTCAGCAGGGAGCAGCAGTCCACCTACAGATATCACACAGGTGTTAGATCATGAACGTTTTAAATAACTGTATGCTGGTTGTATATTTAAAGAAAGGACTAAAGCCACTGTTACCGCTAGACAGTGAGGACCACACAGATTAGTTATTGATAGTAAAGTCCCGTAGAGCATCAATACAGTAGATCATTTTAGCTTCATGGCAGTTCCACCCACAGTGTGATGTGTAGATGTACTATTGTGGTTGACATATAAACAGATCTCATCTCTAACCTATTTTCAGAGCTCAGTTGGTACCATGAGAGAAATAGCTTGTGTCATTATGTGATCCTATCATGTTCCCTCAATCACTGTGGTAAAATGTAAATATGAATGTAGCTGCTTTGAGATGTTTTTACCACATTAAGTAATTAATTAGCCTTATATTGCTTTGGAAAAAAAAGACAAAAATGGACGTTTGCACTTCCTCAGATTAAACCCTCGACCTCTACCACTACAGTAAACAATGAAAGTTGACAAGTTGTTTGATTCACGCGTTTTGCTCGACTTCTGTGTTGTTTTTCCGAAATGCTCTTAATGAAAGATGTACTTTTAAGAAAGTAAAAAAAAAAAAGAAAACTCTCATCTGAGTTCCTGCTTTGGTCAAGCTCGCCCACGTTCAGTTCAGGTGTTTTTTTTCGCCCTCCCCTCCGCCTGACAGGATGTCTGTGTGGTTTTATAGTGTTTGTTTCAGTTGCTTCTCAACAACAACTCTGTTGTTTCACAGGCATACTAATGTGCTTTATATAGTCTTACACTTATAGCAAGTTAAAGATAAACAACCACTGACTCATAGTTTGTGACTTGAAGCAGTCGTAGGAGGAAGGGCATCTTTTGAAGGAGGAAGGGCATCTTTTGATTTATTCAGATCACTTTTAATAGAAATAATTCCGCAATAATCTGAGTTATTTTTCAACCCTTTCAACCCTGACCTGATGTACTTCCAATTCCAGGCATAAAACAATGTGCTGCCACATCATGTCCAATGAGGATCTAAGGTAGCACCTCCTGATGTGTTTGACTTATTCCTAACAGTTATGACTGACAACCCGAGTTAAACAGCAAAGACAGCTTCTGTCAAAGACATCCCAAAAATACCAAACCCCCACCATCAAGATATCCTTTCAATTGGAGGTGCTAGACTCAAAATTATGGGACTGATAAAAGATGGAAAGACAGTTTCTCATTTTGTAACCCACGGCAGATGCAATTTTTTTCCATCTCCACTGACTCTCAATAGAGAGTGTGCACACAAAGCTAACAGTTTTAAAAAGGTGATTACAAGCAGTAGAGTAAGGTTTATCTGCTGATATAAAATTAAATGCTAAACATTAGCATAAAGACAACAGATATTAATACACCAGGACAAACTGGCCTTCACAATCTAGAAATAATTATTTTTGCAAAATCAGCTCCAAATCACAATTTTCTATATTTGAGTAGTTTGCAGTAAACTTGTTGTCGCTCCACGTGGCTCTGCAGCCCAACACCTACAGTAGGTGAAATTACTTGCTACTGTAGCTACTGTACTTTCATCTTTTAAAGCCATTGGGTATTGTTTCACAAGATGTGCCAGTGACTTAATTAAAGTGCCGTCTGATAAGAAGCATGTCAAATTTTTACAGACACAAGAAAGAGCTCAGTGACGGAGCTCCAAATATCAGTGCAGACGCCAAAGAATTCAGTTTAACAAGCAGCCGTGTCTGCAACTCGTCAAAACCACAGTAAACAACTCTTCTGAATATAGCACGATCCAGGAAGTACAGATGAGAAGGCTGATGCTGAGACTTCTGTTCTTTTACGTGCATAGAGACCGCAAAGATCAAAACACTTTTAAAGTCACACACAGAAGCTTGTTTCTGCTCGGTAAAGGTCTGCAGTGTGGCTAACATTGCTTTAGAGTCTGTTAGGCCCAACACAAGTATATGATCTTTTGAATTCTTTCAAGCTTGTGTAACACAAACAAGTCACACTCCCTTAGATTAACTAATGTTTCAAATTGCACAACCACATAAAAATGACATGAATGCAACAAATAAAGTAAATATCTGTGTATGGTTTTAAACATTTCCTGCAGTTTTCTCTCATCTGTCCATCTTGAATGGTGTGCTTGTGAAGGGGTTGAGGGGTATAGGAGCCCTCTGGTTTTATCTCCAAAAGAAATCCACATTGACTTATTGTCTTTGCCTCAACCATGACCTTTCCTTAACCTAACCAAACAAGTGTCAGAGCCCCAATCTAATCAAACCACAAATGTCCCACGCAGTTAACTACTCATAGGGAAGGTTTATGCACCACCACTACAGGGCAGATTCTTGTTTACAATGATGCAATGAAGGGAAAAACCATGCAGCAACCTCTGGTCTTGAAAAATGAAGCTGATGCGGAAGTGAAAAATCCCCTAGTTCATCGAGTGTCCATTTGAGTCTGGCTGCAGAAGCACCAGAAGTCGCACACACATCCCCATTCAAAAAAGCTTGTTTTAACAGCAGAAATAAACATGTTTACAGCCTCTTTCCAAAACAAAAATGTCTTATTAGCTCATGGCACACAGTGTACGGGGTGGTCCGTTTCTTTATAACTCATCTGTTTTGATTTGATGAAGGATAAGAGTTATTCACAATAAGGCACTTGGTGTGATAGACAGGTGGGCGTAGTGTAATGGTTTGTCAGAGAGGCTTAAACCTGCCTCAGCTCCAGCTCTTAGTCAGTCGTTATATTGACTGAAAGTTTAGGTGAGACAGAATTTCCAGCATGGCGCCCACCTTAATGGGACCCTCAAGACCACTGCAGTAACAGAGGGGTGACATCACTCTGACTTCATCCATTAATTACAGTCTCTGGGAACAACTCAGATTCTTTCAGGGAAGGTTGACCTGATGTGAGCGAGCCAGGTTGATATTGATAATGAGCCGTTTATCAAGCACAATAACTGAAACGATTCATCTCAGCAGACTCATTCGGTTTTTGGTTGGCCTTCTTCCACTTTTTCGACATTCGCTGATCCACAACTATGGATAAAGTGTGGTCAAAATTCCATGAACAGCCCATGCTCAAGCTGTCTCCACATTTTTATCTATAATTTCCTTTTTTTTAATTTTTGGGACTATATAGTTAAAGCTGACTAAAACCTATAGCCAATCCTCTCCGTCGTCATGCTATGTGTGCTCAAAAGTCGCCTTAGACCGTGAGAGATTTTCACTTTTTACAGTCGGGGTCCTGTTTGTTGGAATCTGTCACAGTGTGGCATTCTGTATTAGTCATATTGTTTCTCTCTACACACTTTAGGAACAAAACTGTTTTATCTCTCATTGTCATCATGCCGTGTGTCTGTTAAGATTTCTAAAATCTTTGTGTTTATCTCAGGCTTGAGAGAGCATGTGTTATTCCAGCTTAATGCATCTGAAACAACTTACTATTCCCTTTCTGTGGACTTCACCATTTAAATGCACAATATTTAAATCCCGCCACCAGGGGGCTCTTCAAGCAAAATAACAGAAAGATGACATCAAGGCTGGCGGGGAATCAAGAAAAAAACGAACTCCGACCGAAGGCTGTAGTCGAGATGGACAGACGAAACCCACCGAGGAAGAGAATATGTTTACAGACGATGTTTCCAAGTATAATTTACGTGATGTTTTTATCACAGCAGTACATACAGCAACAGTACGGCAGCTTTTAATTGCAGCTCCCGCTTCCTTTAGCAGCGGTCTTTGACTTAACATCTGGTGTTTTCTTGGCAACGATAAACATTCTTTCTGTCATGGCGGCTCATTACAAGACACACCCTGTCACAATTGTAAAAAAAAGGATTTCTCTGGTTTTTATAGCTGTTGGAAAAACCTGAGGTAAATACTCACAACAAATATATATAACATGGGTTTAGTCAATTTTTAGTTAGTTTAGATATTTTAATGTAAACATTGTAATAAAATTCTACATATTGTACCTTTAAACACACACGTCCCCACAAGTACACATCCTAATCCAATGAATAATTACAATGCGTACACAAATCTGGCCAAGATAATGACAAACTTGTGTCATGGCAATAGAGGGCAGTATGTTTGCCAAATAGAAGAAAAACCTTCTGAAGACAACAAACACTGACATGCAGTTTCTTCTACACCTCCGTTCAAAAGTGGACTTGCAGCTGTAGAACAAAGTTGTGGCACTTACTGTCGTCACCTGATGAGACTCCTCTTTCATAAAAGAACAAATCGGTAGTCTGCTTCTATGTCTGACCAATCACAAACAGCCCTCGTCTTCTATAAGAGTCAGGTGCTGCCATCAACTCAAAGAAAAGAAACTGGAGCTCTGCAGCGATGGTGCCACACATTTTTCTGCTGCTTCTTGGTGGAATGTGTAAGTACCTTTTTATATTTTTTGACTGTCCTGAAAAGACGTCTGAGTGAAATGTTTTAGGTTTTCTAAGGATGTATGATATGACTTTTTTCATTTCTTTGCAGGTAAGGTGGCAGCAGATATGAAGATCCCAGGTATTAATCAGGACAGTGGGGTTAAAACAGCTAGAATCGGGGGGGAAGTGACTTTACACTGCTCATTTAAGAACGATGCTGTCAACTTCATTTCTTGGTACCAGCAAAGTTTGGGAGGCAAACCTGTCATCATTGCAACACGGATGAAGCTCAACACACAAGCCACCATCTCCCCTGCGTATAAAGAACGGTTTCAAGTGGATGTAGGAGTTGAAGACGGAATCAACCATCTCATGATCAAAGACATTCGACTGTCGGATTCAGCGACGTACTACTGTGGGATTTTAGAATTCAACGCCATTGAATTTGGAAAAGGGGTGTTTCTCCATGTCAAATCATCATCGTCCAACACCCAAGCTGTCGTCCATCAGCCAGCTTTGGAGCCACTCCAGGTGGGAGATTCTGTGAATTTGAGCTGTACGGTTTACGCTGAACAATGTGCTGAGCAGCAGAGCTTCTACTGGTTCAGACATGGCGCTGCTCAGCCTTCAATCATGTATCACAGTGCGGGTCAGTGCAAGTTTGATTCTGAATCTCAAGTGAGAAACTGCACTTTAAACCTACCTATAAAGGCTGCGAGCTCCTCTGATGCAGGGATGTACTATTGTGCTCTGGCTTCATGTGGGGAGGTTGTGTTTGGGAATGGAACGCAAGTGGAGGTTCGAGGTAGGTTATAATATCCAATAGGGCTTATGATAGTATGACTTAGTAATTATTGCTACATGTATCTGCACCTTGATACAAAGAAGGAATATACAATATAGTTTTCTCTTTCTCTTCGACAGGAGGTTCTGCCAAAGTCCCTTCTCTCCTGGTGTCTTGCCTGAGCGTAGTATTGGCAGGTTCCATTATCGTGCTCCTCACTTTGGCTGTCATCATTTACAAGTTGAACAAAAAGTCATGTTCTCTCTGCAAAGGTGTGATGATATCTTTCTTAAAACATTTCACACTGTCCTGCAATCATCTTGCTTTGTCATTCATGTTCTTTGATTTGCAGGGACAGATCGTCATCTGACAGTTTCTGCAGCCTCTGACACCACGGTAAGTGAAATAAATCCCTTATTGCAGTCTTATTCACAACTACTTTTCACCTCTGTACTATGTCTGACTTCTTTTGTCATTACCAGGGACAAGATGTGGATATTCTCCACTATGCAGCTCTGAGTCTGAACAGAACCAGTGAGCGACATCGCCAAGAAGAGAGCACAGAGGCCCACTGTGTATACTCCAGAGTTAAGAGCAGAAAAGTGTAAAGGACTCATCACTTCTTTCCTCAAGGTCACTTAAATCCACTCAATGTACAATGGCAAATAAATTGCAATAAAATACTTTTTCCTTTGTCAATGTATTTGCAGTATTCTCACTTAAAGGGTGCCTCTTGAAGGTATAACAGTCAAAGGGCTCATCGTGTCCGTACATAAAGTTTGATACTGGGTACAAATTTAGACAAGCAGTCTGTGAAGTATGAAAATCCCCTGCTATCTATAAATATCTTCTGCAATCAGAAACCTAGTACAGGTTCTTTCTTTCAACTTGCAATAGTCTCTCGTCGGTTACCTCTCACACTTGTGGTGAAGGTGGTGTGAGGTACTGAGTGCAAGTTTCCATTGGTGGAAACATGAGTCCTTGCAGAGTTTGAACAAAGGAAGGCCGGCCTGCAGCTTACAGGCCACAGCATCTCACACCTCTACAAACTGTGTGTGAAAGTATGAGTCTTAGATGGAGCAAACAGGCTGTGCACACAAAGTGTAACCTTTAGCAGGTAGGCTATTATCATGGCATTATAGTTACTCAAATTAAGTTAAATCGCTTTTACTTACCTCTGTCGCCAACAGACCACACTGAACTGGTCGCCCATGCAAAGAAAGTTAGACGACCAAAATTTAATTTGGTGATTTGTTACCATTTCCTTTTTACATTTTTCAGTTCCCTAAAACACAACTCGAGTTGAGCTTTTTAAGAATCTCATCATAATGACAGGTCCACAGCTTTCACTCCTCTCCCAACAAGAGGACATTGTGGTTCCTAAATGTAATCAAGTCACATTGATCAGAACATACAGGAGTATTGATCAAGCACTTCAAAAAACCAACCGTGTTATTGTGTGGTTTAAAAACAGAGGGTTGCATTAGTTTTTGAGGGAAAGGGTCAAGGCAGGATGGAAGAACAATGGATCGAATGAGGTTGAAATCTCTCTGGAGCCGTGACCCTGAGGTCAAGGTTAAAAAGTAAATGTAAGTGCACGGTCACACTGGTCATCTGTACCGTGCTGCTACCCAAGCACAATTGCCCCCCTGCAGCACCATTCCCACGCTGGCCAGCATGGCCCGCAGTCACACTACACAGGACTATCCGTGCCTAAGCACGATTACCTCTTGTACATAACGTCGTAATACAACACATGCACGCTTTATGTTATTATGAAGCGTGCTCAGTTTACAAACAGGCAGACGAGAGAGAGAGAGAGAGAGAGAGAGAGAGAGAGAGAGAGAGTCTTTTGGTGTATTTAAGGGCCCCTTTGCTTACAAAACAGAGACTTCAATAGTTCTAATATGTATTAAACTTTAAGGCGCTAACCTTGAATGTATCGGTCTAATGCAGGGTTGAGTTTCCATTGCAAATATCAACCTAGCTGCATACAGACAGGACATGTTCTAGGTGTGGCAGTGTGCTAAGAAACACAAGCATGGTGACAAGACCTGCTCATTGTTGTCTTGAGCAACTTATCTGCCTGATAGCAAGGGCCACACTCAACGCTTTGATAAGGCTTTCATCATTTACAAGTTGTTTACTGTAAATGCACTCTTTGTTCCCTAAGCCCAAGGGTGTAACTATGTTTTGTTTTTTTAGTCACTGTGTGGTCGGCAAGTCAAAGACTAGCTCTCGGTAGGCTAACCTTTGTTCATGCGGCCCCGCAGCTCTTTTTGTCTGAGTGGTTTCAAACAGGAAGCGTCTGCAGTGTTTTCATGCGAAGCAGCCCAGCAGTTTCTCTCCAGTGCCCAGACGATGACAAGAACATAAGAGGAAATAATTTGAACAATAAAGGTTAAACATTGAGCTGTGAACATCTAGGCTCTTTAACAAATGTTGTTTTACCATCAAACTCTTGAAAGCTAGCTACTTTAGCACTGAGTTGGCCTTGAACTGTTAAACAAAATCCTCTTTATTAAACATAAAACAACACATATGCATTCAACTATTCTAATATGTTTCCCAAAATTGCTCAAGCAACACATTTACAGTTAAAGATTGTTGGATATCCCAAAGACCTGCCATACTGGGGAATGATTAGCTAAAGTTGGTGTTAGCCTAAATATGTTTTCATGCCTTCATATTATAACCTGATAATTCAGCCTTGCAGACAGTTAAGCCAACACACTAAGTGTTTCATTTACTGTTGTATGAACCAAAAAACTCACCCTGATCTGTTTTTTTAAGGGAGGGAAATGTGATATTAGAAACATCACAGGTTACTTCGGTTAACTACATAATCTAAGTGTATCAATAATAACAACAACAGCAAAAGTAATTGCTGTCTTCTTTCTGTTGTGATTTAGTACTTATTTTGTTCATCTTTAATCTCTCTGGTTCTGTCTCACTCACTGTAAGTCTGTACACTGTCACTGACTAAATCTCTCTCAATAATCAAGAATATTGGGGCACTGTGGCGTAGTGGTTAGTGCTTAATGGTGGTTCTTTGGTCAGTACGGAGGCTATAGTCATCCAGGTGGGCGGCCCGGGTTCAATTCTGACCTGTGGCAAAAGGAGCCACGGGTCATTCCCCACTCTCTCTCTCACCAATTTCCAACTCTATCCACAGTGCTATCTTGACAATGAACGCACTAAATGCCCAAAATTAAATCTAAAAAAATTTATAATAATCTGGAATATTCTAGAAACTCAACACCATCATCAGTAGATGACAATTAATAGGGTGCTCCAATATCCTTGCTGTTGCTGTTGTTGACTTTTTTAAAGGCTGTAGAGACCATTTTGACTTTTTTTTTTTTTAAGGTTTATTTTGGGTCTTTTTGTGCTTTTATTGTAGACAGGACAGTGGATATCGTCTAAAATCAGGGACAGAGAGAGAGAGAGAGAGAGAGAGAGAGTGGGGAAGGAGATGGGGGGAAAGGAGCCACAGTTGGGATTTACAACTCCTTACACTTGGCACTAACCACTTGACGCCTCCAACATTTTACATACCTGAACCACACTAACAGAACACTAATAAGTTACTGTCGCTTTTGGCTTTATTCCCTCCAGTTGATCATAGCAGTGTTAAAGGTCATTCATCAATACAACCACGTCAGGTTGTAGAGTAAAACAATAAAACCAGATAAAGAATGTTGTCTCTATAAATAGCTAAACTAAACAATGCATTCCAATGCAGCCCTGAATGTGTTTTCATCGTTTCAGATCAAATATTGGGGTGGCCCTTCTGACTAGCCAATCAAACGTAGTCCTCCCTTCTTCTTCACTTCAAAGTACCTAGATTCTTTTCATTCGACGCAGCAAACTCCACACGATGACACCCCTGAGCTTAGCATTGTATCTGACTTATCTGTACTTTGGAGACTTGGGTGAGTTGTTTGTTGTAAAGGTTTTTATATGCAATACCTCACATATAATAACTATAAATGTTGAATTTCATCATCATGATGAATCTATCTCTTATTTTTGGATCTCTTTCTTCCTTTCTTTCAGCTCAGACGACTGATCTGAAATCGTCCATATATGTGCGTCAAGAGAGCGGTGTTATACCAGCTAATGTGGGTGATAATGTGACACTGAGATGTTTCTATGAAGCTCATGCAGTAATGTTTTTCTGGTACAAACAAAGTCTGGGAGAGAAACCAAAGCCCATGACTGTCTTCTATCGACATCAGACAAGTGGAAACTTCCTTAATGAATTCAAGAACAATGATCGTCTCAGATTGGTCACAGGAGCTGGTGAAAATCACTTGACAATCAGGAATTTAGTAATTTCTGACTCCGCTACCTACTACTGTACAGGGAGCTTTGAAAACGATTTTGAATTTGTAGAGGGCACTACTGTTAGTGTAAAGGGTTCAGATTTGAGGATCCCAGCGATAGTCCATCAGTCAGAATCTGAGAACATTCAGCCAGGAGGCTCTGGGGCTCTGAGCTGTTCAATCAACACTGGGACCTGTGATGGAGAACACAGTGTGTACTGGTTCAAAACCTCTGAAGGATCTCATCCAGGACTCTTTTACACACATGGAGGCAGGAATGATCAGAGGGAATCTAACACACAACTACACAGCTGCTTCTACAACTTCCCAGTGGAAAAACAGAATTTTTCTCATGATGGGACTTACTGCGCTGTTGCCACATGTGGACACATTCTGTTTGGAAATAAGACACAATTGGACTCTGCAAGTAAGTACAAAGATGTTGCAAGAAATTACTATAAATATATCATTTCCAGGTTTTGCATACATCTAGAAATACCAGCTAAAGGCACAGCTTTACCAATTGCAAACCATATACTGTGCTGTTGTATCTTGTGTGGACACATACTGTTAAGGGATGAGGAATGGATGTACATGGAGCATAAGAATCTTTAAAGGGGATGTTTTATAATTACTTCCGTTCTGATTACTACCTCTGTCAGGCTCTAAAGTTGCCCAATGCCTCCTTTCTTCTGAATCTGCAGATGGAATTGTCCTGGAGTATTTCTTAATTGGAGCTTTGGCATTCAGCATGACACTGGTCATCATACTGGGGTATGCAACTTATACAACATACAGAAGTAACCGCAGCCATTGCACAGGTAGGCTAACTGTCATACTGTTGGTAGTATTATCAACCTATGCTTTTGTCAAGGCAACACCATGTTTTAATGCCTGCCATAGGCTCGAAGACTTTGCAAGAACGTAAAGACTTTTAAAAGACCAACGTCTTGACGCCCACTCACATTTACAGACAATGTGTCAGTAACTCAAAGACTTTCTAGTTGAACTAAATCAAGACAAGATTATCAAACTCAAGATATTCCATGATGATGTTGAGCTGTAACATACCACCTGTTTCATTTAAAGTTTATTTAAACAGGAAAAGCTCTGAGTTTAATATTTTTCAAATGAGTGTCCTGGCTAAGACTGGAATTTGCACATTAAAAAGTTACAGGCCTACAAAACATTAAAACAAACTACAAAACCCAGGTAAAAAGACCTTGTGTCACAGAGCAGAAAGTCATTATTTAAAGCATCCAGAACCTTATGCATGGTGCTCTAATACCTTCAATCTGTTTTTGAAATGTAGATTGAATCAGTGACGTATTTTCCTCACACTATGCAAAGTAAATGTATGGTTTTATTTATTTTTTCTTAAACCAGACTCGAGGACTTCAAATGGCTTGACTTCAAATGCAGTGGTGAGTTTTTTTTTTCCTTATCAATGTCTTCAACAAAATAAGTTCAAGAGCTAGTCTGCAAAGTAAAAAAAAAATGGCTCATTAACGCAATTCAGAACAATCGTTTTTAGTTAAACTGCTTACACTGGCATGTCTTCTTACCTGGGGTAGCTGTGGCTCAGTGGTAGATTTAGTCGTCTTTCAATTAAAATGTTGGTGGTTTGATCTCAACTCCCGTAGTCCAAATGTCCAAGTGGCCTGCGACAAGACACTGAACGCTATAACCCTATAAATTGGCATAGCCAGCGGCCTTTTAATGTGTAATACTGATGGACACTTAATATAGTAACCTCTAACATAATGGAGGGAATGTGGTGTGAATGGGTGAATGTGACGTGTAGTGGAAGTGCACTTTGAGTGGTCAGAAGACCAGAGCAGTGCTATATAAGTACTGTCCCTTTACCTCTAACCTGCAAGTAGTGCACCCAGAACCTGAACGCTCAAGAACTGGAGTTTCTGGTTGTACTTTGCACTTCTGTTCTGTTCAGGACCAAAACCTTTTAGTTATTCATCATTAAATGTTAAAATGGCAAATGGACTTGAGCGTGTACAGCACATTTCTAGTCTTCTGACTACTAAAAGCGTTTTTACATCGCAGGTAACACCTACACATTAACACCCATTCACACACTGATGGAAGAGGCTGCTATATGAAGTGTCCATCAGAAGAAACCAATCACATTAATACACATTAATAAATTGCCGATGAAGCAGGGGGAGTAACTTGGGGTTAAGTTTCTTGCTTAAGGACACATTGGACATGTGGCTGCAGGAGATGGGGGTCGAAGCCCAGACATTCTGGTTGAGAGACAACCGACTTGCCTTTAATAATCTCTAAGATGTTCAGTTTAGTTTATTTGCACATTTTTTGAAAGAAGAGTCAAACAGAAAATTAAAACAAATGTGCAGGTGAGGTAGAATCTCATGAGGACTTATCTCAAAACCTCACCTTAAGAGATTAAACATGAAGACATGAATGATATATATGAGAATGCCAGTCCTTTTTTTGTGTGTGTAACCATGTGATGTTTTAGATGCTGTAAATCTGATGGAGCCTTTGTGTTTGTCTGTTTCTTTTGGGTTTTTATTCATTTATGTCAATTGTCTATTTTTAGTTATTGTAGATATGTTGTGGAATGTTTGTGTAGTGTGAAAAGAATAATATATAATGAATCTGTAAACTGTATTCTCACAATATAATCTGCGGACCCCAGGGAGAATAGCTTCTTGCTATGTTGAAGCTAATAGGGATCCAAATAAAACAAACAAACAAACGTTCTTATTGTTAACTTGTTCATTCAGTAAAAATGGCCTTTCGCAAAACCAAAAATATTCTACCTTATAAGTGCTGTTATATTAGTCTGGGTTAAAAGGCCCATTTTTTACCGGTAATGTAATACAATATTGATTAATGTTGTCATTTTTTAATACCAGGATTTCCAAGACACAGACGGCATCCATTACTCTGTTCTGAGGGTACAAAAGGTCAACAACAGACCAACAAGACATGAGTGTGACACCCTAAGCGAATGTGTGTACTCCAGTGTGAGGCAGTAGAGCTGCACATTATGACTTTGTAAACTGTAAATATGTAAGAACATGTTTAAATTAATGTGTTTATCAAGATATATAATGTACATTTTTCTGTCAGGTGTTGCCTTGATTCACTGAATATAAAGTTCTGCCTTTCAATAAACTTGTATAAAAGAGCCTCCAGCAGCCAGGTTTTTTTTTCCATTGTGAAAGCATTTTGTTTTCCACCCTCAACATAACTGTAGTGTGCAATCTACAGACACACAACCGTAATCTACAACCTACAACAATCCAATCAACTCTCTGGTTCTCTAGTGTCAGTTTCTGGCACTTAGAGAGTTTTCATTGTAAAATAAAAAGAAGAAACATAAAAAAAACAGTACCAATGGTGGGCCTCCTGCAAAGCCCTTCAGACTTGAGTGAGAATTTGGCCGATGTTTACAGGCCACACCTATCTGCTCCATAGCCCCCTCTGAGTGATGCTTTGCTGAAATAATGACTCATGCTCATAGATACTTAGATGTCAAGTGGAAACATGTTAGAAGATGGACATATTGTCAAATTGTGTGGAATTTGTAGTTCAGGTGTGAGTATTTCCTTATACAATAATTAAACCCAGCATCTATTTGCTATTTGCTCCCAATTTGGAACTAAAGATGGAATTTATTCATAAAATGAGTCACAGAAAGAGACTAAAGCTATAGAAAAGAACAAGATAACGTGAGACCACCAAACTCAACAGAAAGTGAAACTCAGTCGTGGCATCAAAAGCAAATGAGAACTTGAATAAAACATCTTAGCAGCCATCAGGAAGCTAGACTGCTCACATTTATTGCACGAGGGTTATGGTCAGCAAAGCTCCCCAAACATCATGCAATAATTGAAACAATGGGACTAAGTAAGGCCAGCCTTTTCATAGCACAGTTGCAACACTAGCATTACCTTGAAACACATCGTGAACATGGTGGGAAAAAAAGGTGTCCACTTAAATCCATATTTGCAGGTGTATGTTATGTTGGTGATATCGTCATTTTTGTTTGGTTCTTTGAGATGTAATCTACTGGATCTATCTGATGATGTAAACCTACAAATCTTGTTCAGAATAAATGAAAAGGTCGGTCACAAAAAAGGTGTCCATCTCTAGTGTAGTTATTAGCTTTTTCCAACCACTTACCAAGTATTCCAATGTGACACTTTGTGCCAACAGAACACCACAGACCCAGAGATTTAGCTATCTTTTTATAGAGTCTCTGTATTTGTAAGTCTTCAATTCAACTACTTGGTCAGGCATCTCTTCAAGGCCCCCATCACACTCTTTGTCTGTGGTTTCAGACAGGAAGTTAGCAGTGTTTTCATGCACAGCAGCTCCACGGTTGAACTTGAATGTCTCAGTCAAATTTGTAAAAGATATTGATAAAATAAAAGCCAAGTGATCATCCCATTCAAAACTCCCATTCAAAAATTTCCATTGAATCTGACAAAGACATTCATGGTTCCTAGAAGATAAACTCTGTTGTCTTTGGTGATCCCCACAACTAAAAATTCTATCACATAGGATTAAATCTAGGAATCAGGTTTTTCAAAAGAAAGCCTTCAGAATACTGCAGGGCTACCAGGAGAGGGCTGTTTTCCAGGGCTGAGAGAAGAGGTTTCAATGGATAACGTAGAGGCTTTAAGCTGTCTCGTGAATTTCTTAGTTTCATATCAGGAGATTTGCAGAACAAGCCGTTTAGTGCGCCCCACTAGATCTGCATATTGTGTGTGTGTGTTATTTTTTTTTATTATTGACCGGACTCTCTGTGCATTTCCTTGTCTGACTTCCTGTTCGGGTTGTTATATTCTATCCAGCTTGACACGTGCCTGCATTGACTCGGTGGAAAATGGAATCACAGCATATCTGAAACGGAGCAGAGCGTAGTGGCGCTGGTGGCACGCTCCGGAAACAGACCAAGACACTCACTGTGGAAACACAATCATTGACTAGAGTGGCAGCGAACGGCGGTGTTGATCTGACACTTTTCCCATGTGGGAAGCATTCAGCCAGGAGTTTTAAAAGGGGATTAGCATAATAGGTCACTGGTTTAAACATAGTACATTGTTGAGGGCGGCTGTGGCTCAGTTGGTAGAGTCACCACCTTTCAACCAGAAGGTCAAGGGTCGAGGGTTCGATCCCCAGCTGGGCAACATGTCCAATGTGTCCTTGGGCAAGACACTTAACCCTGAATTGCTCCCGCTGCTTCAGTGGCGGTGTATGAATGGCATTAGTTACTTCTGATGGATGATACTACATAGCGATCATCACTACCATCAGTGTGTGAATGGGTGGGTGTGACATGTGGTGTAAAAGTGCTTTGAGTAGTCAGAAGACTAGGAAAGCGCTATATAAGCTCAAGTCCATTTACCATTGACCATATTGTTAAATAAAATAAGGCTTCTTGTGCATTTAAGTCCAAGCATTAGCTCGGAAACAGGCAAAAATTAATAAGTTAATATATACAAATGTGCCTATTCCTGTCATTTTTTTCTGTTGCTGTTTATAAAAAGCGAGTGACTTAAGTTGAGCAATTAGACCAGTGTTTCTCAAAATTGGGTCTCCGAGCCATTTTCAGTGGGTCACTAATACATGCCTGTAAAATATAGAGTCAAAAAGTCCATGAAGCGCTTTTTCAACATCTGTGTTTTGCTCCGTCTCATTGTTCTGTCACATGTTTTGTACCGTCTGAGGTCCAAACTGCACAATTTTTCATTGAAAAAATCTGATTGGTTAAAACAAAATCTGGAATTCGGGTCCCGTTTTTTCATGAAGGAGTTGGTGGTGGGTCCCGAGGACAGACCAGTTGAGAACCACTGATTTAGACTGTCCCATTTGATTGTGTTCATGCTGTGTGATTTGAAACATCAGTCATGTTATGGGAGTTGAGTCTCTTTAAGTGACTTTCTTCTCGAGAATGAATGAATGGAGGGGGCCGTGACCATGGGTTGTCACTTCTTGTTAGCCAATCACAGACAGTCCTCTCCTGTAAGAGTCAAGGACATTTGAGGTTATCTTCATTCATCAAGACAGTTTGATCATGATGACATCTCTGAGGTTAGCTTTATACCTGACTGCTTTTTGCCTGTGGAGAATAGGTAAGTCAAATTTATTCTGGATGTATTTCTTTCCAGCGAATGTATATTCAGTGATCATTTTCAATCACTAAGATAAACTTCCATATTACATATATCCCTTTTTTGTCTTCTTTATTTACAGCTCTGACAACTGGTGTCAAAATGTCCTTTAATGTACGCCAAGAGAGAAGTTTTGTGATGGCTGACGTCGGTGACAGCGTGACTTTACAATGTTTCTTTGAGGGTGATGTGGCAGCAATGATTTTCTGGTACAAACAGGCTCTGGGACAGAAGCCGAGGCTCATCTCTAGTTTCTATAAACACAATTCAAATGGCACTTTTAGTGAAGAGTTCAAGGGCAATTCACGCTTCACATTGAAGACTAAAGATGGGAACAACCACTTGAAAATCACAAATTTGATCACTTCGGATTCAGCCACCTATTACTGTGTAAGTAGCTATGCATACAGTTTTCAATTTGCAGATGGAACTACTCTTAGTGTGAAAGGTACTGGTTGGAACATCACAGTGATGGTCCGTCAGTCAGAACCTGAGACCATCCAGCCAGGAGGCTCTGTGACTCTAAACTGTACAGTCCACACTGGGACCTGTGATGGAGAACACAGTGTTTACTGGTTCAAAAACTCTGAAGAATCTCATCCAGGACTCATTTACACCCACGGAGACAGTAATGATCAGTGTGTTAGAAAACCCATTACAAACACTTGTGTCTACAACTTGCCAATGAAGAACCTGAATCTTTCTCATGCTGGGACTTACTACTGCGCTGTTGCCACATGTGGACACATTCTGTTTGGAAACGGGACCAAGCTGGACTTAGCCAGTAAGTACAAAGTTGAAGCTATTACTTACTCCAGATACTACCAGATGTTACCTAAATCCGGAAATCAATAAATTACCTGACAATATTTTGTTTCCACTCAAACACGGGGGCATTTTAAACTAGCCTATGGTTCCAATGGCCAGTTCCCTAACCAAATTTGGTATTTCTTTGCTCATATCCACCAACATCTTGATCAATATTGAGAAATCTGCAAATATCCGGAATAAAAAATATTATGGCTAAATATAGCCAGTATAAATCTGTTAATCCTACTAAAATGCTTCCTATTGTCTCATGCATACTTTCTGCAGATGTTGAAAACACTCTTGACTCTCTTGTGTTTTTCTTGAGTGGATGTTTGGCATTCACCACCATCCTGGTTGTCGCACTGATTATCTATGTATGCAAGATGAGCAAAAGAAGCAGCCAATGTTCAGGTAAGTGTTTCTGTTTCTGTCCAACAACTTGGGTTTGCTGAAGATTTCTTTTAAATAAAGAGCCTTTCCTATTTCATGACAGAGTCTCAAAGAGTGTCAGCCTCCACTACAGCAACGGCAGAGGTAAATATAATCTGTTAAAATTACTGTTGATTTAACTGAGTTAGCTTGACAGTTTTATGTACCGGTCATAACAGCTGAATTGTGTTTTCCTTATGGGGCATCAAAACACTTAGAGCAAAACTCACAAAACAGGCAGAGGGGTTGATATTTTCACTCACTTCTAAGGCACAAAACATGGTGGTGCTTTAATAGTCAACATTATTATTTAACAAATATCTTGAAAACACCCGGGCGCTGAATCAAAAATCTTAGTTGCAAGTATTCTATATTTCAGCTACTCTTCTAAAAATGTAAAAAAAACCTTTGACCAAAGGAACCATACCTAAATTCTTGGAAAATTTCTATTCATCTTTTGGATTATACCAAACAAACCAGGTGTTACATGATGTGTATTTGTCATGAACCATGAAGAAATGGACAACATGATTTGTTGCGACAAGTCATAACTCCTCATTTCCGCCGCGGGGCCGTCAGCGCCATGGCTTTGCTTTGTTGGGCAGCGCGCCCTGCCCCACTGGTTCCCTGTCTGATGGACCAAAGTATGTGGGAATTGGAGTTAGACGAATACGCCTGAGTGGAGAAAAAAAGAAATTACCCAAGGCAATATCCACACCCAAATCCAGGTGGCGGTAATGCTTTGTTTGCCAAATTGCTATTAAACAACAAACTCAGAAGAAGAAGCAGACACAATAAAACACAAGAAGAAAAAGAGTAAGATGACAGCCAATCTAGAAGACCTAGACAAAAGAAAACCAGTGTCCAACAACTTATACCTGCTGTTTCTTTTTTTAAACTCCAGATATGAAGGCAGAGAGGGTCAAAGTCATGACCAAGGTTATACATATTTTAGGCTTTGCACCCATATGCAGAAGTAGAGGACATTGGCCTCAAGTGTTTATTGAAAGTACTCAATCCTCGTTACAATATCCCACCCTGTGCTCCCATAAGTCAGTAAGCGGTCCCTGCCCTTCACTGCTGTACACAAGCAGTGAGTGAGCATGAATGAACACAGTGTTGTTGCACTAACGACAGATGGATGGACTTCCTGTGACACTTAAAGCTATCCCACAGCAACTGCACACTTCATCAACACTGTGACCTCTGTGTACTGTGACGCCCCTACCAGACAGATTCATAGTGACCAAATGTAGTCATGTGAAATGCAACTTCACTGAGAGTCATCAGATACATTATAAGTTAAAGCATTAATATACCTCAACAGAGCATTGCATAATAGTGATGTAAACTTTGAATCGCTTAAAAAATAATCAAAAGGTTTTACTTTTTGGAAATTAAATGAGGCAAAAAAAAAAAAAGCTGAAAATCTGCATGTAACTTCTCTAGTTGGTGTGTTTTCTGTTGCTAGGGTGACCAAGAAGCAGACAACCTCCATTATGCTGCCCTGAGTGGTCACAAGGCCAGCAGATCAAGGAAAGAGAGGGATGATACCTGGAGTGAATGTGTGTACTCTGGTGTCAGGCAGTAGGACGGGACATGTTTTGGTCAATGAAATAAAATGTTCAGGGGATTAAACGAGGTAGTTATGTGAAAGCCATATTTAAATGTAAAAACTGATGAATGTAACACTGTGTGTATCTTGGAACAACTTGAGCTAGCTTGTGAAACCATTGAACAGCTGTTTTGTGTTTTTCTAGGGCTGTCAGCATTATCTAGTTAATCCTGATTAATAAGGTCTAAAATTAATTAAATGTTTTTTAATTTGTTGATGATATTTTGTCCCTTTAGCACACCATGGATATGTCTCTGCAGTGCCCCGTGTAGTTACAGTGATGGAAAAGAATGTCACTAGTGTGAATAATGGAATTTCAAACATCCGATTAAAGCTGCGATTAAAAAGTCGAATCGTTTTGTCGACAGCCCTAGCTTTTTGTATAATAGTTGGTGAAGACGGCATCACTGAGAGTGCTGGACTGCTAAAAACATGTTAACCATTTTATTTGAGCAAGCAAAACCTTTACCTAAACCTTTATTTGCATTCCTGTTTATGCTTAAGCATCCCCGTAGATAAATATATTGAATTTACTTGAAGATGTTTCCTTCATATCTCTTAAGCCTTTTTTTCTTCAAAGTATTTTTTTTATTGATGATGAAAGCGGTCTGAAATAAAATAATAAAATAATACTTTTTGTTTTTTGTCTCTTTTTTTAAGAAATAATTTGTTCCCTACCAAAGCAACACTGGTTTATATTTACGGTCCATCCATCCATTGTCTTTACCACTTTTCCTGTTTGGGGTCGCGGGGCGGGGCTGGAGCCAATCTCAGCTGTCATTGGGCGGGGGGCATGGTACACCCTGTACCCAGTCAATCACAGGGCTGACATATAGAGACAGACAACCAGCCACACTCAAATGCAGAACTACGGGCAATTTAGTGTCACCAGTTAACCTAACGAGCATGTCTTTGGACTGTGGGAGGAAGCCAGAGTACCCAGAGAGAACCCACTCTCGCATGCATGGGGAGAACATGCAAACTTCACATGTGTGACAGGAATTTGAAACAGGAACCTCCTTGCTGTGAGGCAACAGCGCTAACCACCGCACCACAGTGCAGCCCATAAATGATGGTATATAAACATCGCACAAAAGGTGAGGAAATTTGGTAAATTTGTTTGGTAGATTATTTCTTTGTTGTAACAATGCTTCTTGGCAATAAATCTTATACCGTTGGAAAGCCTGTTTATTTCCCTTCTAAATGGTGCCACATTTGTAAGTTACATGCAATTGTGAGATGAGCAGCAGAGCTTAGTATGTGGGTTGCGCCCATGAAAAACTTTTGAAAAACAACTGCTGTTGACTCTTGTTTGCTGTTGTTTAGTGGATTGGATGATTGAAGTCTGAAGAAACAAGACATATTAGCAATTGAACAATTTATTCATCTAACAAACAGGAGCCTCGTTAGCATGTGGAAGAACCTTACACAGCCAGAACAGCCTGGCACCTCCTCCTCGTGCTGGTCACCAGCCTGGTCACACACTGCTGTGGGGTGGCATCCCATTCTTCAACCAACATTTGTCTTAAGTCAGCCAATGTGCTTGTGTTGGTCACTCTAGCAAGAGCTGATCCCACAAGTGGTCAATGGGGTTGTGGTCTGGACTGAAGGCCATTCCCTCCTCTCTACTCCCAAATTCTGGAGGTAGTCTCTGATAAACCCTGCTCTGTTTGGCAGAGACAGGAATAGTCTCCTGCTGTAAGGAGCCTATGTGACATTATCTAGATATTTTTAGGAGTCCTTATGTGAAAACGACGTTGGTTGATGGAACACGCCCCCTCTGTAAAATTAAAGAGCTCATTCTAAGGTTACAAATAAAAAACAATGCTTATTGCTAAGTGATAATACGATACATTTAAAATCTTACATGCCAATTACTGCCAATACTTTCACCAGGAGACCCCCCTCCCCAGGATATAGCATTCAGTTCACTTCATTGTTTAGTTGCAGTTTAACTGCTTGTGCCTGTGTCTGCTTTGGAAACGTATTTTAATGTGTATATGTCAGTGCTATTGCCCCTTATCGTTTCTGGCAGGATGTGGAGGTGTTAGAACTTAAGCAGATATCAGACCAGAAAAGTCCCTTGTAATGCATCAACACATGTAGAGCTGTGTTTGTGTGGGCTGGGGTTTGAAAGCCCCACTGACGATAGAATCAGATCTAAAAGATTTGACAGAGTTAAGTCGTATCAGATGCCAAAACAATGCACAATTATTTAAAATATTAAATGACTTGTTCACTAGGATGTGCTGGTTGTGTTTCAAAAGGTACAAAGAGCCAAAGTACATGTAATCATGGTAGGGAACTTCTGTGTTGCCTTTAAGGCAATTTTCATCTATGACCTCTTTGTTTGGGTCATATGTGAGCCAAGAGGCCAAACTGAAGATAGGTTACATCTTGACATATTCAAATGAATTCAATTCAAACAACTTTATTAATCCTTTGTGGGGCAATTGGTTTTTAGCAGCTTTTACAATTACATAAATATTAGGTTTTAAACAAACAAATTACAATACATTTTCAGGATTTCAGTGGTTACTTCCAACTACATCTACCAGTTTGAGCCTAATATGAATCTGTAATGACGCATTAGTCGCTAAAATGGCCATTGTTATAGAAGTGACATACAAAGAATCTGACTTATGGCTAATTTAGGACATAATTTGTTACCCCAAAGGTAAATGGTTAAAATATAAATTGTTTGAGCTTGTATAGTGCTTATCTAGCTCGCTACCCATTCACACCCTGATGGCAGTGGTTGCTATGTAAAGTGACCATCAGAAGTAACTAATCCCATTCATACACATTCATATGCTGCCGACTAAGCAGGGAGAGCAACTTGGGGTTGAGTGTGTGGCCTCAGACGCCTTAGGCTACAAGGTTAACTGTTGCAATAGACACGGCTGTATGGGAATGCAAATTAAAAGTATATCTCCGTGCAACAAAAACAAAAAATGCAAAGAATGAGAAGCTGGTCGTATAGTTCAGTAAAAAAAGTTAAATGACCTACAAATTTAAGAATGCTAAGGCATGGAGTAAAACCACCCTCCGATCAAAGAAGGAGTAAGCACTAGAACAACATGATGTCAGATACAAATACCTAAATATAGTGTAGATATATAAGTATACATTTGTATACTATCTCACCCTTGGTTGAAATTGGACACAGGTGAGCTCTTTCACCTACTATCACTGGGTGAAGGCAGCATCTGGCTGAACACAGGAAAAAGAGAGAGAGCAAACCCACAGCACAACAACCAGGAACAGTGAGCATGTGAGTATACAGTATTTCCTATATCTTAACATGCTATTTCTTTTCGGCCAATCAAACGCAGCCTGGTCTGTGAAGAGGGGAGAAACTGCCAGTTCACTGTCATTCAGAACGACAATTTGAACACGATGACATCTCCAACAGTTATTGTCTACCTGACATGTCTGGTCCTGGGGGAAATTGGTGAGTTGTTTTTTATTGTTCGTTTTTTTTTTACTTCCATATAATTTATGAGGTTTTCAATGTAAAATTCCATGCATTTTTAACAAATGGTAACTTTGTCATTTCATTTCAGCATGGACAGTTTCTCAAAAATTGTCTCCATCAGTTCGTCATGAGAGACGAGAAGCTGGGGAGAGCTTAACTTTAACATGTGACTTCAAAGGCGATCAGTCTTCCACACGAGTTTATTGGTACAAGCAAACAATCGGAGATAAATTAAGGCTTGTCTCTGAATTCTACAAATACGGAGGAACTTATCATTCTGAATTTAAAGACAATCCCCGCTTCACACTGGACGCTCAAAATGGTAAAAATCTCCTAACCATCTCAGATTTGAACATGTCAGACTCAGCTACCTACTACTGCATAAGTTGTAATTACTGCAAATTAGACATTCTGGAAACTGTGATTGTCAGTGTAAAAGGTCCAGGAGTGAACATCCCAGCTGTGGTCCATCAGACTGCATCAGAGACCATCGAGCCAGGAGGCTCTGTGACTCTGAGCTGTACAGTCCACCCTGGGACCTGTGATGGAGAACACAGTGTTTACTGGTTCAAAAACTCTCACCCAGGATTCATTTACACCCATGGAGGCAAGAATGATCAGTGTGTGAGGAAAGCTAACTCACAAACAAACACCTGTACCTACAACTTGCCAATGAAGAATCTAAATATTTCTAATACTGGGACGTACTACTGCGCTGTTGCTTCATGTGGACACATTCTGTTTGGAAACGGGACCAAGCTGGACTCTGGAGGTAAGTTACTCTTTATCACAAGTCGTCTTATTTGAAAAAAGTGGTGACATGTTGATTTTATTCATCAGGGGACAATGTTCAATGACATGAACATTTATAGGAAGAAAAATGAAAATAAAGTTTCACTAGATTTAGCTAGTCGCTAATTTCCATCTGTAGTCCCACAAAAATGTGACGCAAGACACACTGTTCAATAAAACCAGACCCAACAAAGGACAGTTATTAAAAAATGACAAAGTATATAGAAAATGTTCAATTGAACAGTGACCATGATGCTTAAACATGTTTATATTTCATGAAAACCACAAGTATTCAGTGCAGAAGTAAAAGTTGCTACATTCATTTTACAATAACTGTATGTCACAGCTATCACTGATCACTGCCGACAAGACTGATTGCTCAAACTCTTTTTTTTTTTTGGGGGGGGGTGCACGCTTTTTGCCTTTAGTCGATCTGACAGGAAACCCGAGGAGAGAGATTGAGTAATGAAATGCGGCACAGTAGCCGCAGGTTGGACTTGAACCCGGGCCACCCTCTTGAGCCTCTATGAGGTGCGACCAAACCACTAGCCCATCTGCGCCCCCTAATTCCTTTTTTAACGTTGCTGCAAAAACTGTGATGGTTTGCGATATCTTTTCAGATCATGTGGGAGGTTTATTCCATTCTTTTATGACCTTATATGAAAAGGCTGACTTAGAGAGGGCAGAACTTCCTTAAAGAAGATGTTTGTCTTATTAAATCAGTAGAAATGACTGGTCAACATCATCATACTCAAATGTTTAAAAACTGTTCTTCACTGTTGGGTCAAAGGCTTTACAGTCTTTGGTTTATGCAACAACAACAAAAAAGATGAAGTGAATTAGGATGTTCAAGCATTCTGAGAAAACATTATGCAGGGTACATCATTGTAGAAATAAAGCCTCGGCTAGGCAACATATCTACCATCAATAATTATCAATTATCTCTTTGACGTAAATCTGGATTCTGTAGCTCATTAAACGTACAACATGGGGTTGTGTTGTCCATTACTATAAATGTCCAGTTGTCTTTCGAAGGATTCTATTCTGGTCAAAAATGTGGAGTTTAGAATCAGCCTATGTAAGTGTAGAGTGCATCTTGGGGTCATTATGTTGCCATGTATGGAGGCCACAGTCCACCAAGCAGACAACCGACGGGTTCGCCTTCAACCTATGGCCCTCCACCGAATGTCATTTCTCACTCTCTCTTCCCTGTTTACGACTCTATCGACTGTCCTCATCAAGAATAAAGTCAAAAAAGCCCAAAAAGAAATCTTAGAGTACATCTTTGCATAAGATATGGATTGTGGACTTCCCATCCCAGCATTTCCCATTATCTCTTGACATTGGAGGGGGGGGGGCAAGGTGGAGCTTACGCCCGTTGAGTTGCACAATTTTAATGTTGGGAGAAATGGTGGGAAAATCTTTTCATCCAAGGTTATCTCATATGATGCATGACAACTGCCTAATCAAACCAGTCATGAACACTGATATAAAACTCAAAGCTCTGTGTGTCATGTCTGACTTTACCGACAGATGGCCTGAACTCTCCTGCCTTGGTGTATTTATTGAGTGGAGCTTTGATATTTGCGACCATCCTGATAGTCGTCATGGCCTTCTTACTGTACAAGATGAACAAAAGAAACCGTCTCCTATCTCAAGGTATGGCAGCTAACACTGCTTATATCTTCCTTCCTATGTCCAATAAATATTCATCTTTTATTTATGAGTGTTTTTCTGTTTCACGATCAGAGGCTCAAGCAAGATTTTCTGCTCCTGCCATAAGAAACCATGAGGTGAGACTTTTCTTCGTCTGTTGAATTACCATTTAAAAACATTTTTATTGCATCTCTTGACATGGTTTAAACCTTTCTTAAGGTCCTAACTGTGATAGACTTTTTCATATTTCTACAGGGTCACAGAGAAGCAGACAACCTCTTCTATGCCACTCTTAACGTTAATATGCCCAACACATCGAGAAGACAGAGAAACACAACCAAAGATTGTGTGAGTGAGTGTGTGTACTCCAGCGTGAAGCAGTAGAAGTCAATTGTTTCTTTGTTACTATTTCAGCTTGACTTGGTTTTGTATTGTATTTTAGAAGACTTGTAAACTTTGTGAATCAAATGTCTTTGAATGTTTAATTTCTTTCGCCCTTAACTGTATGTTTTTTTAAATCAATTTTAAGTGATAAAGTATGAACAAGCATCATTCTCTGATTTAATTTTTTTTTACCAAAGTACCCTTTTTTTACCCAGCTAAACAGGTTAATTTGGGGGCTTTTATGCATTTATTTAGTGGACAGGAGAGTGGACAGAGTAAGAAATCGGGGAGCGACATGAATGACATTCAGAAAAGGAGTTAGAGGTTTTACTCCAAACTGTTACTCCCCGCCTAGAGGACTATACCCTCTGTACATGTGGCCTTTAACCTAGCTGTTCAGCAAACCGTTGCTTCTTACCTAAGCAGCAACCATCGGTGTGAAAATAGAAGTCAGTGCAGAATTGCAGAAACCTGCAGTTCCTCCAGTGTCCACTGGAGGCTGGCTGCAGGAGCCCCTAAAGTCACAAACACAACCATGTCAACAATGTAAATAAATAAACATGATTACAGTCTGGTTCAATAAATGAAATGGTCTGAATGGCTTGTCTTTAATGGCACACACTGTACCGGGGGGGATTCTTTTCATAACTCATCTGTTTTAGGAGTTATGAAGTGTAAGACACAAATTGTTTCAGCAGGTGTCACCTTTGGGTTCAGGTCATACTCTTTACAGGGTGTCACAAGAGCAAAAACATTTGACAATTTGGACAATTGTTGGAATCTTGCAAAGCGTGTATATTAATAAATTAGCCCATCTATGTAGCTCCTCAGTGGCTTTAAGTTCAGGCTTAGCCGCTATAATGTGTATGGCTGACCTGATTGAGAAGAGCCGACTGTACAAGTGGGCTTGTGATTTCAAACATTTTGTAGGCTATATATTTTTAAGTAAAAAAAAATATCATACCTAGCGACGGGGTCAACCTCACCTCCTCATTAAGATAACAGTTTCAGTCCCTTCCTCGCTTAGAGTTGCTCTGAGAATGTTCCTAAATCACTCCTAATGCTTCTCCTCTAGAGGTGTCCTCCAGTATCACACTATAGCATAGCCAAGTGTGTGTATAATGCATTTATGACACAGCTGGTTGTGTATGGGAATGCAAATTAAAAAGAAAGTATATTTCTGTCCAACATAAAACACGCTTCTTTTTTAAAAAGCAAAGAAAGAGAAGCTGGTCTATCGTTCAATAAAAAAATCACCCTCCGATCTAAGGAGTAAGCACTAGTGCAACATGATGTCAGATACTCCAAGATGACAATGCTCACCTCCACAGAGCAGGGTTTGTCAGAGACTACCTCCAGAATTTGGGAGTGGAGAGGATGGAATGGCCTACCTGCAGTTCTGACCTCAAGCCCATTGAACACTTGTGGGATCAGCTCTTGCTAGAGTGACCAACACAAGCACATTGGCTGACTTAAGACAAATGGTGGTTGGAGAATGGGATGCCACCCCACAGCAGTGTGTGACCAGGCTGGTGACCAGCACGAGGAGGAGGTGCCAGGCTGTTCTGGCTGGTGACCAGCACGAGGAGGAGGTGCCAGGCTGTTCTGGCTGTGTAAGGTTCTTCCACACGCTAACGAGGCTCCTGTTTGTTAAGTGAATAAATTGTTAAATTGCCAATATGTCTTGTTTCTTCAGACTTCAATCATCCAATCCACTAACCAACACCACCAAGAGTCAACAGCAGAATGAGCTGCTTGGCATTGGCAGAGAAGATTTGTCAAGTTTTTCATGGGCGCAACCCACATACTAAGCTCTGCTGCTCATCTCACAATTGCATGTAACTTACAAATGTGGCACCATTTAAAATGGAAATAAACAGGCTTGCCAACAGTATAAGATTTATTGCCAAGAAGCATTGTTACAAAAAAGAAATATTCTACCAAACACAAATCTCCTTACTTTTTGTGCGATGTAAGTTATGTATTTTCTTTCGTAATCTTGCTCACAGGTGAGCTCTTTCACCTACTATCACTGGGTGAAGGCAGCATCTGGCTGAACACAGTAAAGAGAGAGAGCAAACCCACAGCACAACAACCAGGAACAGTGAGCATGTGAGTATACAGTATTTCCTATATCTTAACATGCTATTTCTTTTCGGCCAATCAAACGCAGCCTGGTCTGTGAAGAGGGGAGAAACTGCCAGTTCACTGTCATTCAGAACGACAATTTGAACACGATGACATCTCCAACAGTTATTGTCTACCTGACATGTTTGGTCCTGGGTGAAGTTGGTGAGTTGTTTTTTATTGTTCATTTTTTTTTTACTTCCATATAATTTATGAGGTTTTCAATGTAAAATTCCATGCATTTTTAACAAATGGTAACTTTGTCATTTCATTTCAGCATGGACAGTTTCTCAAAAATTGTCTCCATCAGTTCGTCATGAGAGACGAGAAGCTGGGGAGAGCTTAACTTTAACATGTGACTTCAAAGATGATTATTCTTCCACCTCAAACGTTTATTGGTACAAGCAAACAATCGGAGAGAAATTAAGGCTTGTCTCTGAATTCTACAAATACGGAGGAGCTATAGTTCTGATGGTGAATTTAAAGACAATCCCCGCTTCACACTGAATGCTCAAAATGGTCAATATAACCTAACCATCTCAGATTTGAACATGTCAGACTCAGCTACTTACCACTGCATAAGCTGTTTTTCATGCGCATTAAAAATTCAGGAAACCGTGATTGTCAGTGTAAAGGTCCAGGAGTGAACATCCCAGCTGTGGTCCATCAGACTGCATCAGAGACCATCGAGCCAGGAGGCTCTGTGACTCTGAGCTGTACAGTCCACCCTGGGACCTGTGATGGAGAACACAGTGTTTACTGGTTCAAAAACTCTCACCCAGGATTCATTTACACCCATGGAGGCAAGAATGATCAGTGTGTGAGGAAAGCTAACTCACAAACAAACACCTGTACCTACAACTTGCCAATGAAGAACCTAAATATTTCTAATACTGGGACGTACTACTGCGCTGTCGCTTCATGTGGACACATTCTATTTGGAAACGGGACCAAGCTGGACTCTGGAGGTAAGTTACTCTTTATCACAAGTCGTCTTATTTGAAAAAAGTGGTGACATGTTGATTTTATTCATCAGGGGACAATGTTCAATGACATGAACATTTATAGGAAGAAAAATGAAAATAAAGTTTCACTAGATTTAGCTAGTCGCTAATTTCCATCTGTAGTCCCACAAAAATGTGACGCAAGACACACTGTTCAATAAAACCAGACCCAACAAAGGACAGTTATTAAAAAATGACAAAGTATATAGAAAATGTTCAATTGAACAGTGACCATGATGCTTAAACATGTTTATATTTCATGAAAACCACAAGTATTCAGTGCAGAAGTAAAAGTTGCTGCATTCATTTTACAATAACTGTATGTCACAGCTATCACTGATCACTGCCGACAAGACTGATTGCTCAAACTCTTTTTTTTTTTTGGGGGGGGGGGGTGCGCGCTTCTTGCCTTTAGTCGATCTGACAGGAAACCCGAGGAGAGAGATTGAGTAATGAAATGCGGCACAGTAGCCGCAGGTTGGACTTGAACCCGGGCCACCCTCTTGAGCCTCTATGAGGTGCGACCAAACCACTCGCCCATCTGCGCCCCCTAATTCCATTTTTAACGTTGCTGCAAAAACTGTGATGGTTTGCGATATCTTTTCAGATCATGTGGGAGGTTTATTCCATTCTTTTATGACCTTATATGAAAAGGCTGACTTAGAGAGGCAGAACTTCCTTAAAGAAGATGTTTGTCTTATTAAATCAGTAGAAATGACTGGTCAACATCATCATACTCAAATGTCTAAAAACTGTTCTTCACTGTTGGGTCAAAGGCTTTACAGTCTTTGGTTTATGCAACAACAACAAAAAAGATGAAGTGAATTAGGATGTTCAAGCATTCTGAGAAAACATTATGCAGGGTACATCATTGTAGAAATAAAGCCTCGGCTAGGCAACATATCTACCATCAATAATTATCAATTATCTCTTTGACGTAAATCTGGATTCTGTAGCTCATCAAACGTACAACATGGGGTTGTGTTGTCCATTACTATAAATGTCCAGTTGTCTTTCGAAGGATTCTATTCTGGTCAAAAACGTGGAGTTTAGAATCAGCCTATGTAAGTGTAGAGTGCATCTTGGGGTCATTATGTTGCCATGTATGGAGGCCACAGTCCACCAAGCAGACAGCCGACGGGTTCGCCTTCAACCTATGGCCCTCCACCGAATGTCATTTCTCACTCTCTCTTCCCTGTTTACGACTCTATCGACTGTCCTCATCAAGAATAAAGTCAAAAAAGCCCAAAAAGAAATCTTAGAGTACATCTTTGCATAAGATATGGATTGTGGACTTCCCATCCCAGCATTTCCCATGATCTCTTCATATCAGGGGGGGGGACAAGGTGAAGCTTACGCCTGTTGAGTTGCGCAATTTTAATGTCGGGGAAATGGTGGGAAAATCTTTTCATCCAAGGTTATCTCATATGATGCATGATAACTGCCTAATCAAACCAACATGAACACTGATATAAAACTCAAAGCTCTGTGTGTCATGTCTGACTTTACCGACAGATGGCCTGAACTCTCCTGCCTTGGTGTATTTCTTGAGTGGAGCTTTGATATTTGCGACCATCCTGATAGTCATCATGGCCTTCTTACTGTACAAGATGAACAAAAGAAACCGTCTCCTATCTCAAGGTATGGCAGCTAACACTGCTTATATCTTCCTTCCTATGTCCAATAAATATTCATCTTTTATTTATGAGTGTTTTTCTGTTTCACGATCAGAGGCTCAAGCAAGATTTTCTGCTCCTGCCATAAGAAACCATGAGGTGAGACTTTTCTTTGTCTGTTGAATTACCATTCAAAAACATTTTTATTGCATCTCTTGACATGGTTTAAACCTTTCTTAAGGTCCTAACTGTGATAGACTTGTTCATATTTCTACAGGGTCACAGAGAAGCAGACAACCTCTTCTATGCCACTCTTAACGTTAATATGCCCAACACATCGAGAAGACAGAGAAACACAACCAAAGATTGTGTGAGTGAGTGTGTGTACTCCAGCGTAAAGCAGTAGAAGTCAATTGTTTCTTTGTTACTATTTCAGCTTGACTTGGTTTTGTATTGTATTTTTGAAGACTTGTAAACTTTGTGAATCAAATGTCTTTGAATGTTTAATTTCTTTCGCCCTTAACTGTATGTTTTTTTAAATCAATTTTAAGTGATAAAGATTGAACAAGCATCATTCTCTAATTTTTTTTTTTTTACCAAAGTACCCTTTTTACCCAGCTAAAAAGGTTAATTTGGGGGCTTTTATGCATTTATTTAGTGGACAGAGTCGGAAATCAGGGAGCCACATGAATGACATTCAAAAAAGGAGCTAGAGGTTTTACTCCAAACCTTTATTCTCCACCTTGAGGACTATACCCTCTGTACATGTGGCCTTTAACCTAGCTGTTCGGCAAAACGTTGCTACTTACCTAAGCAGCAACCATCGGTGTTGAAATAGAAGTCAATGCGGAATTGCAAAAACCTGCAGTTCCTCCAGTGTCCACTGGAGGCTGGCTGCAGGAGCCCCTAAACATACACAACCATGTCAACAATGTAAATAAATAAACATGATTACAGTCTGGTTCAATAAATGAAAGTGGTCTGAATGGCTTGTCTTTAATGGCACACACTGTACCGGGGGGGATTCTTTTCATAACTCATCTGTTTTAGGAGTTATGAAGTGTAAGACACAAATTGTTTCAGCAGGTGTCACCTTTGGGTTCAGGTCAAACTCTTTACAGGGTGTCACAAGAGCAAAAACATTTGACAATTTGGACAATTGTTGGAATCTTGCAAAGCGTGTATATTAATAAATTAGCCCATCTATGTAGCTCCTCAGTGGCTTTAAGTTCAGGCTTAGCCGCTATAATGTGTATGGCTGACATGATTGAGAAGAGCCGACTGTACAAGTGGGCTTGTGATTTCAAACATTTTGTAGGCTATATATTTGAAAGTAAAAAAAATATATATCATACCTAGCGACGGGGTCAACCTCACCTCCTCATTAAGATAACAGTTTCAGTCCCTTCCTCGCTTAGAGTTGCTCTGAGAATGTTCCTAAATCACTCCTAATGCTTGGATTTTTTGTGCTTAAGTTAGCTGCTATTAAAGAGGATTCTCTGTTTATGAATACGGGCCGGGCTCTTTGCCTGGAGTGACACCCTTTTCATTATTGATGTTACTAATATCTTAGTTTTGCCATCAGAATTAAGTTAAAAGTATCCCCTATGTGTTGCCATATTTGTAGTTTTCATGCGTCATCGACTAGCACTTTCATCCAGACTGAGCTCTCCGGTCTGCCCTCTAGAGGTGTCCTCCAGTATCACACTATAGCATAGCCATGTGTGTAAATAATGCATTTATGACACAGCTGGTTGTGTAAGGGAATGCAAATTAAAAAGAAAGTATATTTCTGTCCAACATAAAACACGCTTCTTTTTAAAAAAGCAAAGAAAGAGTGAAGTTGGTCTATCGTTCAGTTAAGAAATCACCCTCCGATTTAAGAAAGAGTAAGCACTAGTGCAACATGATGTCAGATACTCCAAGATGACAATGCTCACCTCCACAGAGCAGGGTTTGTATGAGACTACCTCCAGAATTTGGGAGTGGAGAAGATGGAATGGCCTACCTGCAGTCCTGACCTCAACCCCATTGAACACTTGTGGGATCAGCTCTTGCTAGAGTGACCAACACAAGCACATTGGCTGACTTACGCCAAATGTTGGTTGAAGAATGGGATGCCACCCCACAGCAGTGTGTGACCAGGCTGGTGACCAGCACGAGGAGGAGGTGCCAGGCTGTTCTGGCTGTGTAAGGTTCTTCCACACGCTAACGAGGCTCCTGTTTGTTAAATGAATAAATTGTTAAATTGCCAATATGTCTTGTTTCTTCAGACTTCAATCATCCAATCCACTAACCAACACCACCAAGAGTCAACAGCAGAATGAGCTGCTTGGCATTGGCAGAGAAGATTTGTCAAGTTTTTCATGGGCGCAACCCACATACTAAGCTCTGCTGCTCATCTCACAATTGCATGTAACTTACAAATGTGGCACCATTTAAAATGGAAATAAACAGGCTTTCCAACAGTATAAGATTTATTGCCAAGAAGCATTGTTACAACAAAGAAATATCTACCAAACACAAATCTCCTTACTTTTTGTGCGATGTAAGTTAATGTATTTTCTTTAGTTATCTTGCTCACAGGTGAGCTCTTTCACCTACTATCACTGGGTGAAGGCAGCATCTGGCTGAACACAGTAAAGAGAGAGAGCAAACCCACAGCACAACAACCAGGAACAGTGAGCATGTGAGTATACAGTATTTCCTATATCTTAACATGCTATTTCTTTTTGGCCAATCAAACGCAGCCTGGTCTGTGAAGAGGGGAGAAACTGCCAGTTCACTGTCATTCAGAATGACAATTTGAACACGATGACATCTCCAACAGTTATTGTCTACCTGACATGTCTGGTCCTGGGGGAAATTGGTGAGTTGTTTTAATTGCTCAAAATTGTTTTACTTCCATATAATTTATGAGGTTTTCAATGTAAAATTCCATGTATTTTATCAAATGGTAACTTTGTCATTTCATTTCAGCATGGACAGTTTCTCCAAAATTGTCTCCATCAGTTCGTCATGAGAGACGAGAAGCTGGGGAGAGCTTGACTTTAACATGTGACTTCAAAGGCGATCAGTCTTCCACACGAGTTTATTGGTACAAGCAAACAATCGGAGATAAATTAAGGCTTGTCTCTGAATTCTACAAATATGTAGGAGCTATTCGTTCTGATGGTGAATTTAAAGACAATCCCCGCTTCACACTGGACGCTCAAAATGGTCAATATAACCTAACCATCTCAGATTTGAACATGTCAGACTCAGCTACTTACCACTGCATAAGCTGTTTTTCCCGCGCATTAAAAATTCAGGAAACCGTGATTGTCAGTGTAAAAGGTCCAGGAGTGAACATCCCAGCTGTGGTCCATCAGACTGCATCAGAGACCATCGAGCCAGGAGGCTCTGTGACTCTGAACTGTACAGTCCACCCTGGGACCTGTAATGGAGAACACAGTGTTTACTGGTTCAAAAACTCTCACCCAGGATTCATTTACACCCATGGAGGCAAGAATGATCAGTGTGTGAGGAAAGCTAACTCACAAACAAACACCTGTACCTACAACTTGCCAATGAAGAACCTAAATATTTCTAATACTGGGACGTACTACTGCGCTGTCGCTTCATGTGGACACATTCTGTTTGGAAACGGGACCAAGCTGGACTCTGGAGGTAAGTTACTCTTTATCACAAGTCGTCTTATTTGAAAAAAGTGGTGACATGTTGATTTTATTCATCAGGGGACAATGTTCAATGACATGAACATTTATAGGAAGAAAAATGAAAATAAAGTTTCACTAGATTTAGCTAGTCGCTAATTTCCATCTGTAGTCCCACAAAAATGTGACGCAAGACACACTGTTCAATAAAACCAGACCCAACAAAGGACAGTTATTAAAAAATGACAAAGTATATAGAAAATGTTCAATTGAACAGTGACCATGATGCTTAAACATGTTTATATTTCATGAAAACTACAAGTATTCAGTGCAGAAGTAAAAGTTGCTACATTCATTTTACAATAACTGTATGTCACAGCTATCACTGATCACTGCCGACAAGATTGATTGCTCAAACTCTTTTTTTTTTTTGGGGGGGGTGCGCGCTTCTTGCCTTTAGTCGATCTGACAGGAAACCTGGGGAGAGAGATTGAGTAATGAAATGCGGCACAGTAGCCGCAGGTTGGACTTGAACCCGGGCCACCCTCTTGAGCCTCTATGAGGTGCGACCACACTGCTAGCCCATCTGCGCCCCCTAATTCCTTCTTTTTTTTTTAAAGATTTATTTTTGGTCTTTTTGTGCCTTTTTTTATTTGAGAGATAGGACAGTGGATAGTGTCAGAAATGGGGGAGAGAGGAGTGGGGAACGACACGCAGGAAAGGAGCAAGAGGTCAGATTTGAACCTCAGCCGCCTGCTTGGAAGACGACAGCTTCCATAGAAGGGGTGCGCGCACTAACCACTGTGCCACCAGTTTCCTTTTTTGACGTTGCTGCAAAAACTGTGATGGTTTGCAATATCTTTTCAGATCATGTGGGAGGTTTATTCCATTCTTTGATGACCTTATATGAAAAGGCTGACTTAGAGAGGGCAGAACTTCCTTAAAGAAGATGTTTGTCTTATTAAATCAGTAGAAATGACTGGTCAACATCATCATACTCAAATGTCTAAAAACTGTTCTTCACTGTTGGGTCAAAAGCTTTACAGGGTACATGATTGTAGAAATAAAGCCTCGGCTAGGCAACATATCTACAACCAATGATTACCAATTATCTCTTTGATGTAAATCTGGATTCTGTAGCTCATCAAACATACAACATGGGGTTGTGTTGTCCATTACTATAAATGTCCAGTTGTCTTTCGAAGGATTCTATTCTGGTCAAAAACGTGGAGTTTAGAATCAGCCTATGTAAGTGTAGAGTGCATCTTGGGGTCATTATGTTGCCATGTATGGAGGCCACAGTCCACCAAGCAGACAGCCGCCGGGTTCGCCTTCAACCTATGGCCCTCCACCGAATGTCATTTCTCACTCTCTCTTCCCTGTTTACGACTCTATCGACTGTCCTCATCAAGAATAAAGTCAAAAAAGCCCAAAAAGAAATCTTAGAGTACATCTTTGCCTAAGTGATGGATTGTGGACTTCCCATCCCAGCATTTCCCATTATCTCTTGACATCGGAGGGGGACAAGGTGAAGCTTACGCCCGTTGAGTTGCGCAATTTTAATCTCAGGGAAATGGTGGGAAAATCTTTTCATCCAAGGTTATCTCATATGATGCATGACAACTGTCTAATCAAACCAAACATGAACACTGATATAAAACTCAAAGCTCTGTGTGTCATGTCTGACTTTACCGACAGATGGCCTGAACTCTCCTGCCTTGGTGTATTTCTTGAGTGGAGCTTTGATATTTGCGACCATCCTGATAGTCATCATGGCCTTCTTACTGTACAAGATGAACAAAAGAAACCGTCTCCTATCTCAAGGTATGGCAGCTAACACTGCTTATATCTTCCTTCCTATGTCCAATAAATATTCATCTTTTATTTATGAGTGTTTTTCTGTTTCACGATCAGAGGCTCAAGCAAGATTTTCTGCTCCTGCCATAAGAAACCATGAGGTGAGACTTTTCTTTGTCTGTTGAATTACTATTCAAAAACATTTTTATTGCATCTCTTGACATGGTTTAAACCTTTCTTAAGGTCCTAACTGTGATAGACTTGTTCATATTTCTACAGGGTCACAGAGAAGCAGACAACCTCTTCTATGCCACTGTTAACGTTAATCTGCCCAACACATCGAGAAGACAGAGAAACACAACCAAAGACGAGTGTGTGTACTCCAGCGTAAAGCAGTAGAAGTCAATTGTTTCTTTGTTACTATTTCAGCTTGGCTTGGTTTTGTATTGTATTTTAGAAGACTTGTAAACTTTGTGAATCAAATGTCTTTGAATGTTTAATTTCTTTCGCCCTTAACTGTATGTTTTTTTAAATCAATTTTAAGTGATAAAGTATGAACAAGCATCATTCTCTGATTTAATTTTTTTTTACCAAAGTACCCTTTTTTTACCCAGCTAAACAGGTTAATTTGGGGGCTTTTATGCATTTATTTAGTGGACAGGAGAGTGGACAGAGTAAGAAATCGGGGAGCGATATGAATAACATTCAGAAAAGGAGCTAGAGGTTTTACTCCAAACTGTTACTCCCCTCCTAGAGGACTATACCCTCTGTACATGAAGCATGCAACCTAGCTGTTCGGCAAACCGTTGCTTCTTACCTAAGCAGCAGCCGTCAGTGTTGAAGTAGGAGTCAATGTGGAATTGCAGAAACCTGCAGTTCCTCCAGTGTCCACTGGAGGCTGGCTGCAGGAGCCCCTAAAGTCACAAACACAACCATGTCAACAAATAAAGAAATAAACATGATTACAGTCTGGTTCAATAAATGAAAGTGGTCTGAATGGCTTGTCTTTAATGGCACACACTGTACCGGGGGGGATTCTTTTCATAACTCATGTGTTTTAGGAGTTATGAAGTGTAAGACACAAATTGTTTCAGCAGGTGTCACCTTTGGGTTCAGGCCAAACTCTTTACAGGGTGTCACAAGAGCAAAAACATTTGACAATTTGGACAATTGTTGGAATCTTGCAAAGCGTGTATATTAATAAATTAGCCCATCTATGTAGCTCCTCAGTGGCTTTAAGTTCAGGCTTAGCCGCTATAATGTGGCAAAATATGCTAGTTTCCTGCATTCCCGGAGTAGCGCCGGAAGATTGGATGGATGGGTAGGACTTGAAAGCACAGAACAGATCAGTTGGAATTTTAAGAGGATGAAGAAAGCCGACTTGATTAGGTGTTGAGGCTCCCTGAGCAGCTGCCCGAGTGAGCAGTAGGAGCAGAAGCAGATAAAACTTTTAGATGTATTCCTATTGCAATTAATGCTCTTAGTATTGTTTTAACATACAGTAATACTTTCCTTTCTCTAGTATTCTGTCAGGTTGTGTTGCAATGTCGTATGTCATTATCTGCTATGCTCTTGTACGATGCTGTAAATCAAATGTCCCTTTCAGTGATAATAAAAGGTCAGAACTGAACACAACTGGAGTCAGGTTTGTGTGAAAAAGTGAAGGAAGGGTAGAGTAAAGGATAATGGGATGTAAGGATGTATGTGCACAGGAATTTTGTGAAGCCTGCGGACACATGGATGAAAGCTGTAAGTAGCTTGAGGGATCGGACACAGAGGGAGCAGACACAGTGGGTGATACAACCTGTCCCCCACCAGGGGGAGTTCGGCTGGAGGTAGTGGGGAAAGCAGGAAGCACGGGATCCTTGGTTGTTGCCGGTTTGTTTATGGATGTAGAGTAGAGGTGGAAAAGACTGGCTTTATTGTCATTGCGGTGAAATGGAAGCCCTTCATTTTTGAGCATCATCGGAGGCGAAAGATGGTCTAGTCCCTGATGCCGGACTCTATTTTATAACGTGGAACCGGCACGCAGCACCGTGATGGGCAGCCAGCTTCTGCATATGCACTGTGATAGCGCGAGGAGAGGGTTGGATCCGGGTGCTGTGGCTATGCCTTCTTCGGTTTGGGTGTCCCGCTGACGGTGGAGATGAGGCCCGGGATCCGCTGGGAGTTGGTGAGATTACGTTCGGGGAGTTTGAATGGAGAAGGCGGTGCACGCACCACGGGCTGCATACGGCTCTGCTATGACGCTGGATCTGTGTCTGACTGCTGCTCCGTGGGTGGACGATAACCGGTTTGGAACAGCTCATCATGCAGGTATTTATCAGCGTCGTGCAACTGATGTTTGGGATCCGTGGTAAGTAGGCTTTTTGTTTTTTAATGTGGTCAGCATGTATGCGTGATGCGGGGTCCGTCTACCTGTCGTCGAAGAACTGAGACAAACATTGTGGAATGGGATGGCTCAGTATAAGTCGGCTTGTCAGTTGATTGGAGGTGTGGCTTGGGCGTAGTCCTGCTCCTGAACCTAAGTTAATATACATTAACTCCATCAAATGAATAAATTGTTAAATTAACAATATGTCTGGTTTCTTCAAACTTCAATCACACTGTAATAAATGATTCTGTAGTCATGTACATTTTACTTAATATATCTGATCAAATTTATTAAATATAAATGCGTCCTTGATTTTGTGGCAATTGTTTAAGTAACTTTCATACAAAAATGTTTGAGATAGAATCTGCTTATTTTGTTTACATTAAATATAATCTATGTTTATGTAATTCTAACTCAAGAGAATTTTGAATGAATCCAACTCAATAGAATTAGTCAGTGTTTAATTGACAAGCACTTCCTGTTATTTTGCACCTTTTTTCTTCTTTTGAATTCAGCAGGCTATCATCTGGTCACAAGACATAAAGAAAGTGCGGACAAATGGTGACCCCTTCCCTCCATTTAACTCATCAATTTAATTTGGTTGACAAAGGTAAGGAGAGTTATTTTATACTGTAATGTTAATGACAACTTGTGGGTGTATGCTACATTACAAAAACGAAATTAGCAAGCAAAGTAATACAGAGAGAGAGAGAGACACAGTAGCGGCAGAAAGGTAAATTATGCATGTTATGTTAGGCTATAGTGTGATGGTATTAAGCAACGATATCAGAAAGATATCACAAGTATTTACACTGAGAAAACCACAAGCTTGTAAACGTTCAACATGGCGAGCGCGGAGCTAGTTTTCTCATTCAGCAGCTAAAGGTACGATAAAATGTGTCGAATAATGCGAGGAAAGAAATTGGCAATGACCACGCTCCATTAAAAAACACAAAATTTATCACAAGCAAGAGCTGTTAGCCCAGAGCTGCTAAATCATGCATTGACTGTGACTGTGTCTGTGATATTTGTGCAAGCAGTTATCCCAACAAGGCCTCACGCATTACTTTTTTTTCACGTGCTGAAAAGCATAAATTGCTCCTCTTTCTTTAATCCCCTCTAATTTACTGTATTTTCTCACTCGCTGCTTGCTGACACCGTGCTGTCACTAGCAGGCTACACTACATTTTTATAGTTTCCCTCTGTTCATTCTATTATTGTTTATGCAAAGAAGATGTCTTACTTTTTTTTTAAACTATGCATTAACTACTTAATAATTAGAGCTACTTACTTACTTTTTAGATACGTTGATAAGGTAATTCAAAGTGACTTTGTGAATGTTGTTAAAAACTATACTTTTGTCATACATGAAACATGCAGGATAAAGTAATCCTAGGAGGTTAACCCACTACATTAAGAATATATATTCACTCGTGGAAGTTTAGTTTTGATGTGCAAACACTTTTCATAGGCTGAACTGGGTTCTTTCTCTCTGCCTTTGCTAGTTGTGATAAAAAAAATCTATTGATTTTATTCAATGTAAAAATGTAACTTAATTATTATTTTTTTACAAATCCATCTTCCTTGTTGAGTAAAATGCAACATTGATGGTTAAGACTAAATAAGTCTTATCCAAATTCTAATTTAAAATGAGATGCAATGTTTTTCATCAAACTCATTGGGCATATTATGAGCATTAGGACAAGAATTTCTACATTTCAGCTAGAATTCATGTTTATAATAGAACTAAAGAGACAAAGAGATCACTTCCAGAAGAAGTCTAAAAATCAAATTAGAACTTTTACTAGCCCTTCAATACAAGCTATAGTACACATGTAATTGAGATGGTGATGTTTTTATATTCAAATAGGAGCAAAGGCACATCTATTGTTTACATTTTTCTGTATTATCTTCTAGGTGTCTCCAGATGAGATGGCGGTGTAAAATCTGTGGATTCATAGCGACGACAAGGGGTGATCTTCTGACCCATTACAGACTACAGCACAGGACATATGAAATTGGAAATTCGGTACCTTGTCTTGTTCATGATTGTTCTGCTTATCTAGAGCTTAAGAAATGAACATTTGAAAGTGCCAGGTTTGAATGTAAGTACCAATTTGGGCACTGAAATGCAATTTCTGTTGTGATCATCAGATTCGTTGTTTATACCAGGACCACAACAGGTCTTCTGGGAGTCTCATTTGAGACAGGCATTTTATTTATTTGTAAATTAAAGTTGTGAGAACAGTTTACATAAGTCCTAATGTTTCCTGGAATACTTTGCAATAGACCCTTGTGTTTTTACAAAAAAAAGGGTTCAACTGCAGCATCTTCTGGATGCTGCTTGAAATGCTGTACCTTTAATAAAGTCTGATAAAAAGTGTTACTTTTAAAAATGCACTGACTATAAAGATTAGTATTACTCAATTATATATCATTTATATATTGAATTTAATTATTTATATCAGTACCTTTTACTAATTTAGACATTTCTCTTATTGATATCTACTTAATATTTTTGTTTAAATTTGAGTAATTTGTTTTTGTGCTTTATTTGAATCTAATCAATTCAAACAGGTAATTCTTAAGGGTCTGATTTGAGTTATATTAACTCAACTTTAAATATAGTTAGATTTAATTAATAATATTGTGTGCAATCTGTTGCCTCAATTTTATTGAGTAGTTATGGTGTATCTTTTTACAGTGCATCCAATCCACTAAACAACAGCAAACAAGAGTCAACAGCAGAATGAGCTGCTTGGCATTGGCAGAGAAGATTTGTCAAGTTTTTCATGGGCGCAACCCACATACTAAGCTCTGCTGCTCATCTCACAATTGCATGTAACTTACAAATGTGGCACCATTTAAAATGGAAATAAACAGGCTTTCCAACAGTACACGATTTATTGCCAAGAAGCATTGTTACAACAAAGAAATAATCTACCAAACACAAATCTCCTTACTTTTTGTGCGATGTAAGTTTATGTATTTTCTTTAGTTATCTTGCTCACAGGTGAGCTCTTTCACCTACTATCACTGGGTGAAGGCAGCATCTGGCTGAACACAGTAAAGAGAGAGAGCAAACCCACAACACAACAACCAGGAACAGTGAGCATGTGAGTATACAGTATTTCCTATAGCTTAACATGCTATTTCTTTTTGGCCAATCAAACGCAGCCTGGTCTGTGAAGAGGGGAGAAACTGCCAGTTCACTGTCATTCAGAATGACAATTTGAACACGATGACATCTCCAACAGTTGTTGTCTACCTGACATATTTGGCCCTGGGGGAAATTGGTGAGTTGTTTTTATTGCTCAAATTTTTATTTATTAATAATTCTAATTTATGAGGTAATTTATGATGTAAAATTCCATGCATTTTTAACAAATGGTAACTTTGTCATTTCATTTCAGCATGGACAGTTTCTCTAAAATTGTCTCCATCAGTTCGTCATGAGAGACGAGAAGCTGGGGAGAGCTTAACTTTAACATGTGACTTCAAAGATGATTATTCTTCCACCTCAAACGTTTATTGGTACAAGCAAACAATCGGAGAGAAATTAAGCCTTGTCTCTGAATTCACCAAATACGGAGGAGCTAATAGTTCTCATGGTGAATTTAAAGACAATCCCCGCTTCACACTGAATGCTCAAAATGGTCAATATCACCTAACCATCTCAGATTTGAACATATCAGACTCAGCTACTTACCACTGCATAAGCTGTTTTTACTGTGCATTAAAAATTCAGGAAACCGTGATTGTCAGTGTAAAAGGTCCAGGAGTGAACATCCCAGCTGTGGTCCATCAGACTGCATCAGAGACCATCGAGCCAGGAGGCTCTGTGACTCTGAGCTGTACAGTCCACCCTGGGACCTGTGATGGAGAACACAGTGTTTACTGGTTCAAAAACTCTCACCCAGGATTCATTTACACCCATGGAGGCGGGAATGATCAGTGTGTGAGGAAAGCTAACTCACAAACAAACACCTGTACCTACAACTTGCTTATGAAAAACCAAAATATTTCTAATATTGGGACGTACTACTGCGCTGTCGCTTCATGCGGACACATTCTGTTTGGAAACGGGACCAAGCTGGACTCTGGAGGTAAGTTACTCTTTATTACAAGTCGTCTGATTTTAAAAAAAGTGGTAAAAACTTGATGCATCATTCATTTTATTAATCAGGGGAGAGCGTGCAATGGCATTGAACGTTTTAAGAAAGAACAGATTGTTGCACCAGAATTATCGAGTTGCTAATTTTCATCTGTAGTCCCACTTAAAAGTGACGCAAGCCACACTGTACAATAAAATCACACCCAATAAAAAGCACAGTGGATTTAGTAGAAAACTGGGGGGGGATTGGGGTATGACATGCGGGACAGTATCCAAAGTCTGGACGTCAACCTACAGGACCACAGCTTCCGTACATGTGGCATGCACACTTACCGCTAAGCTACCAGCACCCCCAAAGTGTTTTATTTCATGAATGTAAAGATTTAATGTCGGGGGAAATGGGAGGTAAATCTTTTCATCCAAGGTTATCTCATATGATGCATGATAACTGCCTAATCAAACCAAACATGAACACTGATATAAAACTCAAAGCTCTGTGTGTCATGTCTGACTTTACCGACAGATGGCCTGAACTCTCCTGCCTTGGTGTATTTCTTGAGTGGAGCTTTGATATTTGCGACCATCCTGATAGTCATCATGGCCTTCTTACTGTACAAGATGAACAAAAGAAACCGTCTCCTATCTCAAGGTATGGTAGCTAACACTGCTTATATCTTCCTTCCTATGTCCAATAAATATTCAATTTGTATTTATGAGTGTTTTTCTGTTTCACGATCAGAGGCTCAAGCAAGATTTTCTGCTCCTGCCATAAGAAACCATGAGGTGAGACTTTTCTTTGTCTGTTGAATTACCATTCAAAAACATTTTTATTGCATCTCTTGACATGGTTTAAACCTTTCTTAAGGTCCTAACTGTGATAGACTTGTTCATATTTCTACAGGGTCACAGAGAAGCAGACAACCTCTTCTATGCCACTCTTAACGTTAATAGGCCCAACACATCGAGAAGACAGAGAAACACAACCAAAGACGAGTGTGTGTACTCCAGCGTAAAGCAGTAGAAGTCAAATGTTTCTTTGTTACTATTTCAGCTTGACTTGGTTTTGTATTGTATTTTTGAAGACTTGTAATAATAATAATAATAGACTTTTTGTGGCATGGACATCACAGATACATTGGACGAACCAGATGCATTGTTTAAGTGTTTTAGCAAGCATGCTAGTTCTCAACATCTGTCCACAGGAGGCTTTTGAAAATTTTGTGAATCAAAGGTCTGCATTAATTTAGTGGACAGGACAGTGGACAGAGTAGAAAATCGGGGAGCGAGAATGAATAACATGCAGGAAAGGAACCACAGGTTTTACTCCAAACCTGTATTCCCCACCTCGAGGACTATATCCTCTGTACATGTGGCATGCAACCTAGTTGCTGGGCGAACTCCTGCCTCTTACCTAAGCGGAAACCTTTGGTGTTGAAATAGAAGCCAATGCAGAATTTCAAAAACCTGCAGTTCCTCCAGTGTCCACTTGAGGCTGACTGCAGGAGCCCCTGAAGTCACATGCACAACCATGTCAACAATGTAAACAAACATGATTACAGTCTGGTTCAATAAATGAAATTGGTCTGAATGGCTTGTCTTTAATGGCACACACTGTACCGGGGGGGATTCTTTTCATAACTCATGTGTTTTAGGAGTTATGAAGTGTAAGACACAAATTGTTTCAGCAGGTGTCACCTTTGGGTTCAGGTCATACTCTTTACAGGGTGTCACAAGAGCAAAAACATTTGACAATTTGGACAATTGTTGGAATCTTGCAAAGCGTGTATATTAATAAATTAGCCCATCTATGTAGCTCCTCAGTGGCAAGAAGAAGAGCCAACTGTACAAGTGGGCTTGTGATTTCAAACATTTTGTAGGTTATATCATTTTAAAGTAAAATATATATAACATACCTAGCGACGGGGTCAACCTCACCTCCTCATTAAGATAACAGTTTCAGTCCCTTCCTCGCTTAGAGTTGCTCTGAGAATGTTCCTAAATCACTCGTAATGCTTGGATTTTTTAAGCTAAGTTAGGAGCTCTTAAAGAGGATTCTCTGTTTATGAATACGGGCCGGGCTCTTTGCCTGGAGTGATACCCTTTTGATTCTTGATGTTACTAATATCTTCTTTTTAAAAAAGCAAATAAAGAGAAGCTGGTCTATCGTTCAGTAAAAAATCACCTTCCGGGGGCGCTGGTGGCACAGTGGTTAGAGCGTGCGCCCCATGTGTGGAGGCTATGGTTCTCCAAGCAGGCGGCCCAGGTTCGACGCCGACCTGTGGCTCCTTTCCCGCAAATCATTCCCTTCTCTCTTTCTCATTAATTTACAACTCTATCCACTGTCCTATCTCTCTAATAAAGACACAAAAATGCCCAAAAATAAATCTTTAAAAAAATAAAAAAATAAAAATCACCCTCCGATCTAAGGAGTAAGCACTAGTGCAACATGATGTCAGATACTCCAAGTTGACAACGCTCACCTCCACAGAGCAGGGTTTGTCAGAGACTACCTCCAGAATTTGGGAGTGGAGAGGATGGAATGGCCTACCTGCAGTCCTGACCTCAAGCCCATTGAACACTTGGGGGATCAGCTTTGCTGACTTACGACAAATGGTGGTTGAAGAATGGGATACCATCCCACAGCAGTGTGTGACCAGGCTGTTGTGGCTGTGTATGGTTCTTCCACACGCTACTAAGACTCCTGTTTGTTTCAGTAGCAAGGACCACGCCACAACCAAATATGTTTTAGATATTTAATGATAGATCACGGCCCCCAAAAGAGTCAGATGGAGCTGATCTGAGCGTGAGCCTGATGCAGATCATTAGTAGGAGTGATATGCCTGAGATGACCAGGGTCCAAGGACTTGGATGGTTTGGTCGAGATGCCTAGACTGGCTGCTGTGCGCGCTGCGCTGATGCAGATGCAGATGAAGGGGAAGAACAGTGTTCGGAGGTGATGCCTGAGAGTGCAGGACCTGGTGAAAATGTTTCTGGAACCAGAAAGGATTGCTGTTTCCTGTCTCAGTGACGGAGAGCGGTTTGTGGGGTACGCGCTGCCTACCTAATGTTGATATGATTTATCAGAAGCTCATGTGGGCTGAGACAGGAGTCGAGGCCAAAGATGTAGAGGGGAAGGAAGTTCCGGGCTGATCTGTTTTACTTTGACAGCGTGTGAATACGAGAGAATCTGAAGCATGCATGGCGATGTCAGATAGCTTGGAATGGTGGGGTAGATTGAAGACGGGTGAAGGGGAGGAGAAGAGTGATTTGCTATATTAATTTGCTGTTGGTGGTGACGCCCCAGAAAGAACCTGAGCCAAGGGTGATACCTTGAACTTGATGGCGGTACCAGACTGTGAGTTTCTCTTCCGAACGAGAGACGCCAGTTCTGAGAAGGCTTATGTGAGGGTGGTGGAGTGATGACGTTGAGAAGAAAATCATTAAGGAGGTGAAGCAAACATGGGATGTTAGGAATTGTTGATCGGGATTCAACTAAACTTCTGAAACTGAGTCGAAGATTTTTGGACTGCGCCTGCTTTTGCGGCCGAAGGTGAGGCGAACGGCGAAATATGCTAGTTTCCTGCATGCCCCAGAGTTGCGCCGGAAGATTGGATGGATGGGTAGGACTTGAAAGCACAGAACAGATCAGTTGGAATTTTAAGAGGTGAAGAAAGCCGACTTGATTAGGTGTTGAGGCTCCCTGAGCAGCTGCCCGAGTGAGCAGTAGGAGCAGAAGCAGATAAAACTTTTAGATGTATTCCTATTGCTCTTAGTGTGTCCGTACAAAGTTTTAATGTCGGGGGAAATGGTGGGAAAATCTTTTCATCCAAGGTTATCTCATATGAACTGCCTAATCAAACCAAACATGAACACTGATATAAAACTCAAAGCTCTGTGTGTCATGTCTGACTTTACCGACAGATGGCCTGAACTCTCCTGCCTTGGTGTATTTCTTGAGTGGAGCTTTGATATTTGCGACCATCCTGATAGTCATCATGGCCTTCTTACTGTACAAGATGAACAAAAGAAACCGTCTCCTATCTCAAGGTATGGTAGCTAACACTGCTTATATCTTCCTTCCTATGTCCAATAAATATTCATCTTTTATTTATGAGTGTTTTTCTGTTTCACGATCAGAGGCTCAAGCAAGATTTTCTGCTCCTGCCATAAGAAACCATGAGGTGAGATTTTTCTTTGTCTGTTGAATTACCATTCAAAAACATTTTTATTGCATCTCTTGACATGGTTTAAACCTTTCTTAAGGTCCTAACTGTGATAGACTTGTTCATATTTCTACAGGGTCACAGAGAAGCAGACAACCTCTTCTATGCCACTCTTAACGTTAATAGGCCCAACACATCGAGAAGACAGAGAAACACAACCAAAGACGAGTGTGTGTACTCCAGCGTGAAGCAGTAGAAGTCAATTGTTTCTTTGTTACTATTTCAGCTTGACTTGGTTTTGTATTGTATTTTAGAAGACTTGTAAACTTTGTGAATCAAATGTCTTTGAATGTTTAATTTCTTTCGCCCTTAACTGTATGTTTTTTAAAATTAATTTTAAGTGATTAAGATTGAACAAGCATCATTCTCTGAATATGTTTAATTTGTTTTTCCCTTAACTGTATGTGCTTTGTTTTTTTTACCAAAGTACCTTTTTTTACCCAGCTAAAAAGCTTAATTTGGGGGCTTTTATGCATTTATTTGATGGACAGGACAGCGGAGTAGGAAATCGGGGAGCGAGAATGGATAACTGCAGGAGCCCCTGAAGTCACATAGATACCCATGTCAACACATAAAAAAATAAACATGATTATAGTCTGGTTCAATGAATGAAATTGGTCTGAATGGCTTGTCTTTAATGGCACACACTGTACCGGGGATTAATTATTTGACAAGAGTCAAAAATATTCTTCATGTCGGGTTTGGAGAACATTTATCTATTTCCTCCTCAGCTTGAGAAACTCTTAAGTCTGTTAAAAGTCCTCCTCACTACTCTTAACAGTTTTACACCTTAGGAGCTCTCTCACACTTTGTGAATAACTTTTATCTTTACAAGGATCTAGTCCTACCTTTGAGAGGAAATTATTAGAAAAAGTCCTGATTCTAATAATTGTTTTAGGATTTTGTCACTTGGAGCAGCTCTTAGTACTTATGAGGCTTTGTGAATACGGCCAATGGATTTTTAGCTTAGGAGTGATTCAGAGCTCCCTGAGAGGATTTAATTCTCAGTTTGTAAATACGGGCCAGGCTCTTTGCCCGGAGTTAGGTTGACCGAAACTTAGGTTTAGACAGAATTTCCACCATGGTGACCACCATTGACGGGCTTCCAAAGCCCCCTGCAGTAACAGATGGGTGACATTACTCAGGGCTTCATCCATAAATATTTACAGTCTATGCTAAATACTTTATTTTACATGTTAACATCTAAGTCTTGTCATGAAAAGGCTAATCGTGTTTTCTGTTTTCCCCCTCTCTTCCTGTTCTTTAATCATTGTGATTTTCATTGGCTCTGCTTTTTCGCTATGCACAGCACATGTTCAGCTGGATTTACATGTTTATCCTAAATAAACTTAATTGATTGATATTGACACCTTTTTAGATTAGGTGTAACTACACTGGCCGTGTATTGTACTGACTCTAATACACAGCTGCTCTAAATCTAATACAGATGAACATCTGCTGCTGCTCTGCCTTTTGCTGAGAAGCAGATTTTCATCAGGTGTTGAAGTAACACAGCCTCTACAGAGCACACTTAAAGGTTTCATCACTGCGGTTAAGAAGAAAAAACGTGGAAAGAATATTATGCAACCATTACCCTCTGACCTGTTGACTTTTTCACCCACATACAAGTGTTAGTATGTCTTTCAGAGCACCAACGTTTGCGGTTTTTAGCAGGATGCGGGTGTGCTTGTAAGACGAAATCCTACTTATCTAACTATTAAACTAAAAAACTCAGAATTTATATTGATAAAAAATAGAAAAATGAAAAAAAAAGAACCAGAAACCGGTGTGCCTTTTTTCTTGACCTCATTATATTATATTCAAAGGTAATCTCTTAACATATGAACCTTTTCTAAATAAAAAAAAAAGAAAATGGCACTGTATGCGGCAGAGACCGTGAAGTTTCCTGAGTAGGACATTTTGCTGCGTCACTTCCGCTGACCAATCAGGCATTATCTTGTCTCCTACATGTAGCGACACCCATCAAGGTCCTTTCATTTCACACCTGAGTGGCACAATGACATCGGCAGCGCTTGCTATCCGTCTAACATGTTTGTTACTGGGGGAAATCGGTGAGTTGTGATGTTGTGACTTCTGTCTTGAAGTGTATAATCATTGAGTATTCAAATGTGTTCAATATGTGTTCAGGTTATGCTGACTTTTGTCTCATTACATTACATCTACATCACTTTGTGTTTCCTCTCATTTCAGTTTGGACGACTGCTGTAAATCTGTCGTCATCTGTTGGTGAAGAGAGTGGTTTTGTATCTGTACAATCTGGGCAGAGCTTGATCCTGAAATGTTTCTATGAAGGTAACGTTGCTGCAAGGATTTATTGGTATAAACAGGTGCTGGGACAGAAACCGAGGCTCATCTCTACATTCTACTTGTTCGATAGAAATGGCACTTTTCACGGTGCATTCAAAGGAAATCAACGCTTCTCACTTGATACTCAAAATGGTAAAAACCATTTGACAATCACAGATCTGCGTGTTTCGGACTCAGCTACGTATTACTGCATAAACTGCTACTTGTCTGCATTGGAAATCTTGGAGAGCACTATTGTCAGTGTGCAGGGTTCAGGTTTAAACGTCCCAGCTGTGGTCCATCAGTTGGAGTCTGAGACCAACCAGCCAGGAGGTTCTGTGAGTCTGAACTGTACAGTCCACACTGGACCTGTGATGGAGAACGCAGTGTTTACTGGTTCAAAAACTCTGAAGAATCTCATCCAGGACTAATTTACACTCAGGGAGGCAGGAATGATCAGTGTGAGAGGAACGTTAACTCACAAACACACACCTGTGCTTACAACTTGCCAATGAAGAATCTCAATCTTTCTCATATTGGAACCTACTACTGTGCTGTCGCTTCATGTGGACACATTCTGTTTGGAAACGGGACCAAGCTGGACCTTGAAGGTATGTTACTCTTTATCACAAGTTGTCTTATTTGAGAAAAGTGGTAATAACCTGAATAATCATTTATTTTATTAATCAGGGGACAGTGTGTAACTTATATGAAAGGAACTCTTTGTGCTTAAACAAATTTAGCAGAGAAAAGAGAACCCATACAACATCTGTGTTTCTCCTGTCTGTATCTGCAGACTCTTCTTTCTGGATGGTGGCTGTGACATTGACCTCCATGCTCTCTGCTTTACTGGCCTTCACAGTCTGCATGATGAAGAAGAGGAACAGCAGACACTCTCCAGGTAGGACTGTTTATTCTTCAAATCTTATCTTATTACTGTATATATGTGTATTAGTAATTTGAGTGTTTATTGCATGGCCTTGCGGAACAGTTGTTATATTTCACTGCACATCTGTATGAGCATGTGACAAATAAAAATCTTGAATCTTGAATATTTCCTTTGCACAGCTTTTAATTTGAATACAATATTCTTTGTGTCTCAATCAGAGTCTGAAAATTCAGCTTCATCCACCGCCAGAGCAGAGGTAAACAAAAATAGCTCACATTTAAATGACTATTGAATTACAGCTGCACATTTACTGCATTATTGCATCGTTGTCTATTTTGTCACTAGGATTACCAGAACACACACCACCTCTATTATGCTGCTCTCAACCTGACAAGATCAAGAGCACAGAGGGATCCAACCTGGAGTGAATGTGTGTACCACGGCTTAAGGAAGTAAAAACTGCACGGGTTACATTTCTAAAGTGAGACAGATTTTCTAACCGCCCATTAAAGAGTTAATGTAAATTTGGATCTGTGTGGAAAAATGTAAAGGAGAGAGTTTTTCTGAAATGAAGCAGGTTAAACATCCTCTGAAATTATCAAAATAATCTTGTTTTTTGTACATGTGAATTTCTTGTGAATAATGTTTACAATATAGAAAATAATTACTGTGAGTGTAATACTTTTCATTGAAACCCTATAGAACCTTGTTGTAAACTCTATTATTTGTATTTCTTTGTTATGTAAGTTTTATTTCTTAAATGATCCAATAAACTTGATCAAAACTAAATCACTGAATTTGAAACAACACGTGTGTGCATATTTAATCCAGATGTTACTTTGGGGCTTTGATTGCTCATTTTATTTATCAGAGAATATCGCTCTGCTTATCTGTACTAATCACAAGTCAGGAGTAAAACTGAGTTGGTCTAAAGCCAAAGTAAAGTGAAATAGAAAAGTTTTTTCACAGATAGAAAAAGATTAGGTTTGTATTGGTCTAGCTACGCTTATATTAAGTGCTGAGTCTATTTTTGAGCCCACTGGCAGAACCTGTCACACTGAAAAGAGCAGATCAACCTGGACAGGAAGTCAGGCACAAGAAACGCATACAGCATCCGGTCAGTTTAAAAATAAAACACCATAGCGGCGCTGGTGGCACATTGGTTAGTGTGGGCGCCCCATGTATGGAGGCTATGGTCCTCCAAGCGGGCGGCTCAGGTTCAAATGCCACCTGTGGCTCCTTTCCCGCATCTCATATCCCACTCTCTCTCTCTCCCTAATTTCTGACTCTATCCACTGTCCTATCTCTCCTTTAAAGGCACAAAAAGCCCAAAGATAAATCTTAAATAAATTTAAAAAGATTAAACACCATATACAGACTGCCAATCATATAACCCTAGAGGTGTCCATGACTAAGGATTTACATAGTTGAATTGGTCTACGTTTCTTGTAGCCAGTGAAATTCTGAACACATAGATATGCTGCTTTAATCAATAAGTTGCATCCCATAATAGACTGAGTCATGAGTTTTTCAGATCATTATTACTACAAATCTCCCTACTGAACTCCGGCTTTAACTCAGGGTCATGTCAGTAGGTGACATTTCCTTTAAAAACAATTTGGCCAAGAGGAACGAGGCCCACACAGCATGATGTCACTCACCTGTCTGAAACCCCTGTGAGCTTAGCTGACCTCTACAGTACCTTCATCTACTACAGATCTCTGCAGATCTGGCTCTCAGCCTGAAACTCCAGAGAGTGGGCCCAAATCAGCCGGCAGCCACATTATTGACTTTTGAAATAGGAAGCTTAACAAGCTTCCTCTCAGCTGATTATAGACCATGATAACATTTACTTTACTCTTTTATATCAGTCAGACAAGTCTTCTTCATCCTAGAAGCATGCAACATCATGCTGAGTGTGACAGCACCCCAGCTCCTGCAGCCACATTGAAAATCAGACATTGAAGATAACGCGTATAAAATGTACTAAAACTGAAATATCCAATAGTTAAGAAGGTTAAGAAAACAAAACAATTAAATACGTACACTAATGTTAACAATTTATTACAGAGGTTAAACGGTTTAAAAATACATCATCTTAAATGTCCAAAAGGTACAAGAAATGGCCTTGGTACAGTATATCGACGTGAGCTTATTCTTTAGTCTTCTGACTACTGAAAGCGTTTGGGGAGCTAGGGATTGAACCCCCGACCTTCCGGTTGAGATAACGACTCCACCAGCTGAGCCACAGCTGCCTTGTAACATGGAAAAGTGCATTTATGTCAATCGGTTATTGTGATTTGTTCCAGAAGATCGTTTCTGATTTTCAAAAGCAAACATTTAAGAGTTGAAGAAGTCTTGAGAGGTGAGATGGTAATATCACTGTAAGCACTTTGTATTGAAAAAAAGATGCCAATGAATGTCACATCTCTCTTAGAGAGAGGACCAAGCCACCTTTCTATACAATACAATAATATGTCATATGAATCACCACTCATTAACCTTAATAGTGTTTATGGTTTTTAATGTTTGTACAGAGCAAAGTTAACCAGCGTCAAACATGTGGTTTGTTAGACTTTGTGTCTGTTCCAAATTATTCTAGACATCACATCCTAGTTTAGATGGGTCCATGGGCAGTTCTAGGCAGGGGCCAACAGGGGCCAGTGTCCCAGTAACACTGAGCTTGGTCCCCCCTGTGGCCACCCCTACAAAAGGATATATATATATATATATATATATATATATATATATATATATTAAAGTGATCATCTTTGTCTATTTTTCACCTGGGTTTAATGTTCCCCTCTGACAAAACAACTGGCCCCAGTTTGGCCCCCTCAGTAAAAGTGGTCTAGAACCGCCACTGGGTGGGTCAATATGACCCTGGCATCAATAACGTATTTTCAATATATATGCAGAGCCTTATGGAGATTTAGGCAGAATTGGCATAGCAGGGACACAACATCAACAACTTTCTGTTACTCCATATCTCTGCTCCGGAGCATTCTTGTAGGCCTATATACAAACTTTCTTCAACTTAAGCCATATGACTCTACTGAATCATTGCATGTGTGAAGTCAATTCTTAGTAATTTCCTCAACAGTGCACACACACACCCGGCCAATAAAGCTGACTGACATTTTTGACTTTAGCCGTGTAAGGATCTGTACGTGAGCAACAGAAGCCAGCGCAACGCTGCTGATAACCACAAAGCTGCTTTCCTCATATGCTGCAAGTTGAGAATGGTGGACCAATTAGGTCAGACAGTGTGGCCGCATTCAGTACAAGTTGTGTATTTGTTAAGTCAGAGCTGCTGAGGAGAAGACGCAGACAGGATGATGCTGTACTCTGTGAATGTTTGCCTTCTCTGGACTCTGTGTGAGTAATAAAAACACACTCATGTAATCTTTACAATCTCCTACTTCAGCTCTTTATATACCCTGTGTGTGTATGTGTGTGTGTGTGTGTGTGTGTGTGTGTGTGTGTGTGTGTGTGTGTGTGTGTGTGTGTGTGTGTGTCAGGTGTGGCGCAGTTAAGCGACATCTTTCAGCCTGTGTCTTTCCAAACTGTGACGCTCGGAGATTCAGCCACTGTTGAGTGTCACATGAAGAGTGACATGCTCAGAAGAGTGTGGTACAAACTGACAAGAGGGAAGAAACTTCAGCATGTGGCAACATTCAACCCCAAATATAATCTCAGTACATTAGTCAATCAATTTGAACGCCGTCATTCAGTCAAATTCAACAGTGTCAGCAGTAATCTGAGTATATCCGCAGCGACCTGGGAAGACACCGGGACATACTTCTGTGGAGTTTTGACCTCAAACGATATTCAGTTTGGATCAGGAACCTTTTTGATGCTGAAAGGTATCATTTTATTATTCATTCAGAAAGCATTCCAGGGTACTTTGAGTGAAAGTTAACGCAAACCTCATTAGAAAAAAAGAGTTGGGAAGTTGTGTGAAATGTAAATAGATACAGAATGTGATGATTTGCAAAACACTGAGAACACATTTCAATTGAAAATAGCATAAAGAGAACTATCCAATGTTGAAACTGAGAAATTAAAAATTCGATGCCAGCAATACATTGAAAAAATAAAATTGTTACAGGGTCACGTCAAATACTCTTTTTGTATTAACAGTCTTTGTTAGCGTTTGTGGAACCAAGGAGACCAATTTCTGTCATTTTGAAAGTAGAATGTTGTCCCACCGTTGCTGAATGAAGGATTTCAGCTGCTTTAACTGTTCAGGGTTAATGCACCCCCATACCATCACAGAGGCTGGCTTTTGAACTGAGCACTGATAGCAAGCTCGATGGTCCCTCTCCTCTTTAGCCCGGAGGAATCTGAGAAAGTCAGATTTTGACTCGTCTGACCTCAGGATAGTTTTCCACTTTGCTTGGGTTCATCTTAAATGACCTCGGGTGCAGAAAAGGCAGTCATCTGTGGATTAGGTTTCGATGCAGACAATGGCTTCTGGAAGTGTTCCTACCACTGCAATTATGTTGATTACAGAACTGTGTCTGTTCTCAATGCAGGGCCCAAAGATCAGGGCCACCCAATATAGTATTTTAATGCTATTTCTCCTACATACAGAGATTTCTCAGATTCTCAGAAATGTTTTAATGATTGTATGTATTGTAGATGGTACAATCCCCAGGTTCTTTACAATTTTACATTGAGAAAACTTTTGAGGATTGTTAAATTATGCTTTATACCCGATCAAATTATCTACCTGTTGGCAGATAACCTTATCTACAGTAGATGTTCCAACAGGAGTTGTTTTAAGCATTTCTCAATTTTTCCAGTGTTTTTCTGCCAATTTTTTTTAAACATGTCAGCATTTTTTCAATTAGAATGTGGGTTTCAATGTTTTACTAATCATCAGATTCTGTTTTTATATACATTTTAACAAACGTGACAACCTTCTTTGAATCTGGGGTTGTATAATGCTGCCGATTAAAATGGTCTGATTTGTTTCTCAAGGTGAGAACATGATGAGTGACTCTGTTGTCCAGCACCCAGAGTCTCTGTCAGCCCAGCCTGGAGACTCTGTGACTCTCAGCTGTTCTGTTCACACCACCCACTGTGCAGCAGAATACACTGGTGTCATGTGGCTGAGAAACGCTCCTCATTCTGCTCCACAAACGATTCACCCATCCGGACAAAAGAACCAGATCTGCAGGAGGACTGAGAGGACTGAGAGTGGAAACGCTACCTGTGTGTACAACCTCGTCATGAGGAACCTCAGCTACGAGGATGATGGGACGTACTTCTATGTTGCAACTGCATGTGAACAAACATTGTTTGGCAATGGAACCAAACTGGATTTGTGGGGTAGGTGACTTTTTATTAAATGTTTGTATCTCATTAATTATGGTTACTAGTGATGATTACTGCTTTTTTTTTTTACACACTTGTGCGTTTCTTTGGATCAAAGCACCTGCCAAAAAAATGACATTTAACATTTGTCTAATGTCTGTATTTACAGAGGACATGGAACAACGCTCTGAAGTTAAATCTAGTATCATATTTTTGGTTCTAATCACTGCCCTGGCTGTTTTAGTGACCTTCTTCGTGTGTGTGATCATCAAGAAAATCTGCAATCAATGTAGAGGTAACTTTAAAAAAAAGTAAAGTACATTTGGTATTTTCTGTATAAGGTCTGAATAGAAGACAGGTTTTTTTACCCTTGAAAAACACCTGAAAAAGTCAGGTTGTGTTACATTTTGGCTTTAGACTTTTGAATGCCAATATACACAACAATAGACAGAGCGAGTATAGTGAGTGTAGCGCTCACGACTGAGGTGTGTTGTCACTCACTGCTGCACCGACACACAGTGATTGTCCAGAACAAAGTGGCTCAAAAGTAGGTCCAGTGAAGGAGTTGTGAAGCCAATTATCACAACATAGCATTCTGTCCATAGATGACCCCCCCTCTCTTTGGCCCTGCCGCAGGAAAAACATTACTCTGTGGATGATAAAGAATTTGTGACAATTTAATAAGATACAAGATATTGAAAATATGATATTGAACAGGTGTTAAAAACAACAACCTAACTAATTTAATTCCATTTGTTCTTGCATTACAACTATGTAAAAAAAAATTCTCTCCTTTTGCTTTTAACTTGTCTTCAAATAGGGGTGTCCTCTTCCAATCAGTGTTGTCTTATATTCGGGCCAATAATGTATATTGTTTGTTCAGTTGACTATACTTACTCTGTTGTCTCTGTTTTTCAGAACTTTTCAATCCAAACAACACCAGCGCTGAGGTATTTGCTTTTGATGAACATTTCTCTGACAATTAAGATTACACAATGGGATTTTACCATCATATACAGTTTTTACATCCTAGTTCTTCTCCTGTGCAGAGTCTCAGAGATGACGATGTTGTCCAACGTGGAGCGTTAAGAGAGAACCAAATCATCAGATCAAAAGGAAGAAGAGACGACACCTGGAGTGAATGTGTGTACTTTGGTGTAACGCAGTAAAGCTGGGCATGTTTTCATTTCAATTCCTGAAATACAATGACATGGTGACAAAGTGTCAGTGTGAATACTTTCCCTGCAATAAAGCCACTGAACAAGCTTCTCCAATAACGTGCCATGGTGTACATTCATTTCTGCAATCGTTGTGACAACAGGCGCTGAAGTTACCTCTGTGGTTTTTGTTCTGCTTATCTTATGAGCTGATTTCCTGATTGCAAAATGAGTGTCTGAAAAAAGAAAAGACAGTTTGTAGGAGGGGAAACCCTGATTTTATAGAAGTAAAAATACATTTGTAGTGAGATAAAAAAATTCTTGTCGCTGCAAATGCATCTCCACAGACGAGTTGCATTCTTTTCTCGTGGCTTTCGAGAGCTCGATCATTTGAGGCTCTGCCTGACAATTTACACCTAAAATGTTTAAAGTGGAGCTGTTTTAACTACTATAATCATTATTTCACTTTATTTTATTTCATTTAATTTTTTGCATTGTACTGAGCAACACAAACTGGGTATAGATAAAAATGTAGCAACACCTGAATAACATTTGCTAACATGAGCCAGCAAGTAACTCTCTTTCTCCCTCTCTCATGTCATGTTCCATACTTACTTGCCCTGTATCTGTCTGTGGAACTTCCACCAGCTCATCTCTCTGTCCCTCATCATCACATGTGGCCCTACCATGCTGAGGCTGCACAACTGTCTGGCTAGCCTCAACACTCTCTTCTTCACTCATGCTGCTAACTTCTTAGATGCTGCTGCTAACGTCAACTTGTGCCTCAGTGCTGCTGCCGGCTGTGCTGCTGAACATTTCAGTGAGCTTGCGACATTTAGCGGCTTCACTTTCTAAATGTCGCATTTTTTCCCCTCGCCTTCTCAGCCCTAACCCTAACCCTTTTCTCTACTACTACCAAAGATCGTCTTCGCTGCTACTACTTCTTCTTCTTCTTCTTCTTCTTCTTTTCAATTAGCTGGTGGGCATGGGCGGCTGCCGGCTGGCATCCAACTTAAAGACGCATTGTTGCCACCTACCGGACTGGAGTGTGAAACAGTAGATTAGCAGGAAAAAATAAATAAATGGTGATGACTGCGTGGCGGCCGCCGGCCGTCCTGGAGTACCGGCCGTTCTGTGATTCTCCAGAACACACAGATGGCCAGTCCGCCCCTGGTTTTAATTGTAAATGTTCTTGATTTTTGCAGATACTCTCAAAGAAACTAATATAGGAGAAATATAAAACTTTGTAAAACTTTACATGCAGTTTGGCCAAGTACCAAAAACATTTTGCAGCATCATTTAGAAACAACTTTTTATTTGTTCAAATGCATTTCTTCAAATTAGTTCAGAGTGGAAGTTAAGCACATTATCAGAAGTCACTCCCAGATTACCCTGTGGTGGTTCCAAACCGGAGGGAAGTGCCATTCAGTGGATTATCAAGTCATAATTGATGTCGTACATTTGCTACTTATGACTAAGACTTCATAAAATAGGTTAAAATGTGATGCTCCTTATAGCTAATGTGCATCAAATGGTGTTTTCACAAAAACACTAAAGTCCTAAAAGATTTCCACAACTTTCATGGTGCGCTTCAGGTGTGATTCTAAACAGTTATTTTTATCATCTGGACTTTACTCGCAGTTTTTCGTACTAGCCCGTTTTTTGAAATATTGTGTGAAGTCAGGGTGAACCGATGTATGCATGCAGCAGGAAGTTATCAGGAATACGAGTGCCACTGCATACGAGTGGATGATGTTATCGACAAACATCATGCGTGTAGTGAACAGCTGGTTCATCCTCTGCATGCACGTACGTACCACTCCACTAACTTGTTCCTTTTGGTATTTTCATGACTTCTTCTAGGCAGAGATGTGGGCTGAGGGTGAAGCCTATCAGTGTTTGACTCTGGTTCTCACTCCTGTGGTGAATAAGGTGTGACCAATGTGAGCAGGCTTCTGCAGGCCAACACTTCAGTCCACGCTTAAACAGGAAGAATAGCATGTGGCCTCCAAGCCACAGCCTGCACCAGCTCAGACATGAGACAAGAACAAAGATGAGGCGTTTCTTTAAGTACTGTGTGTAACTTCCCCGAATGAACATCATGGATGTTTATCCACAGATAGCAGTTTTACATTTTTTAGATCCAACTGATTTGTTGGCTCTTTTTTTTTGCCTATTTTAATTTTGTTGCAATTTAAATAAGATTAGATTTTCCAAGCTCCAGTAAAATGAAAGCGTTTATATTATCACTAACATGTCTTTTCTGAGGTAAAAACCAGCAACAGCATAAAGATTGGCTATTTCAATATCGTCATCTTTAAAGTCTTAAACAGCTTGCCTGGGGTACGTGTCAGTCCGGGCATCGTAAGGCATGAAATGCTTTGTCCACCATTTGCGGGTCAAAACAACCCAGAAATGGTGGACAAAGCAAAAGAGTCCGAGGCTATAATGACAAATGCCTTTCTATTAATGCTATGCTTTACTGGATGTATTCAGATTGGAAACAAATGTGTGGAAAAGATGGTTCCTGCATGATGGACTCCTGCTGTCTTACCACATCAGTTTAACCAAAAGAGATGGAAACAGCCAGAATACCTAAAAATGTGGTATTTCCCAAAGAACCTTCTTATTCAGGAAACATAATCCAAAGCAAATGTTTGTTATGTTGTTTTTGTCCTTCTCAAGTACCAGCATTACCCATCCACGCTGTACTGAACATGTGCTCACTGTTTCCAAAAAAAGACAGTCAACCTGATTGGCTGATCAAATTCAAAGTCTCCTCTGTGAAGAGTAAAGAAGGTGTAGAGATTTCAGTCATTCATCACAGCAATCGCAGCACGATGGCACCTCCAATCTTTGCTTTTTATTTCACATGCCTTTTCATGGCCAATGTTGGTAAGTTGTTCACTATTTTATATGACTTTACAACAAACATGTTTTTTTTAGTTTAATGCATTATGTCATACAAGTCGTTGCAAAAGACAGGAAACATTTAAGAATTTATTTTCTTTTTGTCTTCCTTTTCTCCTCAGCTTTTTTCGACAACTTCCAAAAGTTCATTTTTACATTTTCAAACCGTCAGTGTTGGAGAAAGTGTGACCTTGCCGTGCGCCTGTCAAGATGAAACCGCTGTGATGTTTTACTGGTATAAGCGAACTTTGGGACAGATACCCCAGCTGATGACTACATTCTATAAGCATAATGATCATTGTCACCTTTCATGACAAATTTAAGAACAACCCACGTTTCTCATTTGATCCTAAAATCAGTAAATATGCCTTGAAGATTTTGGATTTTGGAATTTCCGATTCAGCAACTTACTTCTGCATTGGGAGTGATTTATATAACTTTGAATTTTGTCAGAGTACAACTGTCAGTACAAAGGATTTAGATATCCAAGCCATTATCCATCAGTCAGTGTCTGAGACCACCACCAAACCAGGAGACATGACTCTGACCTGTACAGTCCACCCTGGGACCTGTGATGGAGAACACAATGTTTACTGGTTCAAAAACTCTGAAGAATCACATCCAGGACTCATTTACACCCATGGAGGCAGGAATGATCAGTGTGAGAGGAACCCCACTCCACAAACACACAGTTGTGTCTACAATTTGCCAATGACCAACCTAAATCTTTCTCATGCTGGGACCTACTACTGTGCTGTTGCATCATGTGGACACATTCTGTTTGGAAACGGGACCAAGCTGGACTTTCACAGTAAGCGACTTTATGTGAAGTACTCTCATTTCTACGACAACCAAACTTAAACTGTTGTGTTATGCACAAATCATACATTTATTTGAGTTGACGTACCTAACAAATGAATGGAATTGTGTGTCTCCTGTTTGTGTTCGCAGATGACGTGGACATTATTCTGAAAAAATACTTCAATCTTGTTTTTTTGGTACTGAACACCATCCTGGTTGTCATACTTACAGTCCTTGTGAGTGTGATCATTAAGACAAAGTGTGACCAATGCACAGGTAACATGGTAAACTGTTGGTATTACCATTGTGTGTTCACTTTACATAGAATATACTTATTGTTTTTTTTGTTTTTCAGAAGCTGGTGCAGAACCTTCCACTCCCATCACAACCACTGCAGAGGTATTTACTGTTTGGATACAAAAAAATATAATTACAATATAACTTCAATGTGTTGATTTGACAATACCATATAGTAATGTACTGCTTCTAATGTGCAGAGCTTCCAAGATAAAGATAATGTGCAACATGCGGCTTTCAACGGTTCAAAAACGAAGAGAGATGGCACCTGGAGTGAGTGTGTGTACTTGTACGCAAAGCAGGAAAGTTGAGCATGATTTATTTCAGTCTCTGAATAATATGACTTTGTAAATGTATATTTTAAAGTCCAATTATCATTTTCCTCTTCTTTTCAATAGTTGTATTAGTTTTGAATTTGAATACGTCTTTTCTTTAACCACTTTTGTCAACATTATAACATGTTGTTATGATCAATGTAAAAACTTCACCTGCAATAAACCAACTGAACAAGCTTCTCCAACATGTCATGGTTCACTTCAATTTCTGCGCTTTTGGTTACAAAATGCACAAAAGTTACTAACAAGGTTTTTGCTCTTTTACTCAAATATGACTCTGCGTCAGCCCGTTGTTTGCAAACTGTTGGCAATGGAGTATCTTTATGTGTATTCAACTGTTGCCATAAGGTCAATAGTCCATGGCTTAAAGGCTACATTATAGAGGTTAATTTATGACGTGTTAGTTGAGATCGGTTAGTAAGGTTCAAAATAAAGATATCTAACTTAAAGATCAGCAAAGAAAGGCGGGTTGGTGTGTATATTCATGGATCGGGTTGCTGGTTTTCATTTTTGTTTGGATTGTTTTGGCATAAAAATATGTAAATAAAAATGATTTATTTTTTTAAATGGTAATGCCTAATTCAAAGAAGCTAATACTGGAAAACACTAGATATGATTTAGATTTAAATATAAATATGTGACCTAGTTTTCCCACATCCCTTTAAAACATGCATGATTTTTCAATGTTGCACAAGTATACAAGACATTTCTTGAAATTTGTTGTACATATTGACTTAGATGACGTGTCTTGATCTGAGGTAAAGCCCAAAATACCTACAGTATATGGTGTTCCAAGACCGATGCAGGGGATTCCTTTGGTTCATAATTGATGTTTTACTTTTGCCTCTTAAGTGTTTCTTATAGATAGATAGAGTAACTTTATTGATCCCAAAACTGGGAAATAGTGGTGTTACAGCAGCAGGTTAAAATGCGTTCTTCAATGTGTATGAAAGATCTGCAGTCTGACTAGGAAAACATGGTGTCCGGCTGTGCAGCTACTAAGAAATCTCATTGGTTTAAAAAAGGCTTTTTCTTTTTCATGTAACACTTGTAGTGTTTCTTCTTGGTTATCGCCCATGTGTATTTAACCTCTGATAATTGTGCCACTGTTCCAAATTGGATTAGATGATGAATCAGTCATGCTTCTAAGGCACTGAAAAAGTTATTCTTAAAAGTGCAATTTTCATTTTCATGAAGTTTTCTATTTGTGCCTTGAAAATGTCACAAAATAACTTTCTAAGTTGGTGCCATATTTAATATATTGTAGTATCTTTCTGCTGACATTTATTGCATGAAGGTATAAGTGCCCCACAAATCATTGAGATAGACATTTAGAGATATGACAAAGCAACAAGCTCACTGGCATTGTGAAGTTTGAACAGTAGAAGGTGGAAGGAAATAAAAAGTTATTATCCTATGTTCATAGATATAGCATCCTTAATTTCCCCAATTCAATTTGAAGCATCAAAAGGGATATGAAGACATCAAATATCACATTTATATAAACAGCATTGTGTGCAGGCATAAAGTGAGCAAAAATCCCCCTCTGGTCTATTTAAACCTTCTTTTAAGCTGAGGGGAGGCTGAGGGTGCAGCCTTCATAAGTGTGAGCTTTCAGTGTGTGACTGTTGTTCTGACTCCTGAGATGTAAAAGGTGTGAGCATGCTGTGACAAAGGCTCTGCAGGCGGAAGCTTCAGCCCCATTTTAAATTCAGAGAGAAAAGCCTGTGGCCTCCAAGCCACAGCCTGCAGCAGCTCAGACTGAAGCAAAGAACAAACACAAGACATCTCTATAAGGCAGCAGTGTAAAATACAGCAAAGTACTGTATTTATGAACATCTGTCTCAAATGTTGAGTCTTAATTCGTCATGTGATGCATTTAACGCCATGATTGATAGCTCCATTGATAAACGCACACCCTAAGTGTTTTATCAGTAAGTTGAATGTGAAATGTAATACCTTGAAGGGTCAATAGGCTCCTACAGTTGTTCCCTACTGTGCAGACTTTAGCCTTTTTCATATGCACTCATGAAAATTCAAAAAACATTGGAAGGCAGCCCTTTCTGACTTGCTTGTTTGCACATGCACCTAACAGCAGGAGGCTGGGAGGGCGGGGGGGGGGTCTGAGGAGAAGAATTGATGGATGAACAACAAATTGTAAATGGTTGAAGAAGCAACAAAAGTCTGACGCTACTGTATAATGAGAATTTTTGTTTTATATCCAAGTATATCAGTGCTTCGTAGTTCGACATATTCAAGGTATCAACTAAAGAGCGGAGAAGAACATAATGGTGAACAGAAAACATAATGGTGAACAGAAAACACAATGAAGCACTTTCAATACGTGCACGGACAATGAACTGGACAGACTCATGCATGTATGGATTCTTTGTAATGTAGAGGACAAAATAACATGGGATTAATATTCATTAAAATAAATGAATGCACTATTCTTTTTCTTTTCTTCTTAATAATAAGAAACCACTTCTCTTTTCTTGCTTTTAGAGGTTTTACATGCTGCGGTGGACTTCTAAGTGCTCTGAAGTGCTAGCCACCTCTACAAAACTACAAATCTGTCGTCATGATCCAAGTGTAGAAAAATTAAACACTTAACATCAACCAAAAGACAAAAGAGTCTCCTGCTTGAAGAATCTGAGACAACGTCTCTGCAGCAGCTCTTCACATTTAAAAGCCTCTGAAGCGTCCGTCACTTCCTGTCACTTCCTGTCACTTCCTGTCACTTGTCACTTCCTGTCCTTGTGAACACTAGAGGTGGGGGAAAAAAATAGGTACAGCATTAGTATCGCGATATTTTGCGTGTTGATATTATATCGTCTCATGGTCGCCAAGTATCAATATTTTTTTTAGAATAATAGCAAAAATGCTTTTATTACTAAAGGGGTTGCACAACTCATTTTGAACAAGTTGCATTGTTAAAAGTTCCTGCAGTCATACAGTCATCTATACATGTTTGTGTTCAGTGAAGTTAAATTAGACTGACATACTATCAGTTCAGATTGGGAGGTACATGCATCCTCTTACGGGGTTTGACTTTAATCTCAGTGGGCTTGACTCTCATTGTGTAGAAATAAAAAGACTAAAGTGGGATCAATAGACTGAGAATGTTTTCTTACTTGAAAAAACAGTTCTTGATTTAGTTAAATTTTGTGGACATGATAAGCAGTTAAAAAAGTTAAATCCCAATATATTGCATCACAATCAGCATATCGCAAAATATTTAGAATCGCAATGAATCCTTATGACTCAAGTATCGTGATAATATCGTATCCTGGGGCCTTTGCTGAGTACCCTGCAAACTTGACCGTGCATATTGTAGATCCATCAAACTCTCTATTTCCAGTTTGGCACAACTATGTAGCCATTTACCTGTGAAGCAATCAAGCAGTAAAAGTGTAAATATTCCTAAATGAGTATATGAACTGATTTCTATAACTGGCAATGTTCAGTAGAAACAGCTACTTTATGGTGAGGATATTAAAAACTTAAAGGGGATATATTATAATAATCCACTTCTACAGTGTTTTTCAACATATATTTGGGTAACCTGAGTGTCTACTGACCCACAAAATGTGAAATAAACCCATACAGTCCTTTTTTGTGGTCTGCATAAGTCTTACAACACAGAGGAAAATGCTCCGTTTCAAATTTGCTCAACTTGTGATGTCACAGTGGGATTCTGGTAAAAAATTACCCTCCCCTCCCCTGATATCTCCACCCATGGACTCCACCCCCAGCCTAGAACAAAACTTTTGCAAAGGTCTGTCATTTTTATTCTTGCTACAGAGGAGTGATGTCTACCACAAAAACTCAGGGCGGGCTCATTGCATTTAAAGAGACACACACACCAAAACGGAGAGTTCTGAGAGAGCTGGTTTATACAGGGTCACAAACCTCCTCTGGTGCTTGATTCATGTTATATTTTGACCAAACCACAGCACAGATGTTTCATTTAGACCACAGGGGACTGTTTGAAAAGGTGGAAAAGGGGGATAATATGTCCTCTTTAAGACAATGTTCAGGAGCTATATTATTTTTGTTCATCATTGCCATTCAGGGGGTACGGAACATGTTTACAGTGTTTCCAAAAAAAGACAGTCAACCTGATTGGCTGATCAAATTCAAAGTCTCCTCTGTGAAGAGTAAAGAAGGTGTAGAGATTTCAGTCATTCATCACAGCAATCGCAGCACGATGGCACCTCCAATCTTTGCTTTTTATTTCACATGCCTTTTCATGGCCAATGTTGGTAAGTTGTTCACTATTTTATATGACTTTACAACAAACATGTTTTTTTTAGTTTAATGCATTATGTCATACAAGTCGTTGCAAAAGACAGGAAACATTTAAGAATTTATTTTCTTTTTGTCTTCCTTTTCTCCTCAGCTTTTTCGACAACTTCCAAAAGTTCATTTTTACATTTTCAAACCGTCAGTGTTGGAGAAAGTGTGACCTTGCCGTGCGCCTGTCAAGATGAAACCGCTGTGATGTTTTACTGGTATAAGCAAACTTTGGGACAGATACCCCAGCTGATGACTACATTCTATAAGCATAATGATCTTGTCATCTTTCATGACAAATTTAAGAACAACTCACGTTTCTCATTTGATCCTAAAATCAGTAAATATACCTTGAAGATTTTGGATTTTGGAATTTCCGATTCAGCGACTTACTTCTGCATTGGGAGTGATTTATATAACTTTGAATTTTGTCAGAGTACAACTGTCAGTGCAAAGGATTTAGATATCCAAGCCATTATCCATCAGTCAGTGTCTGAGACCACCACCAAACCAAGAGACATGACTCTGACCTGTACAGTCCACCCTGGGACCTGTGATGGAGAACACAATGTTTACTGGTTCAAAAACTCTGAAGAATCACATCCAGGACTCATTTACACCCATGGAGGCAGGAATGATCAGTGTGAGAGGAACCCCACTCCACAAACACACAGTTGTGTCTACAATTTGCCAATGACCAACCTAAATCTTTCTCATGCTGGGACCTACTACTGTGCTGTTGCATCATGTGGACACATTCTGTTTGGAGATGGAACCAAGCTGGAATTAAAGGGTATGATTCTCTCTTTCATAATTTGTCTTTTAGAAAAGAAATGGTGACAGATCATTTGAGGAGGGGAGTCTCTTATCAAAATAATAGAAAATACTGGTCAAAATCATCATGACTTTAGTATTACGAAGCTGTAATAATCCTTGCATCACTCCACTGCTGAGTCAAAATGTAAACGTTGCAGCTATTTGTGCATTACAGCATTCTGAGTAAACCAGATCAGGGGGATATCTTTGTATTGATTACGCTTGTATTTGGTACTGTCAACACTATTTCTATTTTCTGCTAAGTATCATGTCTCCTCAACAGACCTCATGGAAGCATGGAAAAAGTTTCCAAGAAAACAGAAAAACTGTATTTTGTAGTATACCAACTTACACGGGAAATTAAATTGGCAGATTTGTTTGACCCTATCTTACAATTTTCAGTTAGTCAGAGGGATTTTTCTGGTCATTTATCTAGGGATGTGGCATCTGCCTATGGCCTTCATCCACCCATTGTGTCGCACAGACACCTCAACATTTTCAAAAAGAAATGCCCCCACAGGACCCACATGGGAAAAGTGATTAATTGCTGTCAAAATTAACATCAATTTCTAATTTTTCACCAATATTTAATGTTTTTTGTATTTTTTATTAAAATCCAAAAAGGATAACCCTTAGCGTAGCGTTTTACCAAAAGACCTCCGATAAACTACCTAGAAAGTGTGTTATCAGGATTTTTGTAAATATGTGCAAATCCAATTTTTACATTCTCAGAGCAGATAAAGCCATGCGCCTGCTCTAGGAGTCCAAACCCCAGTGTGGGAACCAATGGTATAGAGTATGTTTTTTTCCTTGTTATATATTGATGTCAGGGGTGAATAAAGATGATAGTTTATCCCCTATGTTGTTTTGCAATAACTTAAAAATGTTGGTGTATGAAAGTAAAACTTTTAAATGTGTGGGTATGGAAGAGAAATGATAAGCATCTCTTGTTATGCAGATGACACCGCTCTATTCATTCTGAAATCTTCTGTTGCTTTTACCACTCTGCTGATTTTTTCCTGTATCTGTCCTGTGTGAGTTTTTTGTTACAATCTAATCCTGCTTTCTTTGAAAGTTGAACATATCACTCACTAGGAACCTATGCCATGGGAAATAAAAAAGTAAAAAAGAATATTGTGCAGAGAATCAAGCACTAATTAATTATGTCGATTTTGCTCAATTTTGCTCTTTTTTTGGGTCATATACTGTCGAAGCGTAGCTATTAATTTCAGTCCATCTTTTTAACCAGCTTCAAACTCTTCACAGGAGCTTTAATGGACAAACAGGCCAAAAACACGTCCGTCTGTTAATGTGTTCTTGTGTTTCACTGTTTTCAGGTGACCCTCCTGTCTTGGTGTACATCTTGAGCACAGCTTTGACATTCACCACCATCCTCGTTGCTTTGTTGGCCTTTTCTTTGTACAAGATGAAAAGCAGAAACTGCATGTGTCCAGGTAACTAATGCTCTTGAAGCTTACATCATGTTGGGGTGCATATTGCTACGGAATAAAAGGAGTTTAATTTTGTCTTTCACAACAGAAGACTCTAGTCCAGCAACAACGGTAAGTATCCTACACTATTAAATAATCAAACAAAATATGTCACTTTTGTGCTGTACATTTCATCGTGAAGACATTTTTTTTCTTGTTATCAGTTACGTGAAGACGCAGACAACCTACACTATGCTGCCTTGAGTGTTCATAGGGCCAACAGATCAAGAAGACAAAGGGAAGACAATATGAATGAATGTGTGTACACAGGTGTACGGCAGTGACGCTGGCCTGGTTTCTTTAGATTTTACATTCTAGCAAGACGGATGTTGTTGCAGGTCCCTGAAGATCAACAAGTTCAATAAATATGAAGGATGATATGAACTGTTTTATGTTTTTATTACTTTTTGCAACACCCCGCCAATTCTGTTTCTCAAGGAGCTTCCATAATTCTGACCCATTCTCGGTTATTGTCATCATACACAGGGAGTGAGTACAAGTATGTTTTATAAGGCCAAAGTCATCAGAGAACATTATTTGAAGGATTTGTATTGTATATGCTGCAACAGACTCGAGATTGACCTCATTACACCAGACAGTAAAGACATATAAGGCCCCACCGTTTCTTTGTCTCTGTGGTTTCAGACAGGATGTCTTGAATTCTTCTCTGAAATGAGCCACTGAACAAAACCTATGCAGGTCTTTGTAAGAAGTTACATAAGATGTGCTTCTTTTCCTTTCTGCAGAGATGACACAATTTACAGGTCTTGCATTGTCAATGGGCATCTGTCAAGATTATCTTTCGAAACATAAAAAAAAAATCAAGATTTGCTTGGGAGTTTTGGAAGGGGGGAATATCTAATTATCTTGTAGTTTGTACCCTGATTTTCTGCATGTTGAAGTAAGTCTTACTTTCTGAAGAGTATGCAACTGGTAGTTAAAGAGTCTGCCTCCCTCCTATCATGATTATATTATCATGCAGAACATCATAAAAAAGCGGCCAATGCTTTGTAATGCTGTTGTTAGAAAACTTTAAATAAAGCTTTGGGGTTTTCATCAAGCGGCAATCTCTAGTGTTGAAAAATGAAGTGCAAATTCTAGGTTGGTTGAATGCTGGGGAGTGAGGAGTGGGTGTTGGGGGTTGGGGGGATGGACAACTCATGCATTTTGTGAAGTATAAGCGTTATTCACAATACGGCATGTGGCTGATCTGATTGACAGGTGGGCGTGGTGTAGAGGTTTGTCAAGAGGCTTAAACCCGCCTCAGCTTTAGGTCTAAGTCTGTCGTTAGGTTGACTGAAAGATAGGCTGAGACAGGATTTCCTTCATGACCACCGCCATCGATGAGACTCCAAAGCCCCCTGCAGTAACAGAGGGCGACTTCACTTCTATTACCTAACTGTAACACGATAAAATCACACAACATTTCTACCAATCACTCACCTCATGAACTGATTGAGGTCAGCTACATTCTTTGATAAACATGGTGCGATTGTTCTGATGTGAGTAAAAGCTTCAGTTACAAACAGATTAAACACACACTTTTTTCCAGCTCAAAGTGCTGTCAGCCATTTTTTATTTGGTCAATAATTTTCTAAAATACATGAAAAAATACATACATGATTTGGTCAAAAAAAAGACCATTATTACCACGGACATCATCCTAAAAACAAAACAGTGTGCTGACTGCTCTTTTGTAATCTTCCGACCACTCAAAGGGCTTTTACAAAACATCCCTCAACATACTCACCCATTCACATAAATGTCCATACACTGATGGCAAAGGCTGCTACATAAAGTGCCCATCACTACTTATCACATTGATTGTCTTGCCCAAGGACTCTTTAGGCATGTAGACTGGAAGATCTGTGAATCAACCGCCAACCGTTCCACTAAGAGACGTCCAACTCTTCCCCTGATCTCATCTTCTAATAAAATTGACAAATTTAAAAATGAATGTCCTCTCCCCGTGCTGAGCTCTGACAATAAGACAAGATTTATTTTATCAATGTCAAACAAATACAAATGCACCTCAAATAAAAAACAAGATGTTGATCAAAGAAGCAGGACACATCTCTCAAATGCTCCTTCTTTAGGCTTTTCTGTAATAACTAAATAACTAATAAATAACGACTTTGCCCTGAACACCTTAACATTCAAAACATGATCTGAATGTAATGATTTGGACTTATAACATTTTTTGAGAACCAGAGTTTGAGAGGGGATGTCTGCCAGCTCCGTGTCCGGCTCTAGTTCATATGCTAGAAACAAGGCAACATTGTAGAGATATCCTGCTTCAGACTGTACACAGAAAAACTGAATCCTATTGAATTTTGGCAGCAGACCACAGAAATTAAAAAAGCATACCTGAAAAATTCACAAATGGCTGTGAGAAAATTGCTCACCAAAGAAGACGTATCAACTTAATATAAATCAAATTCTAATGCTTCACACTTTCATACACAGCTTCACTCCAGGTTGGATCCCTCTGGCGTCTTGTTCTGTCGGTCAGGTTGACACTTAAAGCGGCATAGTAGAGGTTGAATTTGTTTTGGTAACCCTGGCAACATATGACAATCCATATTAGCATTTTGTCATCAACATATATCCAGTCAATTATGTATCTCTGTGTGTAAAGAGACTGATTCGGTGCTTAATTAACAATGAACTGTTTATAATCACCTCTGCGTCTGTCATGGATGGAGCAGAAATTGTTGCTTGAGACTCTAGTTGTGAAAAAAATAAGAAGTTTCATTTTTTTGAACGCTCATGTTCAGTGCTAACAAGCTATAAAAAATCACCAGCTACCTGTTGATTGGCAGCTGTTTCTCTTTTTCATGAAGCACGCTGAGAGAGCAATTAAAACAGCCAGGAGGGTTGTGAATGTCAAAGTTCCAATTAAGAATTTCCCCTCATCTGCTGAGAGAAATTGTTGCTTATAGCATGTTTAATAAAGAGTCAAGACCGGCTCTAAAATGGAAAAAGTGACTTACTTATAATTTGCAGCTTGGCGCCGTTGCCAAACAGAATGCGTCCACATGCGACCACAGCGCAGTAGTAGGTCCCAGCATGAGAACGATTCAGGCTGGTCATCTGCAAATTGTAGACACAAGTGAGCGATTGTGACATAGGTTTGCTCTCACACTTGTCATTCCTGCCTCCATTGGCATAAATGAGTCCTGGATTAGATTCTTCAGAGTTTTTAAACCAGTAAACATTGTGTTCTCCATCACAGGTCCCAGTGTGGACTGTACAGCTCAGAGTCACAGCGTCTCCTTGCTTTACAGGGTCGGACGCCGGCTGCCGGATGAAAGACAAGGCACTAGAATCTGAAATCAGACATGTTAGAAAGAGGTTTTCAAGGACAATCAAAGAGAAATGTGCAACAAATTTAGCAATCGCAACGTAAATCGTCCACATTAAAAAAAAAACATGGAAGATACCTTTTAAAACCAAAAATATCCCCTCATGAAATTCAATGGTTGTTATGCTGGTTTGTCCACAGTAGTACATAGCCGAATCCGATTCCTGCACATTGGATATGATCAGATGGTAGAATCCTTCTCCCGTCTGAGCTGAAAACCGATTCTTGTCTTTAAACTGGTTGAAGAAACCAATAGCATCACGTGAGTGTTTGTAGAAGGAGGACATTATTTGAGGTTTCTCCCCTGCCACCTGCTTGTACCAAGACATGTATTTTGCACTAGAGGTGAAGACGCACGGTAAAGTCACATGTTGTCCGGGGTCAGCGTACAGCAGAGCTCCATCTGAAAGACAAAGAGGTTCATTAAAGAACATGAACTGACAGATTAAGAAAGTAATAATGCAGTGACTTACAGGCTGTGTGGAGAGCAAAAAAGAGCAGATAAAACATGAACATCCTTCACTCTCTGCTGTGAAGACTTTGATGGTGCTTTTGGTATTGGGGTCATAAAGAAAGTCTTCTCCTCCGGCGGAAAAATGTTTGTACCTGACCCAGATGGACCGCTTTTTTGTGTCACTTCTCGCACAAAAGGGAAGTGAGAAGTTGTGCGGTTTATTTTTAGTGTGTTTTAGCCTTTTGGACTTGGTTTCACGATATTTAGCTATGCTCTCTGGTAATTGCAAGTCGGGCTTATAAGTATGCAAAATGACATATTTACTTAAAAGCTTGTATTCAAACTCAATAAATAAAATGATTTTGTGTATGCACTATTGCCTATCAACCATCTCTTAACTATAGCTTCCCCAACTTAAAGCCTCTTCCCACGGCTCTGAATGAGGTGAATTAATGTACCTGGCAAGTTGGAGGTATAACTTATCCAAAATGGCTTATGAGCAGCCGGCTCCTCAGGGCATTTACTGCAGGTCTTTGTCAGCCATCCTTTGTGCTCCTTTTAGAGTCAGGTGGTTTACAAACCAAATTTGAAATTAATTTCTGTGTCATTCAACTTCTTTGAATGATCCAACATTAGTAAGCTGCTAGTTGACATGTCTGTGTAACGTACATTGACCATGATGCTTAGGGTTATTTTATTATGAATATTTCAAATTCGTTATTATTATTTCCCTCAATTTATTCAAGCATGCACATTTTTTGTACATACAAAGAATATTCTAAAAATATACCTTACCAATATACATTTTATTTCTTTTACATCTGGAAAATAGTGTGTGATACCTGCCTTTTCCAACACAGCAGCACCCCTACCTCCCATGGATATGACCTCATTGCCACATCATGGATTACATGTTAAAAAATGTAATCAACCTGCAGTACTGGAACTAGTGTAGTACTCAAAATCCCAAGACCGGTTTTGAAACCGCTTTTTAAAGGTTTTATTCTTGTCTCTGAATCAAAAGCATTTTTACTTTGTCTTGTCTCGGTCTAAGAGCACTCTGGTCTTGGGTATGTCTTCTTTTTTTGCATATTGTAGTGTCTTTAGCTTCAAAAACACTTGAGTCTGTAATTCCCTTAATGTGATGACATCATCAAGGTTGCATTTTCAGACTCTGGAAGGTTTTACAGAAGAGTTACACGTCTGTTTTCACAGGCTGAGCATTTATATCTTTATAGAGAGTTAACTAAACTTTATAAACCTGGTGGGCTGCTCTTTATAAATCATCAACAGGGCCTTTCTCTTCAGCTTGGTGCATGCACTTCAACTCTTGTTCAGTAGGGGACAGTAGTGAACCTGCTACTGAAACTCTTCTCACATTTTCAGTCCACACCTCCAGGGCAGAAGAGGGGGTGGAGGTGAGAGTGAAGCCCGGAGAGGGGCGCTCAGAGCTGGACACGGAGCTGGCAGAGATCCCCTCTCAAACTCTGGTTCTCAAAAAATGTTATAAGTCCAAATCATTACATTCAGATCATGTTTTGAATGTTAAGGTGTTCAGGGCAAAGTCGTTATTTATTAGTTATTTAGTTATTACAGAAAAGCCTAAAGAAGGAGCATTTGAGAGATGTGTCCTGCTTCTTTGATCAACATCTTGCTTTTTTATTTGAGGTGCATTTGTATTTGTTTGACATTGATAAAATAAATCTTGTCTTATTGTCAGAGCTCAGCACGGGGAGAGGACATTCAAGTATGCACAAATCTTTCAGCACCCACAGCTCCCCATCCCTCATGTGTAACAATCCTGTTGTTAATGTCACAGATAAAAACCTTGTTTCAGCTGTACATGAAAAGAATCAAGTGGTGAACTTCTGAATGAAGGTTGAGTTTTTAGCTTGACATTAAAGTTGCTATTCTTAAATGCTCACAAAGACAAAGATGTGTTTTCAAGTTCTTCAGCCAAATGAAGAAAAAAAAAGAAACTCGCTCCACCTTGGTCAAGCTTGCTCTCGTCAACTTCAACCCATGTGGTTTTGTCGCCCTCATCTCTCTCTCTCCCCCTGACAGGATGTCTTTGTGGTTTTGATAGTTTTCGATGCTGTTGTTTGTTTCAACTGTTGGTAAAAAAAAAAAAACCTCTGCTTCTCAACCATCATTCCCCTGTACTCACATGTGAATGTCTTTGAATAGGTAAAAAAAAACCACAAAATCCAGCTTTTCATCACATCACATAAAAAAACATTTGATAAAGCTGACTTGAAGCTGTCATGAGATATAGAGAAAGGTGGAGGAGAAGACTTAAGACAAAGTACATGTGACCGAGCTCTTCCTTCTGTTCATCGCTTCTGATTGGTCGAACGACGCACACAATGACACAGTGTTCAATCAATGCATGGTGTGCATGTGGCCGATCACTGAGCATCAAATATCATCTCTTTACTCTGCCGTCTTTATTCTGTTGTCTATCACATAAAAGAGCAGGCGATCTATTGACTAGTACCATGTGGCTATGTGGTTTACAGGCAGCATAGGTGCTGTACTGGGAGCATTATTAGATTGTCCATTGAGATGTACTTCCCCTGAAATCTTAAGTAATAGAGTGCCGAATTGCCCCTTGCTCCCTGATGATGCAACATGAGGTGACATCTGGGAGCTAGTTCAGACAGTCAACTCGAGAATTACAAACTAGACATGCCTCATTCTCAACAATCACACAACAACGCCTCCTTCCATTAGCTGTCTTTTTAGGCTGCATGATTTCTGCCCTCTTCCTCTGCTCTTTCGTTGCCAGACCTGCACCATACTGCACTCTCGCTCAGCCCCACCACCACCCCAGCATCCACCTGTAGGCTCTGACTGGGGGTGGGGGGTGGGTTAAGATGTCATCTCAACACGCCTCAACTTCCTGCATGTACATTAAAACTGTGAGGAGTGATTAGGTCGGAACATAAACTACGTTCTGCTGCTGAAAATAAGCGATACAAACGTGGGCTGTCTGACTGAAATGAGTATATTTCAACAAGGCACGTCACATCTGAACACCGGCTCATAGAGCTGACTCACTCACAAGATCAATACATAAATGAAAACTTAAGTCGACAACTTCTGCATCAGAGTGTGCAAAAAAACATCAGAATATCCTGACTGCTGTTGACTTGTTGGAGTCATATGAGGATTCCCAGTCTTCTTTTGGTGTTTTGCAGAGTCAAGTTTTGACTTTCTGCCCTCATCCTGGACACCACCAAGTGAGTCTTGACCACCTTGTCTCCTGTGAGGGCTGAATCACCCTAAAGCAAAACGTGTGTTACTTCTGACAAGATGAATGTTAACTTGACTCCTCCTCTGACTGCTCAAGGCACTTGAAGATGAATCTGCTGTCCGGTGTGGTGCTCTGATCCTCGCACACACAGCTCTGACCTTTTTTTATTCAGTAATCTCAAACAAATGTAACTACACACTTGACCCTCTGGACCTGAGAGGTTTTGGGAAGCAGAGCATTGCACTGCACCCCAAATGTAGAGATTTTGAGTAAAAAAAAACATAATTATGTGCATATGCACAAATATTACAATGTCGCTAGTTTTTACTCAAGCTGTTAACAACAACTTTACACTATTTGAGCCTCCTTTCTTTCATCTTCAAATGATATATGTAAGAGAGATTATCTGAGATTGCAGTTGTGCGAGAAAACGCAGCAAACACTTGTTGTTTTTTCTGACAGACAGAACAGATGAGCGGAAAAGTGTTTGACCAAAGTTTACTGTGAACTGCAAACTCTGACGTCTGAGCACACGGGAGCCAAGAAAAAAAAACGTCCTTTGTGTTTGTTTGTGGTGTCCAATCCTCATTTCACAGAAGGACGGCCCTTTTTACTTTCAGCTATGCAGCATGGAGTCTGCAGCTCTTGTCGCCATGATGTCTCTGAGCATGCTGCCACGCTGAGTGTCATGTCTAAATAAAACACGATGTAGTTTCAATGACATATTGATCGTGTTTGCCCGACTTTGAAACAGTGTTGCTGACACTTTGATGGAAGAGCACAGAGGTGTTTGTGCATTTAGCAGAATGATCTTTCTTCCTGTTTATTTGCCTCTTCAAGTACCAGAGCCCACAAAGACCACACACAGGCTTCAGTTTGTGTGGTTTATGTGTTTGTGCACTGTTGAACATGAGTGTAGTGAGAGTGGAAATATAACACCTAGATCACATGAATGAACAGTTAACGGCTTAACGGTAGAAAAAGAAAGTGTTTTATTTGATCTATGCTGAGTGAATCTTCACTTCAAGTGCACATCATTACATTTACACATACAGTCCAATGACTACTGAAGCGGCAGCCTCCGGGGGTGAAAACTGAAGCCTAGTAACTGCAGTTCCTCGAGTGTCCACTTGAGGCTGTGTCTAAAAAAGGCAGAGAATCTCCACTTGGTCTAATGTTAAAAAGCCCATTTTTTTTACAACAGATATAAACATGATTACAGCCTAGTTAAAGAAAGAGTTTTGGGATGGTGTTTTTCAAAACTCATGCGATTTAATTTAAAGGAAGAGTGTGCGACAGTTTACACCTAAAAGGAGCAGAAATCCAGTAAACCCTGTGTAAATGTTTCTCTGAGTCATGACTGTCTTCAATGAATGAGAAGTGTGAGTCCTGCTGGCTGTGTTGTTGTCTCCTCCCCTTGTGTATAAAATCTGTTTTAGTCAACGACTAGAGAAAAGAAGAATAACATACTCACTGATTATTCTGAACGTCAAGTAGGCCTAAGCGTTTTTAGATCACGGTCATTCTGTCTCAATTTGCAAGAAATGTGAAGCTACAGTCTAACTAAAGCTTGCTAACATTAGCATGCTAACACAACAGTGCAGGCCACGGGCAATTGCAGCTAAGCCAAGAACAATTATGTCCGCTGATTGGGCTTAGTGGTGTTTAATTATGGTGCATTCTAATTGATAACTCCTTCATGTGAACGCGAGGAGAGAGGGGTTGCTATGGTTTTACTGCCTGACACCAGAATAAACACATTCACTCAAGCTGTCGTCCCTCTGTCTTGTTGATCTGTTGGCCTTGTTCCTCCTTAAGGCAGCATAATGGAGGTTCTCTGAATCCTGGTCACCCTGGTTATAATATAAAATAGAATTATTGGCTTTATATTGTCTTATAGCTTAAACAGACAAGTAACCACATGTGTGAACTTGAATTAAAGTCACAGCTGCACCTCTGAGATGGAAGTGATGTGTTTAGCTGAGGTTTACTAAGAGAGGTGTTTCCTCACCTTTAGAGGTTGTACTGAATGTAAATGAAGAGCTGTACAAAATGGCACAACAGGGCTATACATGATACATTGAAAGAGGTATACTTGTTTATTCCAAACTAATTTTTCAACTGTTTAAGTCAATAGGGAAACATACACACCTCTGCGTTGGGATCCAATGCAGCTGAGGTTCTTGCTTCAGGGCCTGGATGTAAATAAACAAATTATTTTCATTTAATTTGGACTGAATGTCATTGCATTGTGCTTTCTTTTCAGTGTTTTGACTTATGATTAAACAAACCAGAGGATAAATTTATGGAAGCCCTTGTGATCATACATCCATACATTTTATTTTACTCTGTTTTACCATGATAAGAAGTAAATTTTGGTTGCTTTCTCGAGACATCGACTTATTCATCCCGTTATTTGGGATAAACATGCTCGGTTTTACAACAGTATGAAGTTAATTTCTCAAGAGCTTGAGACAACAGTTGATATTAAGTCGTTAAGCAAAGCTATGTTTCTATAAATGGCCTTCCCAAGAAAAAATAACAGTTGTGTTTGTATCTAATTTCTACATTCAATCACGTTCTACATTGATGCAAAACTGTTTAAAATCAAATAATGGCACAGCCATATGATTGGGCTGTTTGGGCACTTTTTTCAGTCTTCTGTTGGTTGACAAAATGGATTGTATAAATTTTTATTTCCTGAACACAGAAACAGATTTAAACAACATCAGTGTGGCCTACCTGTGCATTTGTGGCTGGTCGCCTTGTATGTTGTAAATGCCTTGTAAGCCAGCAAAACAGCAAGGATGGTAGTAAGAGCCAAAGCTGCACTCAATATATACACCAAGACGAGATTGTCTACACCATCTGCAGATTAACATAAAGAGATTTTAAAGATTTCTTATTTCTTTTCATCAAATATAAAGCACTCCGCAACAATGCTTTGTCCAAAACTTCCTTACCTTCTATGTCCACCGTGGTCCCGTTTCCAAACCGAATGCGTCCACATGAAGAAACAGCGCAGTAGTAGGTCCCAGCAAGAGAACGGGTCAGGTTCTTCATTGGCAAGTTGTAAACGCAGGTGTTTGTATCTGTGTCGGGGTTCCTCTCACACTGATCATTCTGGCCTCCACGGGTGAAAATGAGTCCTGGATTTGTTTTTTCTGAGTTTTTGAACCAGTAAACACTGTGTTCTCCATCACAGGTCCCAGGGTGGACTGTACAGGTCAGAGTCAAAGAGTCTCCTGGCTGGATGGTCTCAGATGCGGACTGGTGGATGAACAATGGGACGTTCAAATCTGAAGTTTTGACGTGGACAATAATGCCCTCCATAAATTCGTACACATAGGAATAGCCACTCATGCAGTGGTAAGTAGCCGAGTCTGAGATTTGCACATCTGTGATCCTCACATTATATTTCCCAGGGCTAGTTTCCAGTTCAATGCGTTGATCATTCTTAAATTCACCAATCAGAGAGCCACTTTTGTCATGCTTATAGAACTTAGACACCAGCTCTGGTTTCTGACCCAGACTTTGTTTATACCAGAAAAACATTAACGCCAAGCTGTCTTCATGGAAGCATTCCAAGGTCACGTCTTCACCAACACTGACCGACAGGAAACGTGAATGCGAGGACGATTCCAGGGTAATCGCATCTGCTAAGGAGAAAATGGAGACAAAGCAAATGTATAACTCTCCTGGGTGAATATGTTAAGAAACAAAAGCATTGCAGAACATATCAAAGATAAAGAAAATTAGATAAAATGCACTTGAAAACAACATAACTTACCCATCCTCCCCATGAGAAGACACGTCACATACAGAGCAAACTTAGCTGCTGTCATTGTTGAAGTTGATGTGGTTACTTGAGAGAACTCTATCTGTTGTCTCCTTTTTATAGACGAGACTTTGTTTGATTGGACAGTCACGATTGGTCACATGGCAAGTGACCAAAGTACAGTGTTCATTTTGGTCTATGTGAATGAACTGGAATTTAAATCAAATCAGAATTTGGACGAATGACTCACTCAGAGAGGCACTTAATCTAGATTTACTGAGTACATTGCTCATGTTACAGCTAGTTTAGTTTGCACATGAAATGACATAGAAGAAACTTCTTGAATATCTCAAGACGACAATTAAAAACTGAAAGTGTGTGAAGAGGAGGGACTAGTGAATCAGGAGCTTGATTCACTAAGAATGGATTGCAGTCACAAAAAGCATAAAGCTTTATTTGAATTTTTTTTTCAATTGTGCTTTTTTTTGCATAGAAAGGAGGCCGTTTTTTGTGACTTTGTGTCTTTTTAATACATTTGTACAGGTTTAGCAGGCGCAAATACCCCACAATCCTTTTGTCAGTCTTACCCTTAACTTGATTTACACATGGTCCGTCAGGCACTCTAGTCAATGATTATGTTTCCACAGCGAGCGCTGCAGTCCGTCTCCGGATCTTGCCAGCAGCGCAACTACGCTCTATTTTCTACTAGTCCATCTTGTAATGAGCATGCTGCAAGCACGTGTGAAGCTAGACAAAATAGAACAACCTGGGCAGGAAGTCAGGCATGCAAACGCACAGAGCGTTCAGTCAATTTCAAAATAAAACACAATATACAGACTCAGGATTGTATTTTTCGTCACTTTATTAACATAACGTTAAAACAGGCACTGAATGTCCAACTAATCATTCTCAGAAAGACAAAGTAACATGTTGTTTGCATATTTTTCTCTTAAATCCAGCCTGATCTTGAAGTTCTTGTAGTTCTTACACTTGGCAACAAACACAGTGTAGCAGTAAGTGTTGTTGCTTTTTTCCTTCTTTCACAGTGTGCTATTCAGATTCAGACTTTGCGCCATGTGGTTGAGACCAAGTGTGATAGAATGTTTGTTAAAGGGCCTTTTCACATAGACCTCTGATCTCCTAATGGGGCGGCTGTGACTCAGTTTGTAGAGTCGGTTGTCTCTTAACCAGAAGGTTGAGGGTTTGATCCCCAGCTCCTGCAGCTACATGTCTGATGTGTCCTTGGGCAAGACACTGAACTGCAAACTGCTCCTGCTGCATCATTGGTGGCATATGCATGTGAATGAATGTGTATGAATGGAAAAAGTTATTTCTGATGGTCACTTTACATAGCAACTTCTGCCATCAGTGTGTGAATGGGTGTGAATGTGTAGGTGTGACATGCGGTGTAAAACTGTTTGAGTAGTCAGATGATTACAAAGCGCTATACAAGCTCAAGTTCATTTAGCATGTACTGCTTAATGGTAGCATGTGTTTAATCATGTTTTCTTTATATTGATAATATAATAAAGAAGATATTTAGTGCCTGACTAACACAGATGAAAATGTATGTTTGTCTAGAGGAGACGGATGTGTCAAGTACACAGTAGACTAACTTTCTGTTAGTACAGTATACTGTTTTTATGTATTTAATTATGCACATGTTTTTCATCATGTAATCCAAAAAAAAACTTATTTTTACTAAAAAGAGCTTCCCAGGGGATTCAAATAGTCAGTATACAGCTTAGCTAATAAAAGAAAGCCAATAAAAAATACATAAATAGCTGTAGAGTAGTAGATAGTGTAATAGCCACTCTTTTCTACTGAATGAAAACTTCACAGACCATGTTCACAGAAGCCTGGAGGTAAACATGGTTCTGTGAGAGATGTAGGTAGGTCTCCCCAACTCAATAATTGTATTCTTGCTTCTTTGTTTTTACAAATCATCAATTGCAAAAAAAAGCTGCCTGCTTTTAGTTGAGTGCTGTGTCTGATGGTGTGCAGAGTGTCGTTTTATTTCAAAGCCTTGCTTTTTTTTTCACGACGCTATGTGAGAACAGCTTTGCAGAGGTGCTACATGTTGAGGCCTGAGAGCCACAGGCCGGCCTTCCTGTGCTCAAGCCCTGCAAGGGCTCGTGTTTCCTCCAATGGAAACTTAGTGTTTTACCACCTTCACCACATGCGTGAGAGGTATCTGTTGAGAGCTGGCTGGAGAGTGAAAGAAAACAACCTGTGCGCATGAAGGTGGTTTAGGAAGTTATTTATAGATCACAGGGGGTTTCATAAGCATGCTTTGTCTATATTTTGTCCAGGCTCATACTCTATGTACAGAAATGATCACCCAACTGTCATTTTTTCAATAAAATCACTACAAACACATCACTCTAGATATTGTTTATTTTCTTCAACTGAATTTTCTGTTACATTTAGTCATGTGAAATGACTGACAGATTAGTTAAAAGGGATAAAACGTAAAGACAAAGTCCTTTTTCACTCTCTTCTCACTCTGGAGTAAACACAGTCTGCCGTCACGTTGTCCTTTTGGCGATGTCGCTTAGTCGTTCTGTTCAGACTCAGAGCTGCATAGTGGAGATGGTCTGCATCATGGCTCTGGTAATGACAAAGCGGGAAAAGACAACGTGAGAGATATCACCCCAAAAAGTAGCTTGTGAATTTTGCTGTTGGCTTACATTTAATTCACCTCCCGTGGCCTCAGAAGCTGCAGAACCTGCAAGATGAGAAACAGTTCCTGTAAATCAAAGTGCGTAACGGATCGAGAAAAGGCCAACACAAAACAGTTCTTGGCAATTTTATTCTAAAAATCTTACCTTTGCAGGTGGAGCATGACTTGTTCTTCAACTTTTGCATGATCACAGTCAAGACAAGTAGCACGATGATGAAAACTGCCAATGCCACACTCAAGAAATACGCAAGGAGAGAGGGGACGTTGGCTGAATCTCCTAAAATGCAGTCAAGAAAAAACAAGTCTCACATCACCATCTGTATTTGATCTGATGGATAAAGATAAACACGGGCTACAAATTAGATTTTTTGTATTTGTACAGAATGAGGAAAAACAAAAGCTTGCATTATAAGCTGTAAGAACTCACCTCCAATCTGTACTCGTGTTCCATTTCCAAAGACAACCTCCCCACATGAAGCCAGAGCACAGTAGTACATCCCTGCATCAGAGGAGCTCACAGACTTTAATGGGAGGTTTAAAGTGCAGTTTCTCATGTGAGACCCTGGGTCTTTAATACACTCCCCTGCATTGTGATATATAATTGCAGGCTGAGCTGCACCATGTCTGAACCAGTAGAAGCTCTGCTGCTCAGCACATGATTCAGCGTGCACTGTACAGCTCAAATTCACAGAATCTCCCACCCGGAGTGGCCCTAACGCTGACTGATGGACGACAGTTTTGGTTTTGGATGATGATGATTTGACATGTAGAAAGACTCCTTTCCCAAATTCAACTGTGTTGTATTCTAAAATCCCACAGTAGTATATCGCTGAATCTGACAAGAGAACGTCTCTGATTACAAGATTGTTGACGCCTCCTTGTCCTGCCACTTTAAACCTCTCTTTGTACGCTGGAGAGATGGAAGCTTCTTTTTTGTGCTTCATCAGAGTTGATATGATGACAGGTTTGTCTCCCAAGTGCTGTTGGTACCAAGTAAAGAAAGTCACAGCATCATTTTCACACGAGCAGGGCAGAGTCACATTCTGCCCGAGTGTTGCTGTTATCACCCCGCTGCCCTGTTTTACATCAGACGTAGCTGCTGAAACCTGATCTGTAAGGAAATTAATACATATTCACTCAAATTGAATTAAAGAACCTCATCCCTCTCACTCACAATATAACTTTTGTACATAGATTCAGGAAATAAAGTCTTAAAGTATACTCACAGATTTCACTGAGAAGGAACAGAAAAATGTGACGTGGCATCATCGCTGGAGCCTTGCGGTCGGTGGCTGCACTGTGTTCTGACTGACGCTCTCAACTTTTTTAGCATGAGATGAAGGCTTCTTCGTGATTGGCTTATGGTTTGGTTTAGACTCAGACGAGTGATTCATCCTTTTGTAAAAGGCAGAATCTGATCAGGTGACCAGAGGTGATGGGTGAGTCTCTTTGGTTACATCATTTCTGTTTGTTTGTGAATTGGAGGACAGTGGATGTGATATGTTTCTACACAATGCGAGGGAAATTCAACTCACAGGTGATTCCCTCAATCAGGAGAAACTTGCTCTGCTCTTCAGTGATGACAGTGAAGTTTTTCATTGCCAGTCAGTTGAAGATGTGCTCATTTGATTATTTAAAGGATGTAGAAAGAGATGTGTGTTTTTGGGGGAATGTGTGTTTAAATGGTGTGGGGTTGGTAGAAAGGAAGGTGTTGGATGGATGCAGAGCAACAGAAGACGGCTTATTATTCATCAATAGACTGTATAAATCTTTCTGCAACCATGACATCAATATGTTTGTTACCTTCTCTTTGCGGCTGTGGCTCAGCATTAGAGTCAGTCGTCTCTGAACGGAAGGTCAGGGATTTGACCCATAGCTCCTGCAGCCACATGTCCGATGTGTCCTTTGGCAAAACTAACCCTAAGTTTCTCCCGCAGCATATGAGTGTGTATGAATGGACGAGTTAAAACTGATGGTCACTTAACACAGCCTCTGCCATCAGTGTGTGAATGTGTGTCAATCAATCTTTATTTGTAAAGCGCTAACAGTTTATTTGAGGAAGTATAATTCAGGGTGTGAATGTGTAAATGAACTTGAGCTTGTGTAGCGCTTTTCTTGTCTTCTGACTACTCAAAGCACTGTTACACCGCAGGTCAAACCCACACATTCACACACTGATGGTAGAGGCTGCTGTGTAGTGAGACCATCAAAAGTAACTAATCCCATTCAGACACATTCTTATGTGGGAGCAACTCGGGGTTAAGTGTCTTGCCCAAAAACACATCGGCTGCAGGAGCTGGGGATTGAACCCCGACCTTCCGGTCGAGAGACGATGACTCTACCAACTGAGCCCACAGGTGTGAACAGTGGTGTAAAAGCGCTTTGAGTAGTCAGATGACTAGAACAGTTCAAATCCATTTACCATTTGCCATGTCTTAAAGCATCAAGCTCCAGCATTTGGTCATTGTCTTTTCTCTTTTTTTAACCAAAAGGGACATTATTTGGAGACAGGGTTGATGCTAATCACTACGTACCCATCACAGGAAGCCATGGACACATACCCTGATTCATCATCCATTTTTATCCAATCGCAATCCATCTGACATAATCTGACAAGGATCAGAGGTCGCGTTAACCGAATATTCTCCGTCTTTGACAGAATTTTTTGAACGACGACGGGAAAATCTGAGGGCTGTCTGTCATTTTGACGGATTAGAATCACCGAGTGTCAACCACTCCTTTCTAATTCTCACACAGCACTGTCATTAACCACATATAAAGCACCTGTCGTAGAACTGCCAGTCCAGTTGGTGGAGAGTGTGCATAATTAATTAGTTATTGTTTTGTTCTGTAGGCTCTCTGACCTCACGTGGTTGACATCGTTGTCTAGCCAGTGTTACAAACTGGGAGACTTTCTCGCTAAATCTGGTGACTTTTTATGTTTAAAGCTACTAGCAGTCAGCCTCACAGTAGCGTCACGCAGCAGTCCCAGCTGCAGTCAGAGCAGAGAGGAGTCTAGCGGCTGGTTGTTTTCAATTTTTAAAAAATCTGAGAATTGAAAAAGACCAAGTACTTTGAGTTTTCTGTTGTATCTTTCATCACACTGATTTACACAAGTCTTAAGGTGGAAGTTCTTCATGGTTAAGCTATACAGTTCATGCACGAGCACAAACACGCGGGTATACAACGCTGACAGACTGTTCTGTCTATATCTGACTAAAGTGACTCAAAAAGACAGTAAAGTAGCTCTCATGATCTCTGTGGTGTTGTGCAATATGCGGACCGGACAGCGCGTTCCTTTTTTTTACTCAAGTCCGTCTGTCTTGTAAACAAAACACACTTCATGATAACATAAAGCCATGCATGAGCTGTATTACGACGTTATGTACAAGCGGTAACCATGCTCAGGCCTCGTTATTCCTGGAGCAGTGTGAGTGCAGGCCAGTGGGGGAATGGGGAGGGGGAGGGGGGGCAATCGTGCTTAGGCACAGTACGGAGCATCTTTGCTAGTGAGTTCGTCCTAAAATTGTTCAGCAAATTTAACGTAACATGTGATTGACTTGTTTCTAAAATCAAATGCTAAAATAAATTGTTAATAAATAAATAGGCAATGTCTCATTATTATAAAAATATAAGAAATGAAAAAGACGGATCATTATAGATTATGGCGGTAAGATTAAAGCTGAAGCTTTCTGGTTCATTACATCATTACATACCCCTGAATCTCGCCCAGTAATCTGTTTCTGGTGAGTCTCTGTTTCTCTGTAAATAGTAATTTTTTTCCGTCTAACTTCAGTGGTAAGTGGCCAAAAATATCACAGATTTTCTATCGATTCACGTCATTTGACTTAACCTTGTGTATGCTGGATTAACCTTTAAACCATTTTATAAAGTTGACAACCCTAATGAAAATCAGTCCATCACTTAAATTTGAAAAAGATTAGACACTACTGCACATAATTACTGTATTCTCTATAAACCCAATTTGAATTATGCTAGAAAAAAGGAAGAGCCGTTGTATTCTTCAAACAACTCTCCCCAAACCAAACTATTAGGTTTAGGTGGCAGTGAACATGTGATCTTGTTTCCTGAGTAGGACGTACAGCGTCACACCAGGCTGACCAATCAAACGCAGTCTTGTTATTTAAGAGTGGAGAAGGTACTGAGAGTCTTTTCATTCAATACAGGAACTCCAACACGTCGACATCTACAATGTTTGTCTGCTTTTTGATTCATTTGTTCTTTGGGGGAATGGGTAAGTTTTTCTAAGACTACATTTTTTTTACTTCAGTTTTTAGCAAATTTCAGAGTTTTCTTTAGATCATTGTTTGACAACATTTCACAAGTTCCGTCATATTGAACTGATTTTCTATCTGTTTTCTCTTCAATTGACTTCAGCTCAGCTGACTTATCAGGAATCATCCGTCTCTATTCATCAAGAGAGACGTTTCGTCTCAGCTGAAGTTGGACACACTGTGACACTGCAATGTTTTTATGAAGGTGAAGACTCAGCATGGCTTTACTGGTATAAACAAAGTCTGGGTCAGACACCAAGGCTTATTTCTACATTCTTTGTGTATGATACAAGAATAACTTTCCAGGATGAATTTAATGACAAATCACGTTTCACACTCCACACTAAAAACAAATTAAATCACTTGATAATTTTGAATTTGAAAGTTTCAGACTCAGCTACTTACTACTGCGCATGTAGCTATAAATATGTATTACATTTCACGGAGGGCACTATAGTCAGTGTAAAGGACTCAGGTTGGAATGTCCCAGCTTTAGTCCATCAGTCTGCATCTGAGACCATCCAGCCAGGAGGCTCTGTGACTCTGAACTGTACAGTCCACACTGGGACCTGTGACGGGGAACACAGTGTTTACTGGTTCAAAAACTCTGAAGAGTCTCACCAGGAAATCATTTACACCCACGGAGACAGTAATGATCAGTGTGAGAAGAATACAAAAACAGACAGCTGTGTCTACAACTTGCCGATGAAGAGCCTGAATATTTCTGATGCTGGGACCTACTACTGCGCTGTTGCTTCATGTGGACGCATTCTGTTTGGAAACGGGACCAAGCTGGACTTTGAAGGTATCAACATTTTCAACATCAAGACATAAGAAAGGAACTCATTGTTCAACCCATTATTCTTACAGTCCAAATTATTACAATTTACTGACCTAGTCCAACTAAAAACACACAGATATTGTTTAAAGAGAGGATTAAATCTTCTTTCTCGCAACATTCAAGAATTGTTTTGTGACAGAGATGGGGGTTATGAATTAAGAGGGCTTTTAGACTTTAAGACACGTAGTATAAGCACTACACAGAAAAGTTTTTGTTTGTCCATTTCTGGTGTAAAGCCGTGGAATAATCTGAGTGAAGAGCTGAAGCAATGTAGTACCGTCATACAATTCAAAAATAAATTTAAAGAAATTGTTTTCATGAGGTACAAGGAGGATGAGGAAGGGTAATCACCATCACTGGGGTGTGTTTGTGATTATTCATTTACTTTTTGGTTTAGTTCATTAGTTTGCAGGTATTGTATTCATAATATTGGTGATGGTACACTGTACATAGTTTTATTATGGTGATGGGAATATGCTTTATTGGTGTAATTAATTAGATAATGGCATACAAGTAATTATTTCTATATTATATTATATTATATACTATTGTATAATTATTACCTATTAAATTGAGTTAAAAGGGGTAGGATTAGATAAGATAATGTGCTTTCTTATGTTTATTTATTTTATTTGACATATTTTTTAATTAAAGCATTTATTTTTTTTTTTTTTTTTTTACAAATTCGAAATAAAGAAATTAATCAATTGTTTGTTAATAAACAAACTTAACAGAGAAAAGAGAAAGAATGCAACATCTGTGTTTCTCCTGTCTGTACAGTATCTGCAGACTCTTTCTTCTGGAGGGGAGCTGTGACATTGACCTCCATGCTCTCTGCTTTACTGGCCTTCACAGTCTGCATGATGAAGAAGAGGAACAGCAGCCGCTCTCCAGGTAGGACTGTTTATTGAAGGCTCATATTGCATTCGCACAGCTTTTAATTGAAATACTGTTTTCTTTGTGTCCCAACCAGAGTCTGAAAACTGCTTCTCAGCTTCATCTACCACCACAGCAGAGGTGAGCTCACCTATTCAATTACCACTTCATATGTATTATTTCATCAATATTGTCTTAATTGTATGAAATTGATTATATGAAAAATATATTTTGTCACTAGGGTTACCGAGAAAAATTTCACCTCTATTATCTCGCTGTCAACCTGACCGACAGCTCAAGAGCACAGAGTGATCCAACCTGGAGTGAATGTGTGTACCACGGCTTAAGGAGCTAAAAGTACACCTGTTACATTTGTGCTTTTAAAGTGAGACACTTTTTCTATCGGTTGGGTCTCCAGGAAATGTAACAGATATTTTTTTTTTCCAAACTGAAGAAGGTAAAACATCATCTGAAATGATTTAATTTTCTTTTATATACATATTCATTACTTGTGAATAAGAAATTCATTCTTGCATATTATTAGCCATATTTTGAAGTTCCATTATTTGATGCTGTAGAAGCTTTTAAGGACTTGTTTTAAACTGTATTATTTGTTTGTACTTTTTTAGATTTTAACTAGACCAATATCATGAATGTAAACTGTTTGACATAAATGATCCAATAAACTGCTAATTAAAATGGAATCACTTTAAAGTTGAAAAAAAAAGTGTTTGCAGTCAGGGAAAGAAGTTGACTTCACATACATCATTTAGTTAGTGCAAAATATTTGATAGAATTATATTTTTAGATAGAAGATAGAAATATAACTTTGTATTGGATATTACAGTTCTGTAAAATGTTTAGCTTCAGGTTCAGCTTATGGACCAAAACAACATCCTCAGAGGTGAATCGCTGTGTTTGGGTTATCCACGGGTGTTTGTTTCAGGTTGGTTAATGTGTTTGTAGCAGAGAGCTCCTGAGGTGATCATTGATAAATGTATTAGCTCACTAGCGTTAGCCGCAGTCAGCTCACATGCTACCTTTATCTATTCAGCGTTAATCAGCAGTGTATGTCTTAGATCATGGCTTGGGCCCAAAACATCCAGCCCAAAACAACCTCAGCTCATGCCCAAGGTAGGGCTTCAGGTGTGGGTACATTGAAAGAAAACACTGCACTCAGCGTCTTCTCCAGAGCGCTCAGGTATTTTTAGCCTCAGGTCGCTACTACTGAGACATCTTGGCCTGTACTGTTCAGAAAGGCCCCATCTGGCCACCCTTATGAAGAATTTCTAATTTCTATTGCATAGAGCCCTTGTTTTGCAAATAATAGCAAAGTACCAGATGTGGGGACAGAACCTGGGGATGTACTCAATGCTGACAGTTTAGAAATGAATCCTCATTGACTTTGGCAGGTTGAACACTATCAACATTTGCAGGAGGTGCATGCTTTGTTTTTGTGATGTAGCTGATTGTCAACAACATTGATTTGGTGGACTTGAGACGTAGCATGAGAGGAGCTACTGCAGATAACTTGTCATTTTATATGATAGTTGAACTTTTATGTTTTGTTTTTTTTGTCTCTATGCGAGCAGCTACTGTTGTTTTCAGCAGGAAGTGGAAGTGGTCCGCCCTCACATAGAAGCTCCTTAAGTCAAAGACCACAAAGCATCCAAAAACAGAGGAGTTTTTTTAACAACTAATTTGATCTTGAGTCAGAGGTGCCAACAGTAGCAACACTATGAATGCAAATGTATACAACACTTAAGAAAAAATAATCAAAACAATGGGTAGAATACATTGGTTACAGAAGGCAGTTTGAAAAAGAATATTTAAAATTAGACATTAGCGTTAGTGGTAACAGTTCACCCAATCAGAAAAGATTTAATGTATTTTATTTTTAAAAATCAGATTTCCCAAATCATAAGCTTCCACTATCACAACTGGTATCAAGCAATTCAGGCTGTATTACACTCAGCTGTTTGTTGACACTTGGTCAACATTTCAGGCCAAATGCCAATGTGTTGACAAAATCTAAATATTTTTAATTATTATGATAAATGCTTAACATTACTGACCCTGTTTTGACTGTTCTAAATAATGAAACCTACATGTTGCTGTTATCTGATGGACATAACAATCAATCCATCCAAAAGTTTAGAGAATAATTAGACACTAGTGTTGCATGTTATACCAACATTTTTGTACTGACACTGTAGGCGACAATTTGAGCAGGGGAGTCAAGCAGTCGTGCGCCACTCATTCATTCACATTATACAGTGTGAGCCTCAGCCATGAGAGAGAAGCATTGCCCCTGCCTCAACAGATCCACTACCCACAACAACAGTGAGTCAGGGTGATGGTGAACCTAAGGATTTATCAAATCTGTATGTGAAAGATGCTATGACCGAGTACCGTACCAACGAGCTAAAACTTCAAGCCTCACCAAGCACCTTAGGCTTCTCCTTGTAGTACAGAACACGAACGATTAGCACATTATAGCTATGTTATCTGTGATATGTAACGTTAGCGTGTCAGGATAGTGTTAGTATCACCCTCATCCTGCACCATAAATAGCATGTCAAGCTTATCAGAACCTGCTAGTTCCAAATGATACATATTATGAAGCTACAGTTATTCAGGGATACAGTTAGCCCTATGCTAAATTACATAGGGCTATTAGCTAACGTTACATGTCACTTCTACTACGGTGGCTCATTAACGTCAGGCTGAACAGCCAGGAAAAAGGCAAACTCCAACTGTGAACTAAGCAAATAAAACAATGCCCAAAGTGAAGATAATGTTCCTGGTTTAAAACAAAGAGAATGATTGGGTTGCTGGAGCAACATTTCAGGTGAAATGGCTTTTTTATAGATTCATAAATTCTATTATATTTATTAAATAATAAATGGGCAATGTGCAGGGCAGGTCGATAATACATACATTTATTAACAATGTCCCAATTAATATAACCACCAATCAGAAATTGGCCCTGATATATATGAAATAAAAATGAGACATTTAAGATATCTTTGAAAAAGTATTTTGTACATTATTTTGTGAGTAGGGTTTTCTGGCCGACTTCACCAACTACCAAGGTGCACGGAGGATGAAAGGTTTGAAGCGGTCAAAAGGGCTCCAGCAACACTTGAAGTATAAAGATCAACTTTATTAACTATATAATACTGTAAATAATAATATAATCCATAATTTTAATCTATATACCATAAGTAATACTGGAGCTTTTTGACCTCCTCACTCTTTTGTGAGTTAAGAGATAGTAAATATTTAAGGATTAGGCATGAAGACATCACCCATCTGTTCCTGCAGGGGGCTTTGGAGTCCCATCGGTGGCGGTCTCCATGCTGGAAATGCTGTCTCATCCTAACGTTCAGTCAACCTAATGTTAGGTTGGTTGAGCTGGAGCTATGGCGGGTTTTAAGCCTCTTGACACACTTCTGCACCGCGCCCTCCAGTCAATCAGGTCAGCTACATACCTTTTTGTGAATAACGCTTAGCTTTCATGAAATCAAAATGAATTAATTAGAAATGAATTCGCCCCCCATACAACGTGTGACAATGGAGACATGAGTTAAACAGGCCTATTTTGTTTATACCGGGCTGTAAATATCTTATATTTCTGCTGTAAAAACAGGCATTTTTGAATTGGTGTGTATTTGACTTCCGGTGCTTCTTCAGCCAGCCTCAAGTAGACACTCGAAGAACTGCAACTTTGGCATTTTTCAACACCGGAGGTTACAACTTGTGTGAGTCTTATGGTTTTGCAAAAACACACTGGATTTGTACATATAAATATATTATACTTACTATATGAATATCCTTTAATTATTTGTCCTGATAAATATGAAACGACAAAAACTTCATTGTTAATGTAATTTTTACACTTCAGGTTGTTAAAGGGATACTTCACCCATTGAAACATGAATCTGTATTGACATTGGGTCATATATGTAGAAATGTGAAATACATTTTGAAGTTGGTGCCTTCTTGGCCGAGAAAAGGCAGAAAGTGTCTGTTTGGCTCATGTGGATGAGAGACACCAAATCCCAGAATGCACAGCACCGCAGGCCACTCCCACTAAGGTCAGGTTTACAGACATATTTACTTCAACACATAAGGCCGTTTACACAACTGATTCTGAGATTTCTTCCAGAAGGAATTTGCATCTTGGAAATTCCTGGCAGAAAACAGACTCTATGTCTGTGTCCATAGGCAAACAGTGAGAGGACCGACACTACCAGTCCGCCCCAGCTCGAGCCGGCCCTAGCTCCTCGTCCTCACAGCCGCGGACATGCAGGCGGCCAGCAATATAGTAATATAGCGGCGAGACGGATGCTGCTGACAGGCCGGTTTTGTTTCTCGTCTGCTGTGGTCAGCGGCGGCCAGCGGCGGAAGCATCAAAAACACAAGACCGGCCTGTTGCAGCAGCCGTCTCGCCACTATATGTATATTTTTTCGCCATTATCACCTTTCTCCATAGAGCCTATTAGAATATCAGGCCTTATGTCTCAGCTGCTGAGCTGGCAGCGGCCGGCGGCGGCCAGCAATACAGCAATATAGCCGCGAGATGGTTGCTGCCGACAGGCCGTTTTTTTTTCTCGGCTGCTGTGGTCAGCGGCGGCCAGCGGTCGCCGCTGACCGCAGTGAGTGAAAACACAAGACCGGCCTGTTGCAGCAGCCGTCTCGCCACTATATGTATATTTTTTCGCCATTATCAGCTTTCTCCATAGAGCCTGTTAGCATAGCTTCCAAGCAATATGGCGGACGCTAAGTTTTGATTCTGGGAGTGAGTTCCCACCCACTGATCTGTGATTGGTCTGGAGCTTCAGTGGTCAAAAATATGAAGAATTAGCGTTGTAGTTTCACCCCGATAACCGCAACAGCTTCCAGTGACGCAAAAATCATCATTTTGCGTCACTGGTAGCTCCTTTTCAGACTTAGAAATACACAGATTTCCCATCTCAGGGGAGAATGAGGGCGGGATGCACGACCATAAAAAAACCATCAAAAATACTACCAGGTTTCTAAATACAAAGCTTAATGCAAATGGGTGAAGTATCCCTTTAATAAACTTTGAATTCCAAGTTTTACCAACCTAATGTGGACATCTTTCTGATTCATTAGGTATAGAGTATCAAACCAGTAAAGCTTCAGTTTCAAGTATAGTTTCAGTAACAAGTATCATAACAATGAACTTGTTATCGGAATAAAAAATGTTGTATCATGACAACACTACTGTACAACATTACTGTTAACAGACTATAAATATTTGTGAATATCCTACCAAGATAAAGAACGGTTATTTCCTTCATAAAACTCTCCCCAAACCAAACTATTAGTGAGTGAATATGTGATCTTGTTTCCTGAGTAGGATGTTCAGCGTCACACCAGGCTGACCAATCAAACGCAGTCTTGTTATTTAAGAGTGGAGAAGGTACTGAGAGTCTTTTCATTCAATACAGGAACTCCAACACGTTGACATCTACAATGTTTGTCTGCTTTTTGATTCATTTGTTCTTTGGGGGAATGGGTAAGTTTTTCTAAGACTGCACTTTTTATACTTCAGCTTTTAACAAATTTCTTAGTTTTCTTTGGATCATTTTTTGACACGATTTCACAGAGCTCCGTCATATTGAACTGATTTTCTATCTGTTTTCTCTTTAACTGACTTCAGCTCAGCTGACTTATCAGGAATCATCCGTCTCTATTCATCAAGAGAGACGTTTTGTCTCAGCTGAAGTTGGACACACTGTGAGTCTGCAATGTTTTTATGAAGGTGGTGATTCAGCATGTCTTTACTGGTATAAACAAAGTCTGGGTCAGACACCAAGGCTTATTTCTACATTCTACGTGTATGATAAAAGAATAACTTTCCATGATGAATTTTCTGACGAATCACGTTTCAAACTCCACACTGAAAACAAAACAATTCACTTGACCATTTTGAATTTGAAAGTTTCAGACTCAGCTACTTACTACTGTGCATGTAGCTATAAATATGTATTCAATTTCACGGAGGGCACTATAGTCAGTGTAAAGGACTCAGGTTGGAACGTCCTAGCTTTAGTCCATCAGTCAGCATCTGAGACCACCAAGCATGGAGATGCTGTGACCCTGAGCTGTACAGTCCTCACTGGGACCTGTGATGGAGAACACAGTGTTTACTGGTTCAGAAACTCTGAAGAATCTCACTCAGGACTCATTTACACCCAAGGAGACAGGAATAGTTCATGTCTGAGGAAATACAACCAACAAAGCTGTGAATACAACTTACCAATAAAGAGCGTCGATCACTCTCATGCTGGGACTTACTACTGCGCTGTCGCTTCATGTGGACACATTCTGTTTGGAAACGGGACCAAGGTGATCATCACAGGTGCGTTACTATTTTAGAAGGGGTTGTCTTTTTATTTCTAAGAATAATTCTGCCTTTTAAAACTCTCATGTCTGACTCTCTACAGATGTAGAGCATCTGGTGTATATCTTGAGTGGAGCTTTGACTTTTACCATCATCTTGATTTTATTGTTGGCCGTCATTACGTGCGTGATCTACAAGAGAAACAACTGCAAGTGTAAAGGTACTGTCACTGTGTTTCTTTCTTGTTGACTCATTTGATACATTTCAATAGTAAAGGAATGTTTTCATTCTTTTCTAGAATCTGGTGCAAGAATTTCAGCTCCCTCCACAGCAGATGAACAGGTACTTTGTGATTAGATTAATTTTTCTGCAAATTTAAACATTTTGAAAACAAGTTACATAAATCTAGGATATAAGTCGATCTGGTATATATGACATGGTCTGTTTTGTGGGTCTCCCAGAGGGAAAAAAATGTTTTCCATTGTGCGCAGTGAAGTCCACAACTTACTGTTTCTGTGCAGCTGAGTAGTTATTTCTAGTACCATCTGTTTTCACCATGTGGAGTTTGCAATCCTGCTAGTTGACCTCTCATCCTACTGTAACATTGATAATTGGGAAGTAAGGACCCTCAGCACTCAACCAATTTGCCAAGCGTTGCGCTTCCCACCTTTGATGGTCACATGTTGTCTTAAATTGAAGAGCCTTTTGAATCGAACTAGCATCTCGCAAACTAGGCTTATTCACTCAACTGTTTACCACTGTTTTCTTTAAGTGTATGGTCATGCTGTTACAGCAAACTTTAAGTTCATGAGTCATAAATGATTGTCATAATTTCATGTATTCGATAAATAAATAAATAATAATTCATGTATACATGTTAAGCTAAAAGGTTAAAAACACTGTTGAAATCTTTGTTTCTATGTGGAACTAAAGTCCTTGTTTGGGTTCCGCTATGACAGAATTAAGGGACGGACATGTACGGTGAGCACGCGTTACCTCCCGCGAATTTGTGTAAACATGCATGAAGACTGTTACCACTGATGTCTGAAGTTTAAGCAGGCTGTGAAAGACACTTTACAAGGACTTTAAATGAGTCAAGAACCTCTTTTCATGACAAGCAGATAATTATTCTGTAATTTGTATAAGATTTTATCTTTAAATATTTCTTGATATATTTACCAATACAGTTCTCACGGCGTGGTCGGCATGATTGGTATGTGCATACAAAGACGAAGATGCTTCACAAGATTGCTCCAGCAATAAACGCCCGTTTCAAAGAACCACCCTGTGTCTGTTGTTGTGAAGAAAGCTACAAGGCTTATTCACTCAACTGTTTAACACTGTTTTCTTTAAATGTATGGTCATGACCCTAATGAGGGAGTAAAGTTGTTAAGAAGTGTTGCCTGCGGCGCTGATTGTCCAGCGGTTAGGTTGCTTCCCATCTACAGAGGTTACAGACCTCTAAGTATTCACCCCTGGTTCAAGTCCGACCTTTACCCGCACGTCATTCCCCAATCTCATATATTTTCATATTTTCAATCATATCGTGTCACACGCAGTGGGTGATGTGGCTCCACTTATAGTTATAATGGTGCATGTCTGTGACTAAGCTTTAGTCTCTCTCTGCACTTATTTCCTACCTGTATATGAGTTGGAAGCTGCCCACTTTTAAAATTAAAATAAATTAATAACAATGTTTTTTATACACTGATTCTTAAGGTTATTTTTTACTCTGAGATGCTCTTTTGTGATTTGCTGATATTTACTAAGACTCATATCTTATTACCAGGGTGACCACAATGAGGAAGACATCCATTACACAGCGTTGAGGGGACACAGGGTCAACAGATCCAGAAGACCACAAAACACTGAGGATGAATGTGTGTACTCGGGTATAAAACAGTAGACAAAGTGATTAGTAATTATGTTATAAATGAGCCTTTTAGACATAGTGGTCATCTTAATAGTATCTTTTTGGATTGGTAAACAGAGCCCATTTCGATTAGGCCAGATCGGCAGGTCAATCCGTGTCAGTCCAGAACATAGGACTCTGTAGTCGGGGACTTCAGAGCAGATACCATCTTTACATTTCAGATGAGGCTATTTATTTATTTTGTACTTTATTGTCATATTTCTTTATTTCTTTTGGATCTTTTATTTAAACACCTTTTCATATTTATTTCATTTTGGTTTTTTTATCAGTGATGTGATGGTTTTTTAGTGATTTTAAAATAATACATTTTTACGTCTCTTATTCTCTTAGTCATGAGGCTTTTGATGTCTTGTGTGAAGCTCTTGTGTGAATTGCCTTGTTGCTGAAATGTGCTATTTAAATAAACCTGACTTGACTTTAGATGCTGTAGTTCTCTTTTCAGACCTTCCTATTTCATGGATACTTGTATAATAAATATTGTCCACACAGCCCCAATAGCTTGATGACTTTCTGTCTTTTGAGACTTTACCTTTACAAGCTTAAGATCAACTATTTTGTTGTTTTCAAGGTTCATCATCGTGTAGCTTCATAATTCTGCAGTAACGATAGTGACATCATCCCAAAGCCAGCTGTAGTCTGTGAACTTCTGCACACACTGTTAAACTGTTAGACTGTTAAACAGTGCTGCAGCGTTATATCCAAACAGTAAAAATATAGGCTAGTGCACACTAAATGTCCTTTTCATTTATGAAGGGGAAGTTCAAGAGGGAAGCAGTGGGGATCTGGGCACTTTTACCTTATAAAAAAAAAGTAAAGGAGAGCAAATATATTTTTTCATAATTTTCCAAATTCTTGACCTGATCTAATAAAATGTTCCAAATCAGTGATCTGATCCAATGAAACACAGGAAAAATAAATGAAAAAAAATTTAAATTAGGAAGAAGAGAAAAACAATCAGTAACACTGGTAATGTTATTTTAGGTAGGCTAAATACAGTATTTCAAAAAGCAGTCATCATTTGTGTAATTGTAACAGAATCTTACTCTGTAAAAATGTATTTTATTTGGTGAAGAGAGCTAATGACTTGTTTAGGACTCAAAATTCAAAGGTTAGCAGTTGTGACTCGGCTTGAGACTTGCCTTTCATTACTTTGGACTTCACTCCGGACTAGAGGTCAAAGACTTGAGACTAACTTGTGACTTGCAAAACAATGACTTTGACCCACCTCTGGTGTTAAGTAAATTAAGTTATTGAATATTTTTTTACTATTCACCTGGTGAGTCTGTCCTCGTGTCTCCATCCAATGCAGTGCTCTGTTTAAGGTCCGGAAGTACTTCACATATGATTTACTTTTATTCCCTTTTTTCTCTGTCTGACTTTTCTTTCAACAATATGCAAATTCACTAAAATAATGTCTGTTGATCTATGTTCTGTTTGTGGTTAATGGCTGGTCCAAAAACATCCTGGCATGCCTCCTGAAGGTGTTGTATTTCAACATATGTAGAGTAATAGCTGTGCAGATCTGCTCATAAAGAAGAGCACATGTTAGTGTTTGGAGAAAACCACATTTCTTCTGTTATGTAATACATGGAGTATATTCAATATCATTTCTATCTGAATGAAGTGCGCCCCTGTAAAATATACACCATGCAGATATCTGTAAATTTCTGACAGGTGTACTGCATCTGATTGGCTGGCTCTGCCATTTCCTGGTAAACCTACTGGAAATTTGGACATTGATGATGTAAAGGCCCCGACACACCAAGCAGGCGGTAAAGAACTAGTGGCGACGAAGGCCGCCTGTGGTGTCACTTTGCATTGCCTCACATCTTAGCCAAAAAGTTGCACTTAAAAAAAAGTTTATTTATACAGTATAATGATGATAATAATAAAAATAATAAATAATAATAATAATAAAGTTTATTTATATAGCACTTTTCGCAGGCCAAAAAGTTGCACTTGAATAAAGTTTATTTATATAATAATAATCATAAATAATAATAACAAAGTTTATTTATATAGCACTTTTCACAGACAAAGGTCACAAAGTGCTTTACATCAACAAAAAAACAACAACAGCATGCATACAATAAAAGAATAAAAAATAAAAAATGAGTACATCATGGATGACATTATAAAATCCTGCTATAACCAGGAACAATAATTGGCACAATAAAACATAGATGAGAAGGTACACTGGGTGGACCTGATTACCCATAGGTCTGTCTAAACATTAACATTTAAAAAAAAAAAATTAAAAGACTCAACAGAGTCAGAAAGACGTAGGGAGATGGGTAGAGAATTCCAAAGGATTGGTGCTATGGACTGAAACCCACGATCCCCACGAGTCTTAAAATGTGTCTGCGGGACAGACAGCAGGTGTTTGACCTTAGTGAACGGGTGGGTGAATACGGGTGAATGAGTTCTGACAGATAATCTGGGGCCTGACCGTGAATGGCTCTGAAGGTGAGAATGAGAATTTTAAACTTAATCCTATATGCCACAGGGAGCCAGTGCAGTGTTTTCAGTATTGGAGTGATGTGAGACCGTTTGTTTGACCTGGTGAGTAATCGAGCAGCAGCATTCTGGATTGACTGGAGACGGTTTAGGGCGGATGTGCTAAGTGAGGTGAAAACAGCATTACAATAATCGATACGAGAGGAGACAAAGGCGTGCAAAATCATCTCAAGTTCTGCCAAAGACACTAATGTTCTCAGCTTACTGGTATTTCTTAAATGAAAAAAGCATGATTTGGTTAGCTGTTTAACATGGCTGTCTAGTGATAATGAAGAATAAATTACTCCCAGATTACAGAGGTTGGTGCGAACAGCAGAGGAGAGGGGCCCAATGTATTGCATGATTGTTGAAACATACTTGTCTTGGGCAATAACTAGGACTTCTGTTTTTTCTGCATTTAATTGTAGGAAATGATCAGTTGCCCAGTCATTGATAGCATTTATACAGTCTAGGAGCCTGGACAACGTAGAGGCTTCGCTAAATTTAAATGAAAATTGCACATGGATGATATGCAATATTAAAACTTTGTATAATCTTTCCTAGGGGAAGCAGATAGAGAGAGAACAACAGAGGTCCCAGGACTGAGCCTTGCGGGACTCTACACAATAAAGGAGAGGAGTCAGACATAAACTCCCCAACAGAGACAGTGAAGGTCCTTTCACTTAAATACGAAGAGAACCAGTCCAGGGCTGTACCTGATAATCCGACCCAATCGAGTAGTTTCTTTGTGAGATTAGGGTGGTCAACCATATCAAAGGCGGAGCTGAGGTCAAGAAGAACCATCACTGAAAAATCACCTCCATCAGCAGACATTAAAATATCACTGGAGACCCTCAATAGAGAGGTTTCAGTGGAATGCCCTTTCCGGAACCCTGACACAGAGTCCAACACAGCAGTGAGTTGATGGGGCCACAACCTTTTCCAATATTTTGGACATAAATGGCAATTTTGAAATTGCCCTTTAGTTCATAGACAGTGCTGGGTCTAAATTTGATTTCTTTAAGATGGGCTGAATCGTTGCATGTTTAAAATAAGTAGGAAAACATCCTGTAAGCAATGAGGAATTTACAATGGATAAAACAGCAGGACCAATAGTAGGTAAAAGTTTTAAAAACAGTGAAGGTGGCAAGACATTCAAGGAGCTATTAGTCAGCTTTGTTTTCTTTGTTAAATCCATGAAATCCTCAAAGCTAACAAGGTGGAAGGAGACCAAGACAGTAGGGGTAGCAGAGGAGCTGTCTCTAGGTGGGTGAGAGTTCAGCTGCATATTGGACCTTATAGCCAATACCTTATCAACAAAGAAGGAGAGGAACTTTTTGCAGTCATCAGTTGAACAGCATGGTAAGGTGGATGGAGATGGTGAGACAATATTGTTGATTGTGTCAAATAAAACTTTTGGATTCCTTCTAGAGGAAGAGATTAAAGTGCCAAAGTAAGCAGTTCTGATTTCCTGTACTGCTTCATTAAAGGAATGCCGCAAATCTTTGAGATAAAGCCGATGTACAATGAAGATTAAAAGATTGCAATAAAAGGTCAGTATTGTTTAGGTGTGAATAACAATACCAATCATATTGTGCTAAGAACTGATCGGCTGTATTTGTTGTAATGATGCGGGAGTGAAAGGTTCTTACAACACTGGGAGGATCAATGGTTACACAAAGATCAAAGAAAATACTTTTATGGTCACTGATCAGCAAATCTTCACATCGGACATGGTTGACATCTATCCCTAGAGAAAAAAACATGTCCAAGGTGTGGCCTTTTATGTGCGTGGGGCCTACAACATGTTGCTTGAGGTTAAAAGAATCTGTAATATTGAGAAATTAATATATATTAACAATGTCCCAATTAATATAACCACCAATCAGAAATTGGCCCTGATATATATGAAATAAAAATTAGACATTTAAGATATCTTTGAAAAATTATATTGTACATTATTTTGTGAGTAGGGTTTTCTGGCCGACTTCACCAACTACCAAGGTGCACGGAGGATGAAAGGTTTGAAGAGGTCAAAAGGGCTCCAGCAACACTTGAAGTATAAAGATCAGCTTTCTGAACTATATAATACTGTAAATAATAATATAATCCATAATTTTAATCTATATACCATAAGTAATACCGGAGCTTTTTGACCTCCTCACTCTTTTGTGAGTTCATAGATAGTAAATATTTAAGGATTAGGCCTGAAGATGTCACCTATCTGTTCCTGCAGGGGGCTTTGGAGTCCCATCGGTGGCGGTCTCCATGCTGGAAATGCTGTCTCATACTAACTTTCAGTCAACCTAATGTTAGGCTGAGAGCTGGAGCTATGGCGAGTTTAAAGCCTCTTGACACACTTCTGCACCGCACCCTCCAGTCAATCAGGTCAGCTACATACCTTTTTGTGAATAACACTTAGCTTCATGAAATCAAAATGAATTAATTATAAATGAATTCGCCCCCCGTACAACGTGTGACAATGGAGACATGAGTTAAACAGACCTATTTTGTTTATACCGGGCTGTAAATATCTTTCTGCTGTAAAAACAGGCATTTTTGAATTGGTGTGTATGTGCTTCTGCAGCCAGCCTCAAGTGGACACTCTAAGAACTGCAACTTTGGTATTTTTCAACACCGGAGGTTGCGGCTCTTGCGAGTCCTATGGTTTTTCAAAAACACACTGGATTTGTCCAGATAAATGTATCATACTAACTATATGAATATCCTTTAATTATTTGCCCTGATAAATGTGAAATAAATATTCAACGACAAAAAACTTAATTGTTAATGTATTTTTTACACTTCAGGTTGTTAATAAACTTTGAATTCCAAGTTTTAGCAACCTATTGTGGAGATCCTATTATAGATTCATTAGGTATCGAGTATCAAACCAGTAAAGCTTCAGTTTCAAGTATACTTTC